TATATAGCGGCTTTCTTGAGTTTAGGTATGGGAGGATCTTCTCGTGTAGCTTGTTCGGGAAGTGGGCAGTGGTATCAGCGGACCCGGTTTTTAACCGGTTCATAATGCAGAACGAAGGCAAGCTGTTTCAGTCGAGTTATCCAAAGTCTTTCAGGGATTTGGTCGGGAAAGATGGAATCATCACGGTTCATGGCGACCAGCAGAGACGGCTTCACTCAATTGCATCGAGCATGATGCGTCAAGACCATCTCAAGACTCATTTCCTTGAGGATATTCCCGCGGTTATGCTTCAGACGTTGAGTAATTTCAAGGACGGCGAAGTCGTGCTTCTCCAGGATGTCTGCAGAAAGGCAAGTGACTGAAGATGAAGACGAAAAGCCTTTAAGGGATTTCTTGATTTCTGATCTTTTCTTGGTTCTGTTCTTCAGGTTGCGATTCATCTTATGGTTAACCAACTTCTCGGAGTGTCGAGCGAATCAGAAGTCGATGAAATGTCTCAGCTTTTCTCTGATTTTGTCGATGGATGTCTCTCTGTTCCTATCAACTTGCCTGGTTTCACATACCACAAAGCAATGAAGGTAATGGTCAAATAAAAAAATCAATGGTTGGTTTTTCGCTCTTGGAGCTGTTTCGCTGAGATTTGTTTGTTTCTTGCTCAGGCAAGAAAAGAGATCATAAACAAGATAAACAAGAGGATAAAGAAGCTGTTGCAGAACAAATCAGAATCAGCAGGGAACGGTGTGCTTGGAAGATTGCTTGAAGAAGAAAGCTTACCAAACGAATCCATGGCAGATTTCATCATCAATCTTATGTTTGCCGGAAATGAAACCACCTCGAAAACAATGCTGTTCGCTGTTTACTTCCTCACTCACTGCCCTAAGGCCATGGCCCAAATCCTGGTACTTATAAAAACCTAATCAATGATAACACATTGATTTTTCTCTTGGTTCTCTGTTTTCTTTAGCTTATGAAAACATTTTTGCAAATGAGCAGGAGGAACAGGAGAGGCTCGCGGGAGGAGTGCTAACATGGCAAGACTACAAGACAATGGATTTCACTCAATGCGTAAGTAAAAACAAGAAGCTCAAGAAACTCTCTGCTTCTCACTCTCAGATGCTATAAAACCTTTACTTAAAAACTTTCTTGGTTTCTCAACAGGTAATAGATGAAACACTCAGGCTCGGGGGAATTGCCATCTGGCTAATGAGAGAGGCGAAGGAAGATGTTTCATATCAAGGTACAGAGATATAGCGTCTTTTGACTATTGGTATATGCAGCAGAAGCATGGTATAAAAAAGTTAACTCTTTCTGTCTCTGTGCAGATTATGTAATCCCCAAGGGATGCTTCGTGGTTCCGTTTCTCTCGGCAGTGCACTTGGACGAGAGCTATTACAAGGAAAGTCTCTCCTTCAATCCATGGCGATGGCTCGACCCTGAAACTCAGGTTTTTCACTTTGCATTTTGACATTGAAGCACTACTTCCTAGTTTCTAAAGTCAAGAACAAACCTTGTATCAATCTGGAAGTGAACATATCCATTAATCTTGAATGCAGCAAAAGAGGAACTGGAGAACGAGCCCTTTCTATTGCCCATTTGGTGGAGGAACTCGGTTTTGTCCAGGAGCAGAACTAGCTCGCCTTCAGATCGCTCTCTTTCTGCATTACTTCATCACCACATACAAGTAAGTACCTGCTCTACTATTGGCTTTCTTTTTTGTTGTTGTCTGAATCAATCAAAGTATCTGATTCATCCTTGTTGCATGTACTAGGTGGACACAACTTAAAGAAGATCGTATCTCCTTCTTCCCTTCGGCTCGTCTAGTGAATGGCTTCAAAATCCAGTTGAACAGACGGGACAATGATCCTCGGAGTCAATAATGAACCAACAATCTCCACCACTGTAAATCTATATGTATTTGATGTATATCCACTGCAAAACCAAGTGAAATTTTTCGTAACTCGACATCTGTATACTACTAGTGTTTTTAACTCCAGTGTCGCTCAAATCTTAGTACTCTATATATAATACACACCCCAGTGAAACCCTAACAAAAGGAACCGTATGCTTATGGAAATCATCTTCATTAGATTCTCTGTTTCAAACTCCAACAAACCCGTTTGGTTTCAACAATTACAACAAGTGCAGGGGCTATATGGCAAAAGCTGTATTGAATCCTAAAACTAAAAACTCTTGTAAGCTTCTGACATAAAATATTGGAGACGACAAAACAAAATGCGAGGAGACAGAAAAGAGATAAGAAACCTATTCAGGGTTCATCACTCCTCTCAGGCTTCTTCATCTGAACTATCGTATGCTAATCCCAGCAAGCCTTTCAAAGCATTTTGATCTTGCCCATTCGTTCCTTTGTCGTCATTTCGGTCTGCTCCACGTTGCTCCTCGGGTCTGTCCAGTTTCTTCAACACTTTATTAGCTTCTTCTTTCTGCTTATCTCTTTTAATCTTTGCATCCGTTGGACCTCTGTCGCTTCTAATAGGAGGTGATAAGCTGGGACTTGACAGTGTTGAGATTTTTGGGCGCTTCGGTTTAACCTCCACGACCTTTTTCAGTAAATCTTGCTGCCTACATCCGAATGTGGTGACCGAGTTAAACTCCAGTTCATGGTGCTAAACAAACTTAAGAATCAACAAACGAAGGAAGAGGGTAGAATTCGCAACCTGATACCACTCTTTAGTTTGGGCTCAACACGAAGTGGCAAGGGAACAGGTGCTGGAGATGAATCCGCTTGGGTTGCAGCTTTGTGGTTTATGGTCAAGAAATATCAAACAACATTTTGGAAGGGCATATTCAGTAGCCTAACTCTGGTGGCAAAGTGATTGAAATCATGAAAATACTAAACGTAAACAAGAAAGGATATTTTAAAGGCAGCAAAAGCACGTTTTTCAGTTCGTCTCAGAAGACGTTCTGCATCCTCCTCTGCTTCCATCTGTTCCTTGAGATAAAGTAAATCGTCGCTGTCCAAAGCTACAAGACGAAAAGAAAAACTCAAAGAGTTATGTATGGTGTTTCAAAAACAATGTTCAAGAGATGATGAAAAAAACGGAGAAACTGGTACCGCCTCGACCATGAAGATAGCCTCCACGCTCACCAGCAACCTCTTGCATCTAAATGCAAATAACCGGAACATGTGGCGGGGCCGTTATCCCTGCCGGGGCATGTTATCAGAAAAGTCGCGTCCCAAAATAGACTCAAACACACAAGAATCACTTCACACACATCGATAACTTCATATTGATCAACTAAACCACATATTGATCCAATGCTAGGAAAACGAAAGAAACAAGAGCTTCGATCGAATCGGTGACATTTAGCACACAAGAGAGAATTTTTTTTTTTTTTAATATTATCAAACGACTATTGTGTACTGCTAAAAAAATGCAATTGAGCTCAACTTCTTCTATGGCGATATTTACTTAAAGCTACAACCAAATGCCTTAGCTCTCGGAGACAATTTGTGCACTATAGATTGCTTAAATAGAAGATTCGGTAACAGAGGAGAGAGGGCGACGCGCTAACCTTTGCAACCATCCGTTGAAATGTGACGTCTTCGTCATCTATCTTACCTTTCCCTGATTTCTTATCTGCAACAGAAGAAGACGAAAACGATAGAGCTTAAAAGCTTTCTCGAGAAGCCTACAATGAAAACTCTACCCAGGAACCATATATAATGATTAGATGTCGCACCTTTAGGGTCGGACAGATTTGTGTATTCTTTAACTTCCCTCCCTGACATCGTCTTCTCTTTCTCGTCGATTCTACTTTTGGAATAATCTAATTCGGAGAAGATTAGGGTTCACTACGTTTTCTAAGACTCGAGTCGAGAGGATGACGATTGAAGAAGGTTGAAATCGGTAATTTGCTTCACAACGAGATTGTTCTAGATCAAGTGGTTTCGTTGTTTTCTCAATTGGGTTTAGTTCTGGAGAAATACTGTGGGCCTATATTCAGGCCCAATAATAAGGAACATTATTAGGAAACTGGAAACATGATTGATTACACTAGTACATATACTTGCAAGTTGCAACACATTTTTCATTATTTGAAAATGATTTTACCTACTTAAAAATTTAATAGATCTAATATGCTCTATAAAAACAAAATAATCATTAAATTTTTGCAATTCATTACACTAGTGAGAAATTTATTTCATATGTCCCAAGTCACTTTAGTTTTATCTACTCAATTTTAAAGTCATCTATTATAATTTTTTACTAATTGTTGAGTCCTTAACTGTCTTATGTAATTAACAGTCTATTAATAATATTTTCAATAATTCACAATAGATACCAAAACTTTTTATTATCTGATTAATTTTTGTTTGAGCTATTAAAAAGAAAAAGAGAAAATGTCTAAGTACTCTACTCTTAGACTAGTAACGTCAACTACCCTTTATTGGCATGGACCTAATTTAGATAGAAGTACCTTTACTATATATATTGATTACATTATTACGCTTTATATATATGGATCAACCCTACAAGGAAAAAGGGTTCACAAAGCTGAATCAAAAAAACTAAAACAAAATTTTTTAAAAGAAAAATAGCCCATGTATTAACAACAACACCAAAAAATCTACAATTAACATAAAACAAATAACGCACGTTCGAATCGACGTTATTGTTTCGGTCCAAAGGATGGGGTTTTGAGACGTGACATGAATCTTCACCATAAGTTTGATCATCATAAAGGTATATAGTAGTAGTGTTAGTATTAAAGATTTGGATCCAACGTGAGAGTGATGGGTTTTTTGGTCCGTACGAAAACAATTTCCTTTTAAAGCGAACCAACCAAAAGAAATCGCATTTATAAATCTTTGTTGTTTCTTCTTTCTTCTAACTTTCAAAAGCTCATTAATTTGTCAGATTTCAACACCCAACCTGTCTATCTCTCTCTACACCCATAAATACCCTTTTTAGATCAATCTCATCACACGTACTTTGATCAAAGGGGAAGAAGATTAAGAATCAGTTAAGCAAGAACCATAATAATAATGGGTTTGAAGCTTTTTATAACTAAGAAGAAGAAAAAAAACTTTGCAATAGAAGTCAATGCCCGAACCATACAAAGAAAGTCAAAGTTGCATGGTGCGTTCTTGACTTCCAGTTTCTACCAAAACAATCATTAAAAAAAAATTTCCTAAAATTCTCATTAAAACGCCCAAAAGAAAGCGAAAAAAAAAAAAAACAAATGAAGAGATGATATGACCAAACGAAGAATCCAGCTGGTTTTTAATGAGGCTTGTCCAAGAACAGCAGCAACAAAAGGAGCAGAACAATTGGAGTTAATGTCCTTTCTTCTCTCTCTCTGGCATTGAAGGCCAAGAAGAGTTAATTCCCTTCTCTGCTCCATCATTGAAGAGAAAGAGACACCCAGAAGAAAGCAGAAGAGCCTTTAATGGTATGTATCATCAAGCTGTGGTTGAAGCACTGGGACAGTTGCTCAAGGCGGTTTTAATTTGGTGCACTGTTGTTCCAATCAGGTTATTAACCGTTTCCACCGACTCCATATTCAGTTTAGCCGACGGCAAATTGCTCACCATTATCTGAAAACCAACCGTTATCAGAGATCCTCCTCCTCCAAACCCGCTTGATGATGACCGTCCCGAGCTGGTCGAGGCTCCTCCTCCTTGCTCAGCGGTTCTGTTTCCGTCTGGTGAGATTGCGAAACCTGAGGACAAGAGTGGAATGTAGGAAGGATCGTCACCGTTCATCGCGATGTTCAACGCTGATAAATCCACCGGACTATACACCACGAGTGCTCCTGATGAGTCTATTGCGCTTTCTTGTAGAATCAACATGTTGTTGCTCTGTGTTGCATTTGATGCCTAATAGAAAGAGAAAAAAAGAAAACACATTTCTTTAGCTAAGAATCTTGCGGTAGTTTTCTATCACTCGGTTAAAGAAAAAGAGAGAGGCTTACACGAAGAACCGATATGCAGCATCCGGGATGTGATCCATTTGCAATGTGAGCAACTTCTTGAACCGCGTTTCCGCTTGAAAGAACATCCCACTGATTGGACCAACAACATAAACACTCTTTAGATGATTCTTTACTTGTGAAAAGACTTTGAATTGTGTGTTTCTTTACCTGAGGACGAGTTCTTTCGTCTTTGAGGAAGTTGAAGACGTTTTGAGGAGAGTTTGGTAGCCAAAAGGTGGTAGCTGCGCAGAGGATGGTACCGTTCGGTTCAGGGCTCTTTTGTGCGGTCACACGAACTCCGACTTCGTTCAGTTCCGCAACAACGGTCGAGCGAGTGTTGTTTGATCTGCTGACACTTAAGCAGTAGTTGCTGACCATTCTCTGAGCAAGCCTCATCATGCTTCTCTTCCCTTCCGGCGATGGAATCACTGAAAATGTTTGCTCAGAAAAATGTTGAACTGATTTTCAAAAAACGAGATTAGCAATGGAAACTTCTCTGTTGATTCAATCTAGTTTTTACCTCCGCCGAGATCACGAGATGATGCTGGTGGTGCCAAGAGAGACGCAAATCTCTCACACATTCTCTGGAGAGAAGTAACCCATCTCTCAGCTCCAAAAGCAATCCCTGTGTGAATCATCTCTCTGTATAGCTCATGAGTCTGTTCTTTCTCTTCAGTTTCGATATGTTCAACCCAAGTAACCTGTTTCAAATCATCGGATTCGGGTGAGATGTTAACACTGAGACATGTCTTTAGTAGAAAGCAGAAAGAAACAAACTCTTGAGTGTTAAACCTTGGAATATCCATTAGGCATGTCCTGAATCAAGCATCCAGACGGAAACCTATAGGACTGAGAGTTTGAAACAAACTGAGGAAGATCGTATGAGACATTCACAACTATCCAGCTTCCTTGTTCAATCTGCTGACAATAGCGTAGCTCGCAGAACTCGCGTGTTGCTACCAATGGAGAAAGCACTTCCATTTCTTCATACATCTAACACAGCCAAGCAAAAGCTATTATATATATGATGAAATTAAAAATCAGAAATCCTAATGATGAATCACAAATGAAGAAGAATCATCACTATCAGTTTTACCAAATGCAATGCACCCTCATGGGTACCTCCCATTCCTGAAGAAACCACTGCAAGTGTTTTAGACGCTGCAACGATTGAAGGAAAGAGCTCTGCCCACTTTAGCTGCAAAAGAAAAAACAAAACTTTGGCAACAAAATGTGAAAAAACATGACAATGAAGATGTCTCCGAGACTTACACAATCCATGAACATGTCGACAAGCGTCATAGCATTCATGAAAACAATACCAGAAGACCTAGATGCCTCGACTCTAAGGTTACGGTTCTTCCCTCGGTTACTCGATCTTGGGAAAACATTCTCGTAGCTTCCAAGATTGAGAATGTCCCTGGAGCCAGCTGTTGTTCTAGTCCACAAAGGTTCGTTTGTCTGAAGAAGCCTGAGCAACTCTTCCATAGCGGTCAAGGCAATGTCGTTCATAAGAGGCTTATCCATATCCGATATAGGCAAGCTAGGCTGAGAATGAAGATTATTAGATGCAACAGGCATAGAACTTCCTGGAAGAAGATCAAAATCCAGTGAAGGACCTTGACCACAACCGGTTAAGCTAGTCATGGACAAATCCAACGGTGAGATGTGCATTGGATGCAGCGTAGAGAGTTGTGAGGATAGTGGTCTTCCCATGTACTTTGATGCAATGGACGACATTCTCTCAAGCTGTGCAAGAAGATCAGATTAGAAATGAAGTTATTGCATCAAACCAAAACGGATTAAGAAAAACAAAAAAAACCGAACCTCTTCTCTAAGATGTGCATTCTCAATCCGAAGCTTTTGTTCATCAAAGTAAGGATCTTCACTAACAGGAGGACCTCCACAGTTAGGACATATAGCATGCTTGAGAGCTTCTCTAATGGCTATGTTTTCGCATCTAATCTTATCATTCTCTGCCTTTAGTGCATTATTATCTGCTCTCTCATGTTGCGCCTGCAAAACAGAAACAGGAACCCGAATCAAAATCAAAATCCTTTCTTTTCTTATTCAGATAACATTTTAAAACTCAAAAGAGGGAGAGACACACACAGAACCTTAAGCTGAGTTCTTCTGTTCTGAAACCAGAACTTGATCTGTCTTGGAGCCAAACCCAATTCTCTACTAAGTAGATTCCTCTGTTTATCATCTGGATGAGGACACTCCTTGAAACTCCTGCAAGGCAGAGATGGTTATGAGTGTGAAAGAGAAAAATTAAAGTTTATCCAGAATTAACAAAACAAAGAAGGGGAGAGAAAAAATTACGATTCGAGGCGTTGAATCTGTTGAGCGGTGTGACGATGATAACGTTTCTTCTTCTTATCCGTTTCAAAGGCGTCGTGATGTTGGCCACTACCACCGTCTCCGCCGCTTCCAGTCCCACTTCCGCCGACGCCGACGACGAAACTCATCTTATATATATTTTAAAAGAATTCGAGACTAATAAGAAAAAACAGTAAAAAAACACTCTTTAATCTATGGCAAACAAACTTTTTCTTTTTCTTTCCGTTTTACTAGTTTTCACCCAACCACAAACTGTTAATGGTCCATTTACACCACTGTCGCCATTAACACAGACCCAGTAGAGAAGGAAAAAAAACAAACTTTTTTTTTTTGCACCCACCAAAAGAAAAGTGAGAGAGAGATTAAAAGAGAGAAGGAAGAAAACAAAACGGAAGAGAATCTGAAGAAAGATGCAGAGGCGGTGATTAGGGGAGGTGAAAAGGTTTGATTTAGGCAAGAAATTATTGATACAGAGGATTGATTAGAGAGAATTTTATCACTCACCCAAAATTCCAACTAAAATAGAGGAAAAGAAAAAGAAAAAAAGAATCGGTTTTGAGCCGTAATTATGTCCCTTCTGGTTTTCTACAGAGCCCACCCTAGAAAGAGAAATAAGAGGAAAGTGACGATCTCTATTTGCTGTATAAGCCTTTCACCTCAAAGCCTCCTCACCTAAAGCCGCCATTAGTGCTTTTTTAATTTTCTTTTTTTTTCTCCTAACCCATTTTGCTTCTTCACATTCATTACAGATTCCAAAAAAAAATCTCTCTTTCTTTCTTTCTCTCTCCCCAACCCCAAAATTGCGTAACTGATGGGTTTTAAATTTGGGGTTTTGACAGAAGGAGAAATAGAAGAGAGAGAAAGAGGGGTTTTAAAGTCTCTTGCTCTTTCCATTACTGCTAAGTACTACTCTCACCATACTCGGGGATTAGAGAGAGAGAGAGAGAGAACCGAACCAACCTTCTTCTCTTTTCTCTCTCTCCACAACTAACTCTCTCTCTCTCTCTCTCTCTCTTTGAATTTCCGGAAGAGAGAGAGTGATTTTTAAGATATGGGTTTGTCCCCGGAGAGGGTTAATCGACGGCGGGTGGATAAAAGCAGGGGACTTTATCCACTTTCTCCGGCGATTTTCTCACGTCGTATAATGACAAAAATTAACTTTTATTGGGGTTTTGTGCTGATCTCATCTTCTTCTCTTTTTCTTTTCATATTCTGTGCTGGTTAATTTATTTATTTTCTCTTTCTTCATTTCTCAATTTTTTTTTACTTGGTCAACAAAAATTATAAAATGAAACTCCCAAATCAAAATTATACAAAAACAACTTTTAAAAAATTATTCTTGTTGTCAAAACAAAAATAAAAGTTGTGCATCGCAGTTAATTAATTACTCCATCTAGACACAAGTATACTACAACTTATCTCCACTGTAGTAATATATTAAATCGGGTCTTAATTTAGACAAAATTGCTAACCATGATGAAGATTATTTGCTGAATAAAATGAATGCGTGAATGTTGCACTAATTTGTGTTACCTCATTTAATCTAATCTCTATTTAGCAACATCACACGTTATTCGATCGATACCTTCTCCAATTTTGAACTAATTTGAATATTAAAATTGTATAATTATAAATAGCAAAATTTTACAGCTATTTAGTAGTATTATTTTTGGCTGAAAATCCTTTTTGCCTTTTTGAGTCGTCTCGATATCTTGGCTGTTTCCGACTCACTTTTTAACTCTTAACAGTTCGAAGTGTATATCCAAAAAGTCAAACTCGTTTTACTAATATACATAGAAAATAGAAAACTGTGGAAGAAAGAAATATGGTTGAAACTTGGAAACTTGACAACAATGTGAATTTAATGTGAAAACTTTCGTTGACAAAAAGAATTATTGAAGCGTTAGCTGAAAAAAAAAAGATAAGAAGTTAATAAAAACCTGATTAGGTTGACAAAAAACCTGATGATCAAAAGCAAATCTCAAAATTAAATTAATTTGAGAAGTCTCTTCTTGGTGTTATCTTTTTCATTATTGGAGTATATGGAAACGTATCAGAAGAGAGTATAAATGCTATAACGTGAAGTAAATATATAAATTGATGAACTAAAAAGATAGTGTAATGAATTTGTCATGCACCAATTTTTTCTTATTGATGAGATAATCATTTAGGAAGAATAATTATGTACATATTAATGTTAATTTAGCACTCATGTGTGCCTTGCAAATATTGACATTATTCTGAAAAAAAGAAGCAATTAGATAGAGTCTTAAAAGAATTGATATAAATTTCCCATCTTACCACATTTAATTTGGGACCTTGAATAAAGTGAAACTTCACAGTTCACATACAGTCTCTGCCTTCGTTTGCTCCATATAGTAGCTATCCCAATTTAATTATCATATGGACCGATTCATTACTTTATTTATTATCTTAAGAAATTTAATTCAAATATATATTCAACAAATTTTCATAATTAATACATGCAGATAGTACAAACACGTGTTATATAGAGTTGTCCAATCCGGTAAGCCAAAACATTATAAAAGTAGTAAGTTTTTTCATTATTGGCCATAGGTTTTAGAGTTAATTAACTTTACATCGATAATAATTTCATTCATTACAGATTTACAGCTTGTTTTGCATGACTTTTGCTCGATCCTAGGCAGACTTTTTAATCCTCTTGAGCCGAGTTAGTACCGAAGAACCTCTGCTTCAAAATGTAGCAGATGTAGAGAAAAACCACGACTGACCAAAACAAGTTCCGAACCGAAGAAACTCCTTGGTTCTGTTGTTGTTGTTGTCCGTAAGCTATCTTCATCTTCTCCAGCTTCTGTGTCTCTCCCGAACTATCTAAAACTTTCTTCATCTTCTCTGATGCTTCAGCTGCAAGCAAGCCCTCTCTCACATTTCCTTCTCCAACTTTAGCCTTATTTTGTTCTTGACCAACTTTACTTTTCTGTTTAGTCTTTTCGGTTTCTGTGACTTCCTTCTGCTTACTTCCTCCTCCGAGAGATGCTGGTTTTTTGGGAAGGAGGTTACGGAGCGAAGCCAATCTCATAGGCAGGGGTTTATCTTCCGGGATTGTCACTTTCTTGGTCTACAAGAAATCATATCGTTAATTGTAAAGGTTAGTTTTGTAGCTATCATCAATAGTAGTCTTCAGATTTTTTTTTTTTTAAAACTAACCAATTGTTTGAACTGGAGATTGTAAAACATTTCAATGTATCTCTGCTTCGCTTTCTTTTGATCTTCGTTCACCTGTCTCCAAAATCCATAAATGCTTCCCATTTTCAACAACTTCTCTGCATAAATCTTCCATGTGTAGCTAACACAAACGATGAAAACAAAACTCACATATTAGAAAAAAATAATGTGACAAGATTTGCGTTTTGCGTTTTAAAGATTTATGTCTACTTACCACTCGTAAATCCGTTTGAGACCAGCCTTGGAGATATCATCCCAGTACGAACCATCTGTACGGCACTTGCTGAAGAAATCTCCAATCCTGGCAACAGATTCATCACCATTGTTTGGATCAATGTGGAAACCAGAGACACCGTCAACGATGATCTCCGCTGGTCCGCCTTGATTCGTGGCGAAAGTTGGGAGTCCACAGTTCATGGCTTCGATAACGGTTAAACCGAAAGCTTCGTACAAAGCAGGTTGAACAAAGACTCCTTTTGTATCAGCAATGCACCTGTAAAGCTCACTGTTCCTGTATCTATCGGTTTGAGCAGCGACCCATCTGAATTGCCCCTTGAGCTTATACTTCTCAATCAGATCATGCATTTTCTTGATCTCGGCCTTTTCTTCTCTGTCATTGGATTTCGACATGTCGAAGAATCCAGCAACGACCACAAGGTTAGCCATCTCTCTTAGTCTCTTGTCTTTGCCGTACCATTCAACCAAACCGGTTATGTTCTTCACTGTGTCTAGTCTCGCCATCGAGAAGATGATCGGTTTCTCTCTTTCCGCAAGATATCCCCTGTTTCCACACAGAAGTTAAAACTCAAAAATCATATGGTGTTTGATTATTTGTAATGAGACCATTCAGACTACTACTTACATGTGTTCTTCATTGTCTTTCTCATTGTAAAGCAGTTCTTGTATAGAAGGATGAAACTTGGTCAATCTTTTTTGCTTCTCCGTGTAAGGGAAGTATACAGATTGGTCGGCGCCAGGAGCAGCTATGTTAAACTTTGGATCAAACACATCAATGCCAGAGATAACTCTACATAGACCAGGCATTGTGAAGGCAGTGTGACTCTCATATTGTCCTGGCCTTTCCTTGCTGCAAAGATTTTTAGTTTTATGAGTTTGAATCTTTAATGCTTATAGTTTAGCAATAAAAGAACGAACCTTCCTGCGATTTCTTGATATGTGCTGGTGATGATGAAGTCAGTGACATTCATTGCGATTAAATCAGCTGTGAACTGGCAAGAGAAGTGGTATTTCGGATCTAATTCTTTCCACTTTGCATCAGAGTCTTCATACTTTGTCTTCTCCAAGGCATGAGCAATGGTTCCCTGAGTAACACCGAGTTTTGTGGCCATTAGAGACGCAACCAAGTTCCCATCTGTGTAGTTTCCGATGATGAGGTCAGGCTTGCACTCAAAGCGCTGGAGAATCCTGCTCGTTGCGTCCTGTAAATAAAGATAAAATCAACAGGAGGGCTTAGCTTAGTACCTGAGAACTTGTACCTGAGAAGGATGAATAAACTTGTACCTGAGTGAATCTCTCTAGGTAAGGGTAGATATCGAATCTAGAAACCCATTGACGGAGGATTCCTTTTTCTGTAACAAAAGGAACCCTAAGAATATGAGAATGCTTGGTTCCTTCAATGGCTTCTAGTTCTTGATCACACTTTGTTCCTCTTGCTTCCGGTATCAACCTTGTCACCACAAGAATCTGAGGCTTGTATGCGAGTCCTTGCTGGTTAATTCGAATGAGCAGCTCTTCCTCCAAGGCTCTTACTTGATCAAGAATGTATACAACCTATATGATCATTAATTATACACCAAGGTAAGATAAAAATTTGCAGACTTGAAAATTTGATAGTAAATTTGAGAATACTTGTTTTTATGCAAGTACCTGGCCTCCGGTATCTGGTAATCCGAGAACGTCTTGCTGCCCAAAATAGCCATGGACAGAGAATATCACAACGTTGAACACTGTGGGAAGCCTGCTAAAGAGCAAATCTAGCTTCACATTGTCTGGTGCCTCAAGAACTTCTGAGAGCATAACCATAGTTTCTTTCACTCTCTCTGATGTATTTCCCCAACCTTTCTCGAATCCCATTTCCTTCAACCTAAGAATGTAACCTTATAATCAGATCCGTATTCCAATTTCCTCTTGGAAAATTATAAAAGAATCTTGAGTCTTTTTATTTTCTTTACCTTTGTGCAAAAGTTTCATAAGGCGTGTGTTTTGGGTAAGTAGAGGCTACATTCACAGCAAGCATCAGAGATCTCTGTAGCTTTGCAACTGTGTTGAGATCGTCATTGATCATGAGATTCTGCAGACATAAAATCACCACGGATGAGTTAACTTTTGAAGAAAGTAAATGAAAATGCAAACATGAAAATGATTCAATCATGAAACCTCTCCGTGATGGTTAAGGCTAAGCAAGTAGTTCAACAAAGGTTCTAGTTCATGAGATTGGCCTCCAAGCTTAGAAGATATAAACTTAGAGATGTAATCAGCTCCATTTCCAATCGAAGAAGAAAGATTAAGCCGAGGAGTTGTGAAATCAATCGCTCCAAAGTCTATCTCTAATGCATTTTCATCCTTAGCCCTACAAAAAAAAATTTGAGTACAAAAAAATTACACCAAGATCATAATGTATTGCTCTGGTTATTTGTGCCATATGTGTATATCTTTTACTAACCATGACTCGTCGAAAACAGATTCCTTGAGCCTTAAGTAATCAGTGGCTGTGATTTCATCTACTGTTAGATCTCCACAGTTGACCTTAACATATTCCCAGAAACCAGGATTTGGCCTCGCGGCTAATGCAACAAACGGTGGAACCACTGCCGCCTCCTGAGTATTTAGAACAGAGCAAATTTAAGAAATCGCATGGACAAGGAACTAATTAAAAACCGGTGTTGTCTTAATTGCAAAATGGTAATGATCGATCATCTGTTACCTGAGTACAAGTGAGAATGTAACCAAACAGTCCCTCCAGGATCTTCTTCCGTTCACGGCTATCTTCTATACATTTCTCTAACTCATTCATCAAATTCTCACGTTTCATTAGCTTCTTTCCTCCGCTAACAAAGCTACAACATTTTTTCCACACAAATATATTCAAATAAAATATAGCAAAGAAAAGAAAAAACTAATCAAACGTGTGATGTTGAAAGTTTTTAAGAACCTGGCAAAACATCTCTTCATATGGTACCGGCTTTGTTTCAATGCATCAGGCATTTTGTCAGCGATTGAATCTGATCTTTGAAGCATGCTTGGAGATGCAGAAGAAGCCATATGTTTTTTTTTTTCTTCTTCTTATATACACAAACAACAAAAGACTCTCCTCAGAATACTGAAATGATTGAGATGAAGTAGTTTGCTGAAACAAGGTAATAATCACGATGTATTTATAGGATACTTTAAGATAAATGAATATGCTATGAAGGGGACAGTGTAGAAGGAGAAGGAAGGGGGAGAAGATTATTCGTTAGATACAAAAGTTGGAAAAGCTAAGTGTGCAAGTAAACAAAAAAAGAATATGCTTGATTTTTTATTTGTGAAGCAAAATCAGATTTTGTACTTTTTGCTTTTCTTGGGGGTTCATGTGAAATAACATAAACGGCATGGGGCAAAAAGAATCCCTTTTTTCCCCTTGGTGGATGTGTATTATTAGGTTGTGGTCGAAGTAATATATTAGAGCTGTTCTTTCCACTATAACATAAATGTTAAATTGATTTCCTCACACTTTAAAGTATTACAGACAAAATAGTAGTAGACAGTATCAAGATATCCCACATTTTTAATGCAGAAAAGGAGGCAACACACACGAAAAAACTCTATAAATTACCAAAAAAAAAAAAAAAAACTCGTTAGATATAAAAAAGGGTCAATTTGATGTATGTACATATTGGACTTGATATTAAAGAATATAATCATGTAAAATATATAATAAAGTATCTAACCAAAAATACTGTTTTTAATCTTTTTTACCCTTCAATTTATAAAATAGTAGTGTAGTATATAAACTGAAATAACATAGAATACAATCTTTATTTATTCTTCGGTTTGGATCGATTTATACTATTTGGATTTAACACCCTATTTATATCTTTGTGTTGCAAAAGTTAATTTACTCATATAATTGGGAAAACAAAATAATATTAAACACAATCTTCAAATCACGTTGAGAACAAATTTGAAAGATGGAGATGGATGTTAATATTATTTATTTTACTAAATCAAAATAGAGAAACTGATTGGTAGATTGAAGAAAATCGATGTTGGTAAATGGAAAATTTATGAATTTAAAAAAAAGTATATATTACGAAAAAAAATTGAAAATAAAAAAAAGTAATATTATATATAATATATAAATTATATCTTATATATTAGCCAATAATGGCCATTTAATTAATTTATAAGTTTTTGATGGTTATTGTTGCCAATTTCTTTTTTATGGCATAAAAAAGTTACATGAAGTTATATCTATGGGGAAAGCGGCAAAACCGGAAATGATTTTTTTTCTTCTCATCCGGTTCACATAAATATACCATAACACGGGTCGAGAAGCTTTACGGATACCGGACCAGAAATCGGTTTCCTAGCAATCCAAATGTACCGATTTTGAGCCGGTTCACGCTCTTTCGTTAGAGTCTCGGGTCCTCGGCGTTGTGTGAAGTGAGAAACGACTCAACTCGCCGAAGAAGACGACGGTGGTGGCCATGGAGAACGGAGAGATAGAGACAGCGATTAAAAGATGCGAATCGGTTATAAGGACGATCGAGCATCTTCCTTTATCAACTGCCATCACTGCCTCGTGTCGTCGCACTCTCCTCAAGCTCGCTTCCTCCGAGCTCTCCTTCCTCTCGTCCCTTGCTTCCGATCCTTCTCCACAGCCTCTCAGGTTCTGTGTTTAACTCATCTCTTTGACACTTTCTCTCTCTCTCCCTCACTCTCACTAATTCGCTTTCGCTCGCTCTGATTTTGACTTTGTTTTTTTGTTTCCCGCTATCTCGCAGTGTCAACATTGGCCACATTGAGTCAGTCGTATGGATCTTGCGTCTTCCGTCCATCACCGGCGTTTCGCGCGTTTGCAAGCCGCTTCCTCTGCCGATTGGTGGCGTTCACGTCGATCTCGTCTGTACTCTCGGAAAGGCTCCTGTATGGATCATCGTCTCCGATAGAAACCCTAGGCACATCTCCTGGAGCGAAGACCGCCATGGAGGCAAGGGCTTGAGGTCGAGAATTGAACATGTTCTCGCCGCTGCTCAGTCCACAGCCACGCTAAAACCTTCTTCGGTGATTCTGTTCTTCGCAAATGGTTTGCCTTCCTCAGTTTACGACAAATTGAAAGACGGATTCGGGGCTAAAGAATTCGAATTCTGCTCGGAGTCGTCTTCAATGCTCGAGTTCGATTGCGAGGATACGATGGAGGGAGGATGGGTTAACGTAGTTCGAAGCAGATCATACAAAGAATCAGTTTCTGTTGAGATCAAGCTCATAGATCGTTGCGAGTCTCCTGCATTTCTTGAACCTGAGGTTGTAATTCAAGCAGAGGTCGCAGAGCTAAGCAAAAATGATGCTTTCTCCTCTGTAATCTCCTCCATGAGATTGCAAAGTGAAGAAGACTGCTTCATAAATCTCGACACAACAGCTCTTGTTGCTCTCGTTTCTGGAATCACTAACGGATGTGCAGAGAGAATCGTGGGTATGCCTGAGATCGGATTAGATGAAAAGTTCAAAGGAAATACCGTTTTTGTGATTGCTCAGGTACCCATCAAGAGAGAAACGAAAAAAATCAGTAAATCACCATTGCCTCTTTATCTCTAGTCTATATCAAAGTATTAAACGTTTGTGAAATTGACAAACTATGTGCAGGCGGAATCTGAAATTGAGAAGCCAGTTCTTGTCAAAATGGGAGCTGTATTGTCAGGGAAGCGAGGGATTGTATGCAAGAGTGTTCTTTCAGAGTTCAAGGAGTTAGTATCAATGTATGCTGGAACCAATGAGAAGCGCAGAGCTGTGCAGTTGTTGAATCGCCTAATGTATAATTCGAATCACAATCATTATATTATGCTCTGTATCAACAGAGAATCTCAAAAGGTCAATACTTTCTACTCGTTATGATTGATGATGGACTGTGATTGGTGACAGGGTGGTGAATGACAATCCCACAGAGCGTGTGATGGGACTCCCAACAACGAGGAAGTTAGCAATGAAGAACAAGACCGTGTTTGGAACAGGTGATAGATGGGGAGCCGCGACATTGACTGCGAACATGGCGTTTGTAAGAGCCGTGGCTCAATCAGGCATGTCTCTCTCAACCATCGACCATAGCCCTCGAGCTCTCACTGGTGATTAGCCAAGTTCAACTTCTACCTCTCTGTAATTTTGTAAGTTCTAAAGACCAAAAAACAGAACCTACTATTTTGCGTTTTTCTGTTGTCCAAGTAAATTAATAATAATGAATGCGGAACAAAAGCAGAAAGGTCTTTTGCAGAATAGAATTTTGATTGCACTAAACAAAACATACAGATTACAGACAACATGTCAACATCTTCTCTTTCCTGGAAACTAATCGAAATCCAATGTGGTAGCTTTCACACACAGAGGAGAACTTTACATATTATCGACATTTGGAGAATCATAAAAGTAGTTATAGAGCTGTACCATTTGTATATTTCTATGGCGGCCAATGGCTTTGTACTCTATATAAGGTAATATGCACTCTATCTTTGGTTGCCTGTAATGTGTTGTGATGTGTCTTTAGTCCGTAGATTATCTTCAGACCAGGAGGCATCTACAGAAGGAAGTTGGTACTCGTCGGGTTTCAATGCCAAGGCAAAATCAGGAAGCGTTGGTGCTGTCTCCATGATTCTATAAAAATGGGCAACAAAAAGCCAATTGATGAGCATGTAATAGCATGAGAACGAGAGGAAACTTTTCAAACTGAAACTCACTTCTCATATGAGTATAGATCGCGGTTTATCCTGACTTTACTTGAAGTGTCTTTCGGTATCTTCTCTGATAGATACTTCATCGTCCCGAAAAGCGGTGGAGTCCTGAACAAAAACGTGAATGGATATTAATGACTGACATCAGATAGATAGATAGATACAGGAGATCCATCTACAAAGGCATAGAAGACGGATTTTTTACCTTGACGTGGGAGAAGAAGCATTAAACGCCTCACTTGCTTTCTTGCTTTCTTTAAAACACTCATCTGCAGCCTGTAAAGCAGCAACGGCCATGCCATGTGATTTCTCTGTGTTTCCTTCATCAAGGATCAAGCCATGGTAGTAGTAAGCTGCAGCCTGGTTTTATAAATACACAGAGATACTCAAGTGTCTTAGTGAACACAGAAGATGAAAAAACTGAAGCATTGTACAGATAACCTCTAAAGGTCTAAATGATGAGAATGATGTCCAAACAGTACCTTAGCTTCGACATACTTCCACTTAACAAAGAGCCTATGCTTTTCTCCCCAACCATTTGCTAATGGAAGATTCATTAAGTTATCTTGTGCCTAATCAAGGTTCATCAAGAAGTATTAGAGAGGTTACAACTCGAGAAACGCACATAAAAAAACAAAACTCGTAAATTAGTGGACACTTTTAATGTTGACTAAAGCAGTAGAGAAGGAATTAGTGGACACTTTTAATGTTGATAATTCGTAATTTATGGTACAACTTAGTGAGCAACTTTACTTATATTTTCCCCCTTAAACATGGTGATCAGCAGACACACACAAGTTAGTGACACTTTTGTGATGGTGAAATGACCACTTTCTTCTTTTTATAGTTTCATTTTGTTTTTGATTTTTTTTGTCCCCATTAATCTAAAGTGGATAATACACATTATGCCCATTAACAACAACTATTTTTTCTAGAATAATAAAGTGATTAGCAAAAATGGTTATACAAGAAAACAAATTTGATACGGTAAAAAAGTATTACCTGCTGCCAGTATTTCACCATTTCACATGAAAGTCTTCGTTTCACTGCGAGAGTGGCTTTTGCGCTATCAATCGCCATCCCAAGTTGGATATCAACACCCTAATTCAGATACGCTAAGATTTTAGACCTTGGAAGATACTTCTAACCTTAGGCTAAAGGAAACTATTGTTCATATATAAACTAGGGAAACACATGTAGCGCATCATAAGTAGCTGTTCTACCTGGCCTAATGCTTGCAAGCAAAGAGCCCGTAGAGTTCCTTCTGCTAGGTCAACAGGCAAACTTCTCCTGTACAAAAGGAGGAGAAACAAAGCAAGGGCCATGTCAATAGTGTTGATCAGAAGTATCAACAATTATAACTGTTGACATTACAGACATTTGTCACGTATGAACCTTAGCTCGGCTGAAAACTGAGGGAGGACATGTTTGACAGCACAGTCCAGGTATCCAGCTGCCTTTAAGAAGATATCGATTGAAGCTCGTCTATTTTCTATAATACATTGGAACAAAAAGGCATAACGTTAATTTTCAAGAACTCAACACATCTCTCAGATTCATTTCAAATTTTCAAGAAGAAGTGAAGAGGAAGCGAAATCTAAAGAGAAACAACTAATATGTATTTAATATATTTTCCCCACAGAACTGAAGAAGTATGAGCAATTTCGAAGGTCTAACCTTCTGATACTTTTGGATGGTAGCCATCAGTGGAACCTCTAGGAAGAAGCAGTAAATTGGCTTGTGACATTTGTAGCATTGCCATTAGATGCAAGATCGACAATACTTCATACCACACGTTTGACATGGCTGTTTCCTGGTAAAGGTAAAAATAATCTTCTCATATTCTCAACACCCTTCAGTATAAAAGTCAAAAACAACAACACAATAAGAAATAAACTGCTTTGATTACTGCACCTCTTCCTCATCCTCCTGGTTTACCCAAATAAACTGTACACTGAATTGTAACTGGCTACCTGAAACATTAAACGAACGCATGTCAGAATATATATATATATATGGAACCAAACAGATCTCGTTGCTGTAGCATATAAATGGTACTTTACCATCTTTAGTTAATCCTAATAGAACAGGTAGATAATCTTCCAAAGCTTGATGGAGATCTGCGAGCGTTGAACCTCCTGCAAGAAACAATCCTGTTAAAAGTTTTGAAGAAGGAAAGCAGGGAAAAAAAGAGAAACAGAACAAAACATACCATGTTGTGTCTTTCTCCTAGTTCTTGTTATCGTTGGTCCTTCTTGATTTGCCATCACAACTATTCGTGTTCTTAAAGCTGTCAGGCGCTCCACAAGTGTCTTTGGCAATTCATCACCCAGTGACTGAGAAAACTCCACAGGCTTGGGTATCCTTAAACCGGGTACATATACCGAAACGTCTCCTATGCTCGTTGGCTTTCTCCTGTTTCCACCAGTGTCCCTTGGCGTTGATGCAAAGCATCCCATTTCTAGAACTTTAACAAATCTACAAAACTCACAGATAAAAAATAGAAACAGAGATCATTATTAACCTTGAAACTGAGCCAAAATTTGATATGTGAAGATGAGATGATCAAAGCTAAAAGACAACAGGATGATCCAACAACGAACATGGTACAAGGAGACGAAACTAATAAATATCCAACCAAAAACAGTCCCCAACTCCATTCTCATCCACTAGATTCGTAAGATAAAGTTAAACTAGCTCACGAGCCATCTGCCATACTATCATCTTCATAATTCTACGTGACCAGAAATTTGAGAGCTACGCCAACTTTTAGACCAATGTCCAAACAGAAACAAACAAGCATATGACGACATTAGATAGATGTGGTTTTCGAAAACCGAAAAAACAAGAGAGAGTTTTGATTTTCTCACCTACCTGCTTGACGTTTATCAGAATTATTGGCTAAAAGACATATAATTCAAGTGATTGCTGCAAGAAAAGAGAAGAAAAAAAGGAGACTTAATCAGCAAAAAAAGAAACATGTGACTCACAGAGAAAGCATGAAACTTTTAAATGTTTCTGTTCACAATTTCTCTCCACTGTGAACGAATTCAAAACCTAAACTAAATCTCGGAAAGAGGCAAAACAAAACCCATTGCAAACGAGGTCCAAGAAGCAACTTGACATGAAAAGAAAAAAAAACCAAGATTTTGAGTGAAGGGTCGTCAAGGATATTGCTAAATTTAAATATGAAAAAAAAATGTAAGGATTGAAGTTTTTATCAGAAAGGGGATGGTCTATCGAGCTAAGAAACCTCGGAATTAAACAAAAACTTCAATCCATGGAAACAGAAAAAAACCTTAAGCAACATTTATCCCTAGAACCATAACCAAAGTAGGAAGTCTATCCAAAATCGGGTTTTATCAGACGCCGGAAGATAAATTAAGACACCCTCAAAACCCTAAATTCGAGAAGGGTATTGAATCCGAGAGATATAGAATCTGAAAATTGGAGAAAGAAAAAACCCTTTTTACCATCAAAGACCTAAGAAGAAAAAAATGCTCCTGCTCTTTCCTCAATATGTAGATGATTGCAAAATGATGGAGGCGATGGTCGATTCCAGAAATCGCAATGGGGTATATAAATCCTGGCTCAAGCTATAGAAGACGATAGATAATTAAAGAAGGATGGGGGGGCTGGCGAAAGCAGAGGATGATGGTGAAAAAATGAGAATGAAGGTGAAGAAGACTTCGGGGGCGCAAATTTCGACTTTATTGAGAAAATTAATGCTCTTTCGACTTACGAGAGTACCTCTCTCCTACCCAGTACGGCCTGCACATCATATTATATTAAAATTTGTTAATTAAATATTTTTTTATAAAGGTGGCTTTTTTTTTTGTTTTTACAATAATAAACGTATGTTTTTTTTCTTGCGGATGATATTAGTATTGACTTGGGTTGAATCACACACAGAGAGACAACATCTAACCGATACTATACAACGTTAAAAGACAAATCAAGTTTTTGTAGCGTTAAAAGACAAATCAAGTTTTTGTTTAGGACACATTAATAGTAATAACAAGACTTAAAAATCAACTACAATAGAACATAACCGAATAGTAGTGGTCTAGTGGTTTCAATTTGAGAATCGATTTCTTTCAAATACAAAATTGCTAAATTAATCACATTTTAATCACATCGACTTATATAGAGGCTGCTTATATATATAATAGATGAATATGTACCACATGAGAAGAAAAATCGGTCAAAACCACTCAAGATATATGGTACTATATCTTCCAAAAACCTTTAAAGTTAGAAATAATTTATTCGTATAAAAGGAATGAAATAATAATCTATCTATTCGCGGATACTCTTAATAATTTCAGTTTTACACATGTGCGAACCAAAGAGACAAACTACCTATATAAATCATAGGTATAAGAAAAATTAACTTAACTATAAATAAATGTGTATGGAGGATGATGTCCACCATTACCAATACTTATCTTACACACATGCATACGCATGGATATGGTTGGTTTCCATGATTCTATATTATTGTAATTCGTGGAAGCTCCTTGGCACCATCCTCTTTCAACCAAACAAAAGCTTTAATTTTCTATATGCTTTAAATATCTAAAAACTAATATATATATATATACTTGTATTCTTGTATATAGTCAAGTGCCTCATACGTTAGATAGGCACTGTATATAGAAACTATTCTTACATGCTACGAATGGATCAACTTGGAGTAATGTATACTAAGTACATTCGGGCTTAAAACGAATAAATATGTGTTACAATGACATCAAAGGAGACCGTCACTTTCTAAAATATCATTGACTCTTTAGATCTTTTTGATTACAATCACAAAAATATTGAGACACGAACAAATTCCACCGGCCTATGCATAAGCATCCCACGTCCACTTTTTTGTTCAAGTCTTCTCCATAACACATTAATTGCTTTTTCTTTTGGTAATAAATGGGACATACAGTACACGTGGCGACAATGTTAAAGCACGTGACGTTGGTAATAATATTTGGGCGGGGTCGATGTACTAACGACGTAAGAGAAGATACTTGTGGAAACCAGTGGAAGGGTGACACGTGTTCAGGTTCATGAATCGGTTTCGGTTAGGAAGATCACGACTGTCTTCACCGCCCCAACGGTCTGTAGCAAATTTAAACGGGTGGCAGTGCGGTTGGTGGCGACACGTGTCCTCAATCATTCCGTTCTCTCCGGCTGCTAAAGCTACCCTTTTTTTGGGTGTGTTCGTTTCGTCTACGACTTGCTTTCCTTTTATAGAAACTGACTTGTTTTGTATAACTAACACCAACAAGACACCTTTATTATTAGATCGTTACAAGTAAACATAGATATTTGTCCACAAGTTAAATTTGGTTTGGAAAAGGTATTAAACAAAAATGCAGCTGTATATAGTATGAATTCATATGTTACATTTTTTTTCATATATCATATGATACAGTTTTTATTTAAAATTTGGTTCATGTGTATCTTTTTTTATTTTGGTAAACAGTTTCTGAAAAGTATGATAAATGCGTTAGAGATAAATCGATATAGAGATGCAATGATTTTAAACGAGAGTCGCAGAAACTACGCTAAGATTCTCCAACTGCCATTTGAGGGGACCAATGGTCTGATTAGAAATAATTAGCACTTGTTGCTAGTGGTCACGAGTACTGTGGTTCTTATCTGGAACAAAAATCATGAACTATTCTTAGATCTATAATATTTTAAATCCAAAACTCACGTTAAAAATTTGACAAATTATGAAACATTATGAGTTACTTACTTACAAGTTACAACAATGAAAATACAAAAAAAAAGTTTTGATCTAAATAATAAATCAAATTCAGATTAATGTACTAATTTTGTTTGCTTGTATTTCAACATAAAACACTAAACTAAACTCAAGTACATAATAATGATCACCGCTTCAAGAGAGAGAAAGCTCTATCATCTCACTAAAAAAATTTCACCTTCGTTTCGTTTGCTTGTTTCCGGTCGGCGGCCGTGGGCTTCTTCAGCCATGGCGTCGGTTTAGCTTTTAATTCTTTTCGTTTTGATTTCTGTTTTCTAAGTTGTGGCTATTTCAGATTTGGATTTGATAACTTTTAGGGTTTGGTGAGATTTTGCTTCATCAGACCTGAAATCGATCTGATCTTTTTAGATCTATTTTGCCTCTTGTTGTCCTTTTCTTCAGAGATGTTTTGGCTAAACTCAATTTGGTGTTATGTTTTCAAACTTGCTGGTTTCATTTTCGTTTTTCTTTTGATGAAGAAGTTTGTTTCCGAGAATCTTTCCTTCGTCCAACAGTGCTATTTCTTCTCTTCACCTCTGCCAATAAATTCTTTTCGGTGGTGCTTTTTAACAGCTGTACTTCGTTAAAGCGTGGTGCTGGGTTGAATATCATTTTGTAGAAGATTTGGTGTTGATTGGTTCTAATTTGCAGCTGTAGTTCTCTTCTTCGCTGGTTCTTTGTATGAGAAGTCTATTTGTGTTACAAGAAGATGTTGTCATTGTTTGGTGGGCTGTGGGCAACGACGGTGGATTCAGTTTATAGACTTCCTAAAGTTTTGAAATTGTGCAGGTTTTATTGCTAATATCAAGTTGATGTTTTATGAAATTTTTCTGTTTGAGTTGGAGTTTGTTTCCGGGGAAATTTTGTTTTGTGCTGGCTTAGATTCTGGAGATATCTAATTTTTCAGCCGGCTTGCATTCCAGGAATATTTTATTGTTCCAACGGTTTTGTATTTCACCTCTGTATTCTACCATGTAATTCTACCTTAATGTTTAATATTAATAAATGATAAAAAAAAATTCAAGTACACAAAAACAATTTGAAACTGAAAACATGTCATATTTAATAAAAGGCCTCAATAGAAGAAGCCCATTAAAATTTTCAAAGCCTCTTTCTCTCTCTCTCGGTCTCCGTCGCCGTCCCCTTCCTCTGCTTCGCTTTCCTCTCACACTCTCTTTCGCTGTAAACCTCGCGACGGGTTTATCTCCCAGTGATTTTTGGATGATGCGAAGACTGGTGTTCTCTTGCTTTCTTCGTTCTAGATCCTCCTTGCATCTATCGACACCATTACCACCAGAAAGGTCCGCACTTTTCTCTCGTCTGTTGAGTTCTCCTTCTATCCAAAACTCCAAAGTCTCTCCCCAAATCAGCTTCTCGATTCACTCACTCTGTTCTGCGACTCTGTCAAACCCATCAATTGAAATTATCCGTACGGAAAGGGTTTCCGAAGATCAATCACTGGTTTATTCCAAGGGAAATGAGATTAGAACACAGGGCTCTAATCATGCGGTTGGAGTCCTACACGAAGCTATCATGGCGAACTTGAACGCGTACGATGATATGGAAAAAGCCCTTGACGAATCCGGCGTCGATCTGACGACTCCGGTGGTTTGCAAGATCTTGCAGAGGCTTCAGTACGAGGAGAAGACGGCGTTTCGGTTCTTCACTTGGGCTGGACACCAAGAACACTACTCTCACGAGCCTTCTACTTACAACGAGATGATTGATATACTGTCAAGCACCAAGTACAAGAACAAGCAGTTTCGGATTGTGATTGATATGCTTGATTACATGAAGCGAAACAACAAAACCGCTGTTCCTACGGATGTTCTGCTCGAGATTCTCAGGAAGTACTGCGAGAGGTACCTGACCCATGTTCAGAAATTCGCACAGAGGAAACGGATCAGAGTGAAGACGCAGCCGGAGATTAACGCTTTGAACATGCTTCTTGATGCTCTCTGCAAGTGTGGCCTCGTGAAGGAGGCTGAAGCTATGGTTAAAAGGATGAGGCACAAGCTTAAACCCGATGCGAATACATTCAACGTCTTGTTCTTTGGGTGTTGTAGAGTCAGAGACCCTAAGAAGGCGATGAAGCTGCTCGAAGAGATGATCCAAGCTGGTCATAAACCGGAGAATTTCACGTATTGTGCTGCCATTGATGCTTTCTGCCAAGCCGGGATGGTGGATGATGCGGCTGAGCTGTTCGAGTTCATGATAACAAAAGGCTCTGCGGTTTCTGCTCCAACAGCAAAGACCTTTGCTTTGATGATCGTGGCTTTGGCCAAGAACGATAAAGAGAAAGAATGCTTTGAGCTAATCGGGCGTATGATAAGCACGGGCTGCCTTCCTGATGTGTCGACGTACAAGGAAGTGATCGAAGGTATGTGTAGTGCTGGAAAAGTTGAGGAAGCGTACAAGTTCTTGGAGGAGATGAGCAATAAAGGTTACCCTCCTGATATAGTCACTTACAATTGCTTCCTTAGGGTGCTGTGTGAGAGTAAGAAGAGCGACGAAGCGCTTAAACTCTACGGAAGAATGATAGAGACGCGTTGTGATCCTAGCGTGCAGACGTACAACATGCTGATATCTATGTTTTTCGAAATGGATGATCCCGATGGAGCATTCAACACGTGGAAAGAAATGGACGGGAGAGGCTGTGGTCAGGACATTGAGACCTACTGTGCTATGATCAATGGGCTTTTCGACTGTCATAGAGGTAAAGAGGCGTGTTTTCTTCTGGAAGAGGTTGTGGACAAAGGGCTGAAACTGCCGTATCGTGCGTTTGACGCTTTTTTGATGCGTCTGTCGGAAGTTGGTAACCTCAAGGCAATCCATAAGGTTTCTGAACATATGAAGAAGTTTTACAATCATAGTATGGCTAGGCGTTTTGCACTCAATGAGAAGAGAAAGAGTACGAGACTCAGAGGGAAGTAATGGGGGTAACTGAGAAACTGTTGGAACATATGATATTCAATTGCGAGAAGAACCATTCTCAGAGGTGAGATTCTAGTGTCGTGATGACTCTGTTGCTTAGAGTGGAGCTCTTCCAGATTGTGATCTCTGGTAGTAAATTTCATCCTGTCTCCAGTTCTGAACCAAGAAGCATGGTCCCCAAACAAAGAGACCTGTCCAGGTTATGTTGTTTCTTTGGGAATGATTCCATAGCTAGCAATATGATCAATGTGTTGGTCCAAAGTCATTGTACTATTGACTGTTGCGTACATATAGCGGAATATTGTAGGATTCTTTTCGTTCCGGTTAATGAACGTGACAGGCCTATATTCTTTATGATTCATCACTCTTTTGGGGTTACCTTTGTTCTTGCTCTCTGAATCTCGTGACTTTTTTTTATGTGAGATTCTTGAGACAGATATATGCTACAACGGCTTCATTGATCAACTAAGATAACGAGGTTTTGCAGTTCTTGTAAGAGGTTCCAATCTCGATAACTCTTGGTGAACGACATGACTGACTGTTCGTCGGTCAGCATTTGGTGAAGTACATTTTAAGTGTAAAATCGATATGGTATGCTGTACCGGATTAGTTGTAATCAAGAACCGGTTTAGTTGACTTGTATCCTGGTATAAGTTTTGTTCTCGAAGAAAATAGGTTTAGTTTAGTTATGACTTGTGATAGGTTCGAAACTGAAGAAGGCTTCTCTCCTAACTACCAATAGAGCAAAATGAAGTTGGTTATGGCTCCATTCCCAACTAACTCTGTTTTCCTTTTTTTTTTTTCTTACTTAACTTTACCAGCAATTATTTCGGTTTTGTTTTAAGAAAATAAAAAACAAATTAAAGAGATATTCGAATAATCCCCGGAACATTCAAATGTAAGGATTTGCTGTTTTTTTTTTAGTCCTGAAAGTACGAAACCTATAAAGTTCCGTTTTGGACAAGAGAGAAACTAATGACGTGCTTGGAGAGACCAAATATTTTGACCACTTTTATTTCTATTTTTACGACTATAATGTTTGAACACATGTCAATATTTTTGTATAAAAATTACTTGCTAATTTACGTCATCACGTCTATCGACTATCATCAACCTACAATTTATTTAACATTAGGTATTAAGTTTATTGAATATTAATGAAGTTTAGTAAGAGTGAGAAAATGGTGCGATCATAATAAGCAACGAAATATATAAGTAGTTCAATGATATTTTTCGATAACAAAAATGATTTAAAAAAAAAATCAAAGTGACAATTCTTTTGCCGCAATGGCAAAACAAACATTAGTCAAAAGTTTAAAACCAATTATAAAATAAAAATCTAGAAGTGGTGAAAGAAATAAGAAAGTTATTTGTTCGATGATCTTTAGTCTAGTCAGTGTTAGTTGTTAAGGTTACGATTTTATAAAACTGAATTAACTTATAGCTAACCAAAAGTTAGTTGTATGATGTCCACGTTGGCATATATAGTTCGAATTAATTTAGAGAAAACGTTGATTAGGTCTGAAAGGTTATCAGAACATGTCCATCGATATATATATAGGACCTGCTATTTAACCAGAAGTCCACAACATTGTTACCAAACTCTCTCCTTCTCCTCATGTTTTTTTTTGGGATTTCAATTTCCATAATTTACTAAATAAATGATATTTTAAAGTTTATCTATGAATAATTTAATTAGCATTCTCCCTGACAAAAATATGATTATCCATCGAATGTAGTGTTTCTAGAAATTCCCGATACATTTATAAAGTTCCTTATAAATACTGTACAACAGATTAATGTATACTTAAATTCAAATATAGCAAAATAAAAAACAACATTTCTAGAAAGAATCATCCAAGTTAATACTGTATAAGTGTTTTATTCATATCAAATAAAGCAATTTTTTCGAAGCTTCTTACAAAAATTCATTCGTAGTTACTATTATTATTTAAGTATCTGTATTTTTTACTACAATAAAAATTGATAAGATATATATTTATACGTTTGTGCATATGAAATTAATTTAGATAAACAAGCTATTTATATGTATGCGTTTGTGCATGGAATATATAAACGTAATTTAGATTAAAAAACGTTCAAATAGAGTAATTAATTGACAAAATATGAGATTAGGATATCAATGTTTATATTAGATATGTAAATACGTAGGTTGGCCAAGATTACACAAACGTAGATGAGTATTGGTGGCTAGAAGTAGCGGGTGTAGGTTAGAAGTTAGAACAAAAACCTTAAACTAATACTATACGAAGAGACGTTGAGAGGTTAACGAAATTCAGCCCACACCAAGCAATCTCTACCCTTACATTCTTTAAAATTGAATAAATCCCATATATATATATATATATATATATACTATAAACTAATTATTTAAAATGTAAGTTATAAAAACAAAGAAGAGAAAAAGGTAGATTACTTAAAATGGGTGTTGTGTTGGTTAGGGAAGACGTTGGCATCAGTCGCCGGTGGAGAGGTCCGTCCAAACCCTTCCGACTCTCTAACGGATTTTTTTATTTTATTTTATAATTTTCCTTCATCCATTTTTTTTCTTCTTCGTATATATAAACTCTTTATGTAAGAGTACTGTATATATCCCTCTCTATATATATATGTATACGTGCTGTTGCTCTTCACCTTTCTTCTTGTTCCCACATACCCATCTTCCCCAACCTTTCCTCCAAGAAAAAAACTTAGGGTTTTAATTTCGATATATTTATACATGAACGCACCAAATTACTTGCCTACGTTGTTGACAGAACATCTGTGTGGGTTTCTTTCCTTGTGATAGATATTGTCTCTTTGTTCTTGTATTGGTTTCGATCGATACACTTTGTGTTGATTAAGTAGCTTGATAGATCGGCGTAAAGAAGAGAAGGATCATGTGTAGTCGAGGCCATTGGAGACCAGCAGAAGACGAGAAGCTCAAGGATCTGGTCGAACAATATGGTCCTCATAATTGGAACGCCATAGCCCTCAAGCTCCCTGGTCGATCTGGTAATTATCTTCTAGCTAGGGTTGGTCCATATCTTACAAAACTAGGGTTTGATATAAAAATAAGCTGATAATTAATTTGTGCTGATGTATATGCAGGCAAGAGTTGTAGATTGAGATGGTTTAATCAACTGGATCCGAGAATAAACCGAAACCCTTTCACGGAAGAAGAAGAAGAAAGGCTCTTAGCGGCTCACCGGATCCACGGGAACAGATGGTCGATCATCGCAAGGCTTTTCCCCGGAAGAACTGATAACGCGGTCAAGAACCATTGGCACGTCATCATGGCTCGACGCACACGCCAAACCTCCAAGCCTCGTCTTCTTCCCTCGACGACTTCGTCTTCTTCTTTAATGGCAACTGAACAAATCATGAGGCCTTCTGGTGATAGGAAGAGATTACTTGGTGACGTTATTAAATACCCTTACCAATTCTCACATATCAATCATCTTCAGTTCCTCAAGGAGTTTTTCACCGGAAAGATCGCTTTAAATACCAAAGGTAAATTCAAAATCATGGTTGACAAAAAAAAAACTCAAAATGATGGACCCGTTTTTTGTAATTAAGTGTGTTACATGTTCATACGTATAAGTGTTGGAATGATTAGCGATGAAAAGTTTAGCCGAGTTTCGTTTTTCATTGCATTTTCAAAAGTTTGTGACAAAATTTCATGTTTTTTTTTGCTTGTAGTCATATATCATTTTTGTCATTATGTACATTAAATTATCTCTACATCTCTATACATTAATAGTTGCAATAACGTAACTTATAATTTTGATCTTCTTTTCTTGTTGCAATCGCAGCAAACCAGAGTAAAAAGCCTATGGAGTTCTACAATTTTCTACAAGTAAACACGGATTCAAACAAGAGCGAGATTATTGATCAAGAATCAGATCAAAACAACCCCAATGACTCGGACAACAAAAACGAAAGCCGTGTTCCCTTCTTCGACTTTTTGTCTGTTGGAAACTCTGCCTCCTAGGGTTAACTTGTTTGCAGTGTGTATACATATGTAAGTCCTACGTACATTTCTAGCTTAACTATATAGTCCGTATACGCACGAGACTTTAGATCGATGACATGTATGTTTGGTGTATAAAACCACTAATTAGTGAGCTCTAATCTGAGCGAAATGTGAAAAGTGTACCACATGTTAAATTGTTAATGCATCCACACCACACATTCTCAATCGGGTTGCATATGAGACTGATAGAATGTCTAAATCATACAAATCTCTTACCAAGAAAAACAATCATATAAATCTTACGGCGGCGTTCTTAGTTTTGACTATAGTTAAAGATGGTTATTGTGGTTAACTAAAAGAGAACAAGAGATGTCGTGTAACGAAGAAATAGATGCAATTACATCAGCAGACTATTCAAACATATCACCTGTTCAAACATATTACACCTACGGTCAAGATCATGCACATATGAAACTCCTACATTCACATAGTTCCTTGAAATCTTGAGCTGATTAGCAAACGTTTTTTTACTGTATATGTTGTATATCTTGTTATTTTTATTAGTTTACGTTCTTTTGTGTGTGTGTGTTTTTTTTTTGGTAACAGAACACAATGTGATAGTATGTAAACTATAAAGACTATTTTTTTTAATGAAGAAATTGAGTTTAAAATGGTGAAGTATGATAACGGAAAGACGAAATGGATGTTGGAGTGTAGATATGATTAAGTTGGGCGTAGTTATCAGCCACCAAGAAAGATATTTCAAGGCAGCAAATAAAACTTTTAGTCAGAAAAACAAATAATCACCAATAATAAAAAAAGTAAAAATAATGGGATGTAGTTGGAGATTAAAAAGCACACATTTTGACAGTTGACACGACTTATAACCACACCTTCTATTTTTTTTTTTTCTATTCTTAACCACACTTTCTAATTTCAATTGGTTTCGTAAATGACTTCTAATGTTTCCTCGTTGAATTTTAAATATCTGTGAACGTATTTGATTACAGAGAAGACGAAATATATCAAACATACAAGCGACAGTTTCAATTTAGAAGCTTTGGGGGCAAAAACTATAATTCTAAAGAAATTGAGGATTAACTTGCAATACCTGACATAAACGCCAACGCGGAAAAGCGTTTTCGTCCTGGCGTTTCGGGTAGTGTAACTTTAACTCGGTCTAGATCGCAATTAGCCCAAGTAAATGAACAACATTCTCGAGTTAGAGTAAAGCTACGCACGGATCGTCGTCTTTTCTCTTCCAAAACGGCGAATCGAAGCCGAGATTCGGAAATCTCCTTAGTATCGAAGGAACCACCGCCATAGATATGGCGACTAAGGCGGCATCGTCTTCTACCCTCCCCAAATCTGGAGCCATCTCCAAAGGCTACAATTTCGCCTCCACTTGGGATCAGGTAATCGCGAGGTCCTATCACAATCTGAGCTCGAGACCCCTATTGATGAGTCTAGTGTCTCATTGTGTTGGGATGAAATGTTTGGATCTGAATGCTGCTCTGTTTGTTGAGAATAATCAGAGATTCACTGTGACCTGGCCCTGTTCTCTCTTCACATACTGACTTGTAATGTGGTTATTTTCCACTGCAGAGCGCTCCTTTGACTGAGGAGCAACAAGCAGCTATAGTTTCTTTATCCCACGCAGTCGCTGAGCGGCCATTTCCTGCCAATCTTGTGAGTCTGAGGTTCTTTGTTTTGGGTTTTTTTTTGGTTTTACCTTTTTTGTGTTTAATGTCAGTGTTAGTTCATGGTTTTAGGTACATGAGCATGTTCACCGGCCAGAGAATGGCTTGTCTGTCTCAGCAGAGGACACAAACTTGGGGAATTCTGGAACAATTGAAGCTGTTTTGGTTAACACAAATCAGGTGATCTCTTGTCCTGCAACTTGGTTTTCCCAATGATCTGTGACGTCTGTGGAGAAAGATTATGCTCAGCTTATTTGATATAGAAGTTTATATTGCAGTATATTTACATGTTTACTAATGCTTCTTCATTTGGACGTATGTTGTTTTTAATTACAGTTCTACAAATGGTTTACTGATCTCGAATCAGCGATGAAGTCTGAGGTTAGTGATAGTCATGTTGTTCATACTTGGGAAACATTACTTGAAATGTGTCTAAATGATTTGTTTCATAGACAGAGGAAAAGTATCGGCACTATGTCAATACTTTGACTGAGCGCATCCAGACGTGTGATAATATACTTCTCCAGGCAAGTTTCCACCAAGTTTTGTACAATGCTGTGTCCTTACCTTTCCAAGAGATTATAAGGCATCTGTTTCCGTATTGACCTTAGGATTTCTCCTGCGCAGGTTGATGAAACGCTCGACCTATTTAATGAGTTGCAGCTTCAACATCAAGCAGTAACAACGAAGACTAAAACTCTTCATGATGCATGCGACCGAATGGTATTGCTTTCTCTGTCTTTTATGCAGCAAAATGAATTTAGTCTTTCTCTTAATCTTTCGCATGTGTTGTGCTCCTACCTGCTATTTATTAAAATCGAAATGACAAACAAGAGATGCTTGATGCAAGATGGGTGATCAAGATTTTCTGACTCTCTATTTGATTGCTGTAGTTTACTGACCCGAGCTCTATTTCTTCCATCTTTTCAAGTTAATGGAGAAGCAGAAATTGATGGAGTTTGCAGAAGCACTAAGGAGTAAGCTCAACTATTTTGATGAATTGGAGAATGTAAGATTTAAATACTGGCCTACCATAATGATTTTTGCATACTGTTCAAGTATAAGTGTGTAGTTGCTTGAGATAGTGCTCTTGTTTTACTCATTAACATTATCTACTTAAAACTTGGCCTACACGTGGAACTTTAGTTCATAGTGTATGTTTCTCACTGAATACTGGTTGTAAATTTAGGAGGGAATACCTAACAAAGTGATAAACTGCTCTAATTTCTTTCTTTTTTTGGGCAGATATCCTCCAATTTTTACTCTCCAAATATGAATGTATCAAACTCGAACTTTCTCCCACTACTCAAACGGCTCGATGAGTGCATATCGTGAGTAAATGATGTTGCATTGATTCAATATTATGCATTTTAAATTCACTACGTGCCAATTTTCTAAAAGAATGACGCACTTATAGTTCGTCCTGATCTCTTGAATGATTGTAATATGCTTCTTTTACCTTGGATTTTGCAGATACATCGAAAGTAATCCCCAATATGCGGAGTCGAGTGTTTATTTGCTTAAATTTCGTCAGCTCCAGGTACATCGAAAGAGCTCTCACTCTCTCCCTCCCTTGTTTCTTGCACATGCACAAACTTATACACTGTTCCCAGAATTTATAGGGGAGATCATTTATCTTGTAGCCTCTGTTATGAGAGAAGACTAATATTTATAATTTTTACAGTCACGCGCCTTGGGCATGATTCGAACTTACATCCTTGCAGTGCTCAAAACTGCTGCTTCCCAGGTAACTGTTCTTTTTAATATGAATATTTGCACAAAGCATGTATTTACTTCTCGTGACTACGTAGGTTCATATATTGCATGTCTGTATTCATGTAGTCTAGGCAAGTAGAATAAATTTTGTGCAGTAATTTCCTTGAGACAGACATGTTAATTTCATTGTCAGGTCCAGGCAGCATTTCGCGGGACAGATGGAAACAAAGCATCTGTCTCGGAGGGTGTTGAGGCATCTGTTATATATGTTCGCTTCAAGGCTGCTGCAAGTGAGGTGATTACCTTTTATTTTTTTTCCATGTTAGTGTAAAATTGCTAGGGTCACAGTACTAGATAAGAGAGAAAAGAAATCTAGCTTTTGCAGCATTATTCAGTGTAAACTTTGTCAGTTTAGTGTTGAGATTGCGTCATGACGATATTTTCTTTCTTATGACATTTAACATCGACAAAATTATATGTCCAGCTTAAACCGGTATTGGAGGAAATCGAGAGTAGGTCAGCAAGAAAGGAATATGTTCAAATCCTTGCAGAATGCCACAGGCTGTACTGTGAACAACGGCTTTCTCTTGTGAGTTCATTTCTGGATTACAATATGATTTAGTTTCTATCTGCAGGTTACTATAATCGCCTGTTTATTCTTCATTTCACATTATCAGGTCAAAGGCATAGTCCACCAACGAGTATCTGATTTTTCCAAGAAAGAGGCACTGCCATCTTTGACTAGATCTGGTTGTGCATATCTGATGCAGGTATATGAAGGAACATAAAGGAATGAATACATCTCTTTGTTCACGAGGGAAACTAGGAGTTATACTTGTTTAGTAGAAAAAGTAATTGCTATTATCATAGGGGATAGGAACATATAAGAAAAACTGAGAATATTAAAATGGCTGTTAATCTGTGTGATTTCAAGGTTCAGATGAGGGTTTTTGAGAGAGACGACGGATGGATTATCAGCCTTAGCAACTGAAAATTTTAGAGATCGTTAATGGACTTGGTTTTGCCGATCATAATTACTGCACCACATGTATTTACTCCGTTGTATATTTCAGGTTTGCCAAATGGAGTATCAACTGTTTACACATTTCTTTCCAGCATCATCAGAAGAAGTTTCAAGTCTGGCACCTTTAGTGGATCCTTTGTAAGCTTTTATGTGCCGTGCTGCTGTCCATGTTCACCATCTCTGTTTCTGTTCAATTTAACCCTCAAATGATTCTTGGGGCCTCTTATAGTGAAATATAGTCAGCTAATACATATTGAAATATAGATAGCCACTACACTCTAGTTATATTTCTTTGAATCTGAATATGACTCTCGGAAATTTAGGATTCAGAAAGTATGAGTAAGCATAAGTGATCCAGATTGTTCTTCGTTTGTTATATCTTATGCGATGCATCGAATTTATCGTATTTGCTTTGATTCCTGAACAGGTCTACGTACTTATATGATATTTTACGCCCGAAACTGATTCACGAAGCAAATATTGACCTTCTATGTGAACTCGTTCATATCCTTAAAGTTGAAGTCTTGGGGGAGCAGTCCGCTAGACAGAGTGAGACCCTGGCCGGACTGCGGCCTACATTACAAAGAATTTTAGCCGATGTTAACGAGAGATTGACTTTTCGTGCCAGAACATATATTCGAGATGAGGTCCGGTATTTACCTTACCACAGATGTTTGGATAGTTTTCCTACAACTATTACTGTCTCGTCTTTGTCTATGTAGAAATATTAAAAAATATATGTTGTCACCACTAAGACGAGTCACCTAACTACTGATAAGATGAAATTGTGTTATAACTCTGATGCTTACCGACTATTAAGCGGACAAATTTGCTAGTCTCGGCTATGTTATCCTGTTCAGTCTTAGAGGACTTTGCATTCCGTTAGTTGCTCTGTTTTAATCCTCTCTTACTTCTGCAGATTGCAAATTATATTCCCTCTGATGAAGATCTGGATTACCCTGCAAAGCTGGAGGGATCTCCTGATACAACATCTGAAACTAGTCTCGGGGTAGAATGAATATTTCCAGATTATTCCTATGGTTGGGTAATCTTTAGTTGTATACTCATATTCTAAGGTGCAGGATGATGAAAACGCTGATGTATTTAAGACTTGGTATCCACCTCTGGAGAAGACGCTCTCTTGTCTATCTAAACTATATCGTTGCTTGGAGCCTGCCGTCTTCACTGGATTAGCACAGGCAAGACTGCTCTATCCGTAACTTTATTGCTTCTCATTCTGTCAAAGAAGACATGAAATTTTTTTCTAACGAACCATCATCTCTTCTGTTCCGCAGGAAGCTGTAGAAGTTTGCTCTCTGTCAATTCAAGTAAGCTAGCCAGAAAACCAGATTTCCCCCGCCTTGACTTTTGTTCCATCTTCAGCTGTTCTGATTTTCAATGACAATATCAATTTCCTGTAAAGAATTTTTAGTTATCTTTTCTAAGTTTAATTACGAAGCTTGTACATATGCTCCCGTCTGCCATAGCTGAGAAGTCCACATTATTTTGTCAAATATGCAACAGAAAGCCAGCAAGCTTATCATTAAGCGATCAACCACAATGGATGGCCAGATGTTCCTTATCAAGCACCTCCTTATCTTGAGGGAACAGGTTATTGCTGATCTATCTTTACTTTTCTTCTTTTTATACACAGTCGATTATATTTTAAACGATACTTCTATTTCTTTCCAGATTGCGCCTTTTGACATAGAATTTTCAGTCACCCACAAAGAGCTTGATTTCTCCCATTTGCTGGTTAGTTCTTCGACATTCAGGTCTACTTTGTATGATAGATCTAAAGCTTTCTCTATCGCCCTAGTTGGCCCATGATTTCAGATCTTTCTCCTCCTTCAGTTTCTTTCTTTGCTGATGACTTTGCTAAATTTCTCCAACAATTAATATTATCCATAAAATGTGGTTAGGAACATTTGAGGAGGATACTTAGAGGTCAAGCGTCACTTTTTGACTGGTCTAGGTCAACCTCCTTAGCAAGGACCCTGTCACCTCGAGTTCTGGAGAGCCAAATAGACGCCAAGAAGGTTTGTGATTTTCTCTTCCATCCACTTCAATTACCGATTTTCTCCATGTTTACCAAAGCTTGTCACTCAGATGTGTTGATTTCATTTTACAATTTAAACCATGAGCATCTTTCTGCAAGACTGATGTACCGATATTGATGAAAGGTTAAAATAATTTCATAGTCTGGGTTATTCTTCTGCTATGCTACTAAGACCTAGAGATATGTTAGATTTTTAGATTTTTAGCAGACATGACTCTATGATCGATGCTGGCTCCTTGCATTACTTTATATAAAATGGGAATGATGCGTGGACCTTTATTTCGCAGGAACTGGAAAAATGTCTTAAGACAACTTGCGAGGAGTTCATTATGTCAGTCACTAAGCTCGTTGTGGATCCTATGCTTTCATTCGTAACCAAGGTGTGTTTCTCTTTTTTTCTTTTCTTTTCCTTAACCTGGGAAAAAAATGATTTTCAAGGCTTCTTAAGATTCTAGACGTTTTCTAAAAAAATAATTCAGCATCCTTGCAATGTTTCATGAAGAAACTTAAAAATCTCCTTCTGTGCATTACAAACTATTTTCCATTTAACAAATCTATCAAATACAATGCTCCAATTATGAGAGGATGGAAAGTATTATCTAAAAAGGTTTCTTTCCTAATGGAATAGCGTAATAGTTTTGCTTTGCTTATGTATTGAGTACTTGTATACGCAGGTCACAGCCATAAAAGTTGCTCTTTCCACTGGAACTCAGAATCCAAAAGTTGACTCTGTCATGGCTAAGCCGCTAAAAGAACAAGCTTTTGCTACTCCAGATAAGGTGGCTGAACTTGTTCAGAAGGTATGAGATAAGTAATGTCATTAGCATCTCTAGTATTAACAAACAGAGATGCTAATGATCCCTTAAATATGCATATGTGGTTCTGTAGTTGAAGCATTAATAACAGTAAGCACAGGGAAATGCTGATTTGTATCACATGTACTTGAACCAGGTATATGCTGCAATACAGCAAGAGTTGCTTCCGATCTTAGCAAAAATGAAACTCTATCTGCAGAATCCATCAACAAGAACCATACTTTTCAAGCCGATCAAGTAAGTCCATCTTTTCGAAATCCTCTGCAACTATATCGACCATGTAAACTATGTCCTTGGCTTGTTTCATTGGTGTTGCTTGTTCTACTCCCTTGTGTCTAAACAAATACATCGATACGATGACCCTATTATGTATATGTTTTATATGCTGCAGGACAAATATTGTGGAAGCGCATACTCAAGTAGAGTCTTTACTCAAAGCTGAGTACTCAGCTGAAGAACAAGCAAACATCAATATGATCTCCATTCAGGATCTGCAAACCCAACTCGACAATTTGCTTTAAGGTCATGGCTCAATTAATGTTTTTTTGATTTCTGCACTTCCTTGGAGGTTTTTTTATATAAAGACTTGCTTCTTTTGACTACTTTTTAGCTACTTTACAAGAGTTCACTTTTGAAAATAATATACTCCTATTTTGTATCCCCAAGAACTCATACAACTCGTGGTCTCTACATTCATTTACGGTCCAAGCTTGTAGATCTTATGCTTATATATAAACTAGTTGTCAAGTTCTTGTTCGCTTCCTCGCTTTGTCGATGACAGTATAAATACAGACCATAAAACCTGTTTTGTGAACTAAAAAAATCTTTAAAATAATAATGCTTATTATCATCCAAGGAAATTTTGTTTTTTATTGTTTCACCGGAATTTCGGTCAAGACAGATATAAAACCATATTCATAATCTGGGATTATATAATTACATGCTACATGGTATGATCATCTCAGAAAAGAAGTAAATTTCAAAAAATGAAATGATGTCCTTCCATGGATAGTCCACAGTCCCACACACTAAAAGAGCAAAGGGATTCGGACACGACTTTAGTTAGACCTCTTTTTAAAGATTATACTACAATAATATATAGTAATTAATTTGTATTACATGTATACCAGCAGCATTCAAGCAATTTTGATTAATATCGCGTAAACCGTTTTTTATGATAATTTGATCCGTAGGATATATTGAAAAATGGTTCTTATCCGGCTTAAAGGAGTAAAAATAGTATTTCGCATTTTTTTGGTCATGACTTAAGAAAATGAAATTACAAAAAGTATTTGTTACTTTTTATAGCAGTTTGGCTTAAAGCAATTATTTTCAAATACCGATATATTTTAAATTCAGCTGTCCAGTTTAACTTCTAGCTGTCTTAAACTGATAATTTATTTGTATTAAAGTTGTTTTCGATAAAAAAAAATACTATATTTTCAGTTCAACAACAAATGAAAAGAAATAAGCGTTTTTAGAATCTTCAGATTTCAGCAATATCACTAAAATTCGGTACAAGACATTTTGTAAATATTTGTAATATGTGCGTGCGTGCGTGCTTTATTTAGTTTACCCACATATGTAAGAGAGCAAATAGAACAATGGAGAAAGAACCCTAATTTAAATTTAGGAATTTTAATTTTCCAGTGAATGTCCGAAATCATTACATCCATTGAAACCCCAACGTGGCTTCGCCTGCTTTGTTCGTCTTCATATTGATCTGTAAGCGCATTTTCTCTTTCGCGTTACCAGAAGCTTCATTCCTCGTTGGATCCACTTCCCTTGAACGTCTTTCTTCTCTCTTATTGGTTGCTCGGGATCTCCAGCTGTTTCGCAGACTCTTCGATTGCGCCTTTGAGCATGATTTCTGAGGATTCTTAGAGTTTTCGCGCTTATTAGAGTTGGAATCTGCTTCGTCAGCCTCTCCGTATGAGCAAACGTGAGTCTTGTTTCCTTTTCTCTTTGCCTTGTTTCTTAAAATGTGACTGAAATATTCGTTTCAGCGGATTTTTGACTCTACTGATTTGTTTTGGGAGAGAAAAGAAAACAGATTCTTGAATTTGGTTTTGCGTATCAGACAACATATGAACTGAAACATGTTTTTATCTTTTCTTTGTTGGTCACAGGATTGGTGGGATTCTATTGCCAGTAGCTTCTCCTGTATGTTGTGAAATGACGGACCAAAGCTCTCTTGATGGGATTCTAGAGTTTCTAAAGAGGAATCGTTTCTCAAAGGCAGAGGAAGCTCTGCGTAACGAGCTGAACAACCGCTCTGACGACTTAAATGGGTTGCTTCAGAAGCTTAATCTCGAGGGAAAAGATTCAAGTAAAGGCTCAGCAGGCGAAAGGGCTTCTGGTAATGAACTTAGGAGGTCGGGTTCTCGAGATAGTGAAGTCTCCAAGGAGCTGATTGTGAAGGAGATAGACTGCGGAACTGGCACGAATGGGTCTGTGATCAAATGGGAAAATGGTGAGAAACCGAGCAAGAAGGAAACGATTGCGTCAAGTGAGATGAGCTTCACATTCTCCAAAAACTCAGGCGATGCTGCTCCTCCTGATACGCGTTCCTATAAGTTTACTTCAGGTAATGGCACCTTGGACCCTTATCGAAACGTTGATGGTATTAGTGGTAGCAGCTTGGTGGATTCGTATGAATTGGAGCAGTCGAGGCATGGAAACTTGGCTGATATCGATAAGAAGATAGTGGAAACTGGTGAAGATATCGTTTTCTTTGGCAATAAGACCGCTTCGTGGTCTGGAAATACTAGTAAAGGGAACTCTGGATCTAAGATAAACGAGACAAACGAGATTGATCGGCTCATTGAGAATTTTGGGAAGCATGAGAACTATTTGGGTAGCACTCGCTTAAGAGCTGAAGATGTCGTGGATACAACCTCAGAGAGCTGGAAAGAGTGTTCTGTTAAGACTCTTTTTCAATCTTCGAGAGCGAATGCGTCGACCAGTTACAATGTGGGTACCAGCTCGGACAAAAGAGAGGGAAAGAAAAAGGCAGACATTAGTGATGTGAGGGCGGCAATCAAGGAGCAGGAAAGCGAGGTTGCAAGAGCTTTGTTCTTTGGTAAATCTCAGTCTAGTTTTGATGACAAGAACATAAGTATCTTAGGCTTTCCGCTTGTCTATGATACCCGTAAGGAAGAGTTTCCTAGGCTGCCTCCTGTTAAGCTCAAGTCTGAAGACAATCCTCTGAGTCTTTACTGTGAAGAAAAGTTTGAGCGTGATGGTTCAGGTTCTAGGCTAATCAATGATGAAGAGGCCCTTCTCATAGGTTCATACCTTGACGTTCCAATTGGACAAGAAATCAGCTCATCAGGTGCTCTAATTCTTCTCCTTTCTTAGAATTCTACTCTGCTCTTTGTTGCTTTCTACATTTTTTTAGTTTGACCTTTAACCTTAGTCGAGGTGTGAATGTAAGTTTTAATCTCTCAGTGATCTCTTATAGGTGGAAAAAAATCTGCTGGGGGAAACTGGCTTTCAGTAAGTCAGGGAATAGCGGAGGACGCTTCAGATCTTGTTTCTGGCTTTGCTACCATCGGTGATGGTTTGAGTGAATCTGTTGATTACCGTAATGAATACTGGGACTCTGACGAGTATGAGGACGATGACGACATTGGTTATGTCAGACAACCTATTGAGGATGAAACATGGTTTCTTGCACATGAAATTGATTATCCAAGTGATCACGAGAAAGGAACGACCCGCGGAAGTCCTGATCACCATGGGAGAGATGCAGCCAAAGACGAGGATGATCAGTCTTACGCAGAGGAGGCTTCTTATATATCAGGTGAACAGTACCTGCAAGCAAAAGATGCCGAACCTATCTCTTCAGAAAATGACCGAAGACTCACGGTCTCAGAAATCTATCCACCTAGCAAGAAAAATGATTTGATATCCCAATACGATGGACAATTGATGGATGAGGAAGTTCTCAGTTCAATGCGTGATGAGCCTGTGTGGCAGGGGTTTGTAGCTCAGACAAACGAGCTTCTCATGCTGGGTGGTGACAAGAAAGGCCATCGAAAATCTCATCTTGATGATGTGTGCCTCGAAGATGATCAGCATGATTCAGTCAGGTCCATTGGTGTGGGTATTAACAGCGATGCAGCTGATTTTGGCAGTGAAGTGCGTGAAAGTTTGGCTGGAGGGAGCAGTGAGGGAGATTTTGAGTACTCCCGTGATCATGATGGTGTGACATCCAGGTTTAAACAGCTTTACTCTGAGTCAGATAAGAAACATAGCATTGATGGATCAAACAAGAATAAACAGAGAGCGAATAAAAAAGATGGTCCAGATTACATTGTAGATAATGATGATTCAGGCGGGAGTTTTCATGTGAAGATTCAGACTGATGGAGGTTTTTCGTTTGGCTCGTCGCAAAAAGATGATGGGTTGTTGATGCATGCAGAATCTAGTAAATCGTTATGGTCAGGCAATCAGAAAGCAGTAGCCAGAGACAAGAACGCTGAACGCTTGAGTGCTTCAACTGCTACTGATGATATGGTTGCAACCTGGAGACGGAAAAATAGCGATTCGTCGAGTTCTCGAAGTTCCGTGAAAGAACATAATGCAACGTCCCTTAAATCTGTAAACTCGTCTCCCTCTTCTCTGTCAAACTATGCTTGCGAAGAAAGAAAGCATACTGATAAAGAAGATGATAGAGATGATAGCAGTGAAAGAGAGGATGACCATGCGACAGCACTTGATGATGAAGAGGCAGTGGCTGTCCAAGAGCAAATAAGACAAATTAAGGCCCAAGAGGAGGAGTTTGAAACCTTTGACCTCAAAATCGTGCATAGAAAAAACAGGTAACATTCTCTTCCCAAACTTTCATGGTTTGTTATATAACAGTAAGTTACATATATAATTGAGTGCTCCTCTCTTATTATTTGTTTGATATTACATCAGAACTGGTTTCGAAGAGGAAAAGAACTTTCACGTGGTTTTGAATTCGGTCATCGCTGGGCGTTACCATGTCACTGAGTACCTTGGATCAGCAGCTTTCAGTAAAGCCATACAGGCGCATGACTTACAGACAGGGATGGACGTCTGTATTAAAATTATAAAGAACAACAAAGACTTCTTTGACCAGAGTCTTGACGAGATAAAACTTTTGAAGTATGTCAACAAGCATGATCCTGCTGACAAATACCATCTTCTCCGGTTGTATGATTACTTTTACTACCGGGTAAGTGATAACGTCTCTTTTGTACAGTTTTATTCTGCTAGGGAGGTCAGAACCAATATATCAGTTAAGATGGTGATGTATTTAACTTTGGAGAAATTTTATATAAGATGGTTTTTTGCTTTATTGTTGATAATATGAGCTTTGCAAGGGTGTACATTTCATCTCTGGATTAGTGTCTTTCTCTTCAACAATATAATAGTGAGTCTGTATTTTGCAGGAGCATTTGCTAATTGTATGTGAACTTCTTAAGGCCAATCTATACGAATTCCACAAGTTTAATAGAGAATCAGGCGGTGAAGTTTATTTCACAATGCCAAGATTGCAGGTTTATCCTGTTCATCATTTACCATTCAGCAATTCGATACGCATATCTAGCCGATTCCTGATCTCTTTTTGGACCTTTTTTGTACAGTCAATTACTATCCAATGTCTCGAAGCACTTCAGTTTTTACATGGCCTTGGACTTATACACTGTGATTTGAAGCCTGAGAACATACTGGTGAAAAGCTATAGCAGGTGTGAAATAAAAGTCATCGACCTTGGAAGTAGCTGTTTCGAGACAGATCACCTATGCTCCTATGTCCAATCAAGGTCATATCGAGCACCAGAAGTCATTTTGGGACTACCTTACGATAAAAAGATAGACGTGTGGTCTCTTGGGTGCATTTTGGCTGAACTATGCACAGGGAACGTAAGCTCTTCGTTTTCCATTTTGAACTTGGTCCATCTCTGATGTCAACTGCTTCCTCAATATCGTTTCCATTGACTTTGCTGGAGTTTGCAATTTGCAGGTTCTTTTCCAGAATGATTCTCCAGCGAGTTTGCTTGCAAGGGTTATGGGAATCGTAGGGTCTATCGATCATGAAATGCTTACCAAAGGACGTGACTCCCACAAATACTTTACAAAAAACCGAATGCTGTACGAGCGGAACCAGGTGAGTGTTGCAGAGAGCTTAAAATTGAACATTCTTTGAATCCCAAAAACTCTTGCAACTCTTAATGGTAATGTAATAACAACATTCTCGATTCTGTTTTGTTTCAGGAAAGCAGCAGATTGGAGTACTTGATACCTAAAAGAACATCCTTGAGACATCGGCTTCCAATGGGAGACCAAGGATTCACAGACTTTGTGGCTCATCTTCTTGAGATTAACCCAAAGAAGCGACCTTCTGCATCAGAGGCACTCAAGCACCCTTGGCTTTCATACCCTTACGAGCCAATCTCTGCTTAAACTATTTGTGTCTTATTTTTGGCTATATCAGAAGCAGGAAAAAAGAAACCGGAGATTAGTGGAAAACCGTATCATCCCGTGCAAAGGTTCAAGCCCCTTTGTGTGTAAGTGTTTGTTTCCGTTGTGGCTGTGTTCTTCAGTCAAAGGTGTTTATCTGAGTGCAAAGGTGAGATGAAGAAGAAGCCAAAAAAAAACTTTTGTGGAATTTGATTAGATGTAACACTGTGTTGTGATTATTATTATTATTCTCTTAGAACAGATTGTTATGAAAACAATGTTGAATGTTTTCCCATGTTATTGATTTATGAATGTTTTCTCATGATTTTTTATTGTTATTTCATTAATTGAATTTGAAACCTTGAAAAGCTTTTAAAAATAAAAAGTGGGTTTCTCTGACTCTTTTACCCCCAACAAAAAATGTAATTAGAAGAAAATGAACAGTGAAATATTGAATAATTCCGTCGGTCAGGAAGCAGAGGGAGTAATTGATTCCGATGACCACTGTCTCCAGCGCCGTCGTCTCATCATTCATAGCTCCTCCGCTTCGTTCTCCATCCTCTCGTCATCATCCGAGTCTCACTGAGCTCTCTCTTCAAGTACTCTCTCTCTCCCTCTTTACCTTATCTCACTCTCTCAGTGTGTGTATCTTCGGTTTCAGTTTCACACATTCCGTTTTCTAATTCTCTTCGGCTTTGATTCTGAAGATTCCTAGAGCCGGCTGGCGGAGGAAACCGCTAGGGTTTGCTTTATCTGCGGCGGCGGCTTCAGAATTGCCATCGGAAGGTGGAAGGAAAAGCTCAATGTTTCATTCGATATCTTCCGTACATTGCGCCATACTTTTTTTTTTGTTAAACTTGTTATGAATGTTGGATTTTCCAGCCACTTATGATCCGGAGCTACGTTTGGTTTTCGAGCTCGCCACCGATTCGGAGTTGTATGAGCTTGAGAATATCCTTTTTGGTCCCAGGTAGAATTTCAGAAGCAATCCAGTGTTCTATACGAATTCTAAAGTCTAAATTGTAGTTTCTGGAGATTCAGCACGTATATGATGATGGTGATTTGATTTTTTATGACGTTTTGGGAAATACTTTTGTTTTTTGGGTGAGCAGCTACTTCAGCCCTCTGCTGAAATCAATTCCAAACAAAGGAGGAGGTGACCGGCTGATGATAGGCCAAGACATTGAGGTGCGAGATGGTTTCATCGAATCTCTTGAATCGAGATTCTTGTTTCTCGCTGCAGATGCTCGCTCAACACTCAGGTAGGCTTTGCTTGTTCTCTCCCTGGCATCAGAGAATCAATAGCTTCTTGTTCTGTGCTTCACTTAATAGGGTATTACATTCCGAATGAAGTAGATATGAATCTTAATTTCTGTAGAGGTGTCTGTTCCATTCCATTACCTTTGACTACATTTGTTCATAAGAGAGTCCGAGCCAAAAGAATTTGAGTATGCCTTATGAGTCTTTCATTGTCTAGGGGTTGGAGGCCTTCGTACAGAAACGTTTTACTTGCGGTGAGAGATAAGTTGAACATTCCCTGCTCCAGCCAATTGCCAACGGAGGACCTAGAAGCAGAGATTTTTCTGTATCTCGTCGACAATTTCTCGAGGTATTATTCTTTGTGACTCATTAGTTTGAGTTAGTTCTTTGCACTCGTTTTTTTTTTCCCGGCTGAACTGAACCTCTAAACATGTCCATATAGTGAAGCATCAGGGGTTTTTCCAGGCTTGTGGGAAAATTCTCAAGCATCAGAGGTAAAAGGAAGCTTAGAACTCGGGCTCAGTAAATGGAAAGTTGAACTACTTGCTGCGCTAGAAGTTGGTGCTGCAGAGGTCCAAGCTATGATTCTGAAGGTAGTCTTGTTTCAAATGTGTTTCACGTTGATAATTCCCCGTTTCTTTCTCAGGCTTACATGTGTTTCTCGTTCTGTGCAATTTCTCTTGCAGGGTGGTGGCATGATCACATTTGCCAAGGTTTATCAGTTGGTATGATCAAATTTGCCCAAGGTTTATCAGTTTATGTGTTAAAAAACTACTCATTCTTCTACTTCTTCTTCCCTAAGGCGATACAAAATAACTGTTCTCTTCTGTTCCTGTATAGTTGGCAAAGAAACTATCGGGAAAAGTATTCCTTGAAGCTGCCAACTACCAGATGAGGAAAGAGATGCTAAAAAAGGTTTGCATTTGTTTTCAATCCCATCGCACTGCAGAGGAATTTGTATATCATCACTCACGGATCTGAGAAGCTTTTTTAAGGCAGTAATGTGTTGAATACAGGGTGGACAATTAGCCGCCATTAACTTGGAATCTCGAGCAGCTCTGCTTGCAGCAAAGCATGTAGTTTTACTTTCTCTTTCTCCATCCTATCTCAGTTTTTCATTGAGCTATGTTCGTTCCATAATCTACAAGTCTCCTTACAATTTGATTCACGGTTACGTTTGATTAATCACAGGGCTTTGCAGGAGCTGCATCCAGATACCTTGGCTTAAGAACAGTGATGCAATTACTCGGCCCAATGTTAGTATACACTGCCCTAATCCTAGTTTCTTTAAGATATGTATACCAAAGCTAATTGCAATTACTCTACATGCACATGGAGCTGAATCTGATGCTTATTCTTCATAAGTTTTTTTTAATATAATGATTGTGGAATCTGCAGGATGTGGGGGACGTTACTGGCTGATTTGGTTATTCAGATGCTCGAAACTGACTACGCTAGAATCTTACGAGCGATTTACGCGTTTGCACAGGTATTTTTTTCTATTCACCAAAGCCTTCATTTCATTTTTTTTTATGTTAAGCAAATAATTGTTGTTCAAAGAGGTTTACTGTTTGTTATCCAGATTCGGATCACCAGGACATACAGGCTACCTTGTAAATGAAGTAACAGTTTTCATCGGAGATTCTCTCAGTCTCATCAGTGATCTCTACGAATCATGTCGGTAAACAAAGTTTATTAACTATCGTATAAATTATTATCCGTATATGTGGTTGAAATGAAATTAGAGGCTACTCGAATCTATATATGAAAAGAGAGTGTGGTCCACCGTCCACGAGTGGAGCGTTTGCAAAACGCTATTTTGCAGCCATGGATACATGTTTTGTTTCTAGCGAAAGAAAAAAATCTGATTCCTATAGTGGTAACGGGCGGATAAGAGACGTGAGTGGATTTCTCTGTGACACGTGTCTGGTCCGTGGCTCTCGAAAGCAACGGCTCTCTTTCTTTTACGACGATAACCCGCCGCGTTTCCACACGTGGCTTCCTGTCGGAATTTTAGACTATTCCATAATTTGGTTTTGCATATTCGTTTTTTAATTATATGCAAACAAATCCTCAGTGAATTATCTGTGTTGCACGGCTAATAAGTAATTACGTTTTTAAGGTGGAACTATTACTAGATAAGATTATATCACTTTTGATATCCTTTTACCGTGGATGTTTTTGTTTAGTTTTCTATTGATTTCACCAATACATAACTTGATACAAACATAGTTGATTGCTTCTTAGTTATTTAAGATCTTTTGTTAGTATGGAGTGAACATGCCTAAATCCGGATTGATTGTGATAGTTTTTTCTTTTTTTTTTGTGGTTGTTATTTTGAAACATGTGGTTAATTCATTCGTGGCCCTACTTGAGGATTGGGAAATTTTATATAAAATTCAAAACGAAATTTGATATCACGAGATCATCCAAATCCAAACCTTGACATGACGTGCGAAGCATAGTTAGAAAAGCACTAGTTGTCCCGTTAGATAATATCCGATTTATTCTACTTGTGGAGCTTTTTGTATCTAAAATGAAACAATCACGAAAATCGTAATTTATAAATTTTTCTTTTATAACATTAACATCAAATTCTATGACATCAAATTTTATTAAATTAAGTGATACGGAAGAAGGTGTGTGTGTACACAGAATTCATAAATTGTTGGAAGAGCTTTTTATAGATAGGATCATATGATAGGACGGTCTTTTAGGGTAATTTCTTGCAGATATTATTTTGAACTTAATATAAAAATAATCTGGACCTTACACGTGTCAGTTCTAGAAGAGTCTCCTCGTCTCTTCTCATATGCTCGTATCTCACATCCCGAAGTTACGAGGACACCTTTTAAAAGTTTCCAAACAAATTCACAAAAACTAATAAAAAAAGAGTACAGTTTATTTGTTTATACTCGATTTTTTTCTTTAAAAAGCTTCTTCTCTCGAATCGTTTCTTCTTATTCTCCTTTCTTCATCAGCCATTGTTATCTAAGCTAAGTAAGCTCTGTTATTTATCCTGTTCAAACAGAGGAAGCCCTAATTTTGGATTATCCATTCAAATTTTTCCCATTTCGCTAATTTTGGAAATAAGAAAAAAACGATAGATTGTTTTCGTTTTTTTTTCTTTCCGTTTTTTTTTCTGGTTTTTCATTTCCAATTCATTTCCTTCGTTTTATGATCTGTTCAAGCGGAGGAACAATCTTAATAGCTAGAGGAAAAAATCCAATCCCCAGAGTACCCGTCACAGGGTCTTCACGAAACCACGCGAATCGAATTCGAAATAATCTTCCAATTAGTGTTACAACTTTCCGACGATCATCAACATCGTCATCGTCATCGTCAATGGCGGTGGAAACAATGTCGATGGGATCAGATTCATCAACTTTGATTCTAACATCAGGAGCCAGCGGTCGCGTCAGGGCACTCTTCTCGATGCGAGAGCTCAGGCGCCTCGTTACGATCATCCAATCGCTGATTCTCTTCCTGCTCCTTCCCTTTCGCGTCGTCGTTTGGCGGCGGAGGACCGGAGCGGTGGTCATCAGAGACGATAAGCAGGAGAGGAAGGTGTGGGTCCCGACGCAGATCGTGGTGAGGAAGAGGAACGCCGGCGGAGATATCAGCTCGAGCGGATGCAGCGTCTCGCCTCCGTCGGTTCCGGCGGCTGTGGTGGATGAGGAGGTTGCGGTTAGACGGGAGCTTGCGATCAGGCGAGTTTTGGAGGATGAAGGCGGCGATGGAAGCTCCGTTAGAGATTATTCGCTTTTCACAACGAAGAGAGGCGATACGTTGTTTACTCAGTCATGGTCACCTGTTTCCCCAAATCACAGGTAATTTCTCTCACTTAACATTCCTCTAATTTTTAATCTTTCTTTTTATCTGTAAATTAATCATTTCTTTTTTATTAGTGAATTACTAATTTTTCTTACGTTTTGCTCGTTAATCTTCTCTGTTCTTAATTTGTCGAGATGTTCACGTTAGTGTTGTTAATTTAGTCTATGTGATCGTTTTTTACTAAACATCGTAATTCAATAAGAAATACATTGATTAGGAAGTCTAATTTTTAATAATTCAGATTAGTCGAAATTGTTGGTGGTCAATCGTATGACTTATGATCAATCAAAAAACGTGAGGCAATGTAAAACCTAAGCATAACACAATCGTATAAGTTTTCCATTAGTCTAATGATTTCTTGTGATTCTCGTAATTAATGAACAACATAATTGGATGTTTCTGGAAGTTGGTTATATGCAGAACAAAATATCCTCAAATATTGTAAGGAAGATGTGATGAAAGGAGTTTGTGTTTTTCGTTTCTTGAATTTTGCATCTGTGTTTCTTTCTTGTTTTGTTAGTTGGTCCTTATTGTTGTAATCTTGGCTTCTAGCTGGAGTTATTTTAATGTTGAAGTGCATCAGTTAGATATTTTTCCTTAACTCCTATATTCTATTAATTTGCTTAAGTCAAAAAAAATTGTTGAACTAACCATTATACTGATGATAATCTGTTAAGTATTAAGCTATGCGGAGCCCAGTATCAGGATTAGACTTAGTTGGTAACCATTTCTTAAGATTCATTAAGAGATCAAGATTAGCTGGACAAATGTAGAAAAATATTATCTTGCTTGTCAAAGTGGTTTTGAAGGATTAATGAATATTATATAGATAAGAGAAGACTTTATCAAACAGTAACCTGGTATAATGTTTCTTTCTCACTGTCTCTATTTTTTAAATGGTTCCGAGTCTTTCCTGCCTCTGATTTTGAGCTTTTTTCTTTAATGGTTTTGAGTCTTTCATGCCTCTGATCTTTCTTTTAAAGAAGTCGGTAATGTAGTAATCTTTCATCACTTGCTCATATGTGTCCTGTCTTTCGATATGTTTTTGCAGGGGACTTGTTGTTCTGCTACATGGATTAAACGAGCATAGGTTAGAACCTATATCTCTAGCTATGAAAGCATGTGCTTTGATTATAGATTTCTTTGCATTAAAGAAGCTTAACATCTCTTTCTTTTCCAAAATGTGGACAGTGGCAGGTATAGTGATTTTGCCAAACAGCTAAATGCTAATGGGTTCAAGGTCTATGGAATTGATTGGATCGGTAATCTCCCTTCTCTTTTACCTTTTGTTACTGTTTTGATGTACATCTGTAGCTTCTGTAGACTGTAAGCATTTAGTTAAGTCAAATAGAAACTCTCTTCCTCGCACATCACGTTCAAAATTACCAAGTATAACCTAAACATACTATTCAAAGTTTTGGTATTGAAATTTTTGACATGGTAGCAATGGTGGTAGTTTTGATCTTGAACTTTTGGTGGGATATTTGAAACACCTTCTGAATGGATATAATAAGCAAACCTTAGAAAATAAAAAAAAATGTGGAAACAGGAGAGTGTTTTATTGATGCAGCTGTTTCATAGGCTAGAAACAAAAAATCTTTCAACCATGCCTCTCTGTGTTTGGATGTCGCAGGGAATATAGTGATTTTGTGTTGGGGTGGTGCTTAATTCGTGTGGAAAGGTGACACATGAACCTCATCTTTAGCTTTACAGTGCCAACAACTTAGGGACTGTGATTTGTAATATCCGCAAATAATTTTGAACCTATAGTCTTTTACAGGCATCTCCCTTCTAAATCTACATATTTGAACATGAGTATCAACATTTTTTGTTTTGATCTTAACAGGTCATGGTGGAAGCGATGGACTTCACGCTTATGTTCCTTCCCTTGACTACGCTGTCGCAGATTTGGTATGTCTCCTTCTGTGTATAGCTGTAGCTTCTGTTTCGGTTTCCTTATTGCAGAAAACAATCTCACAAACCATCATCTTTGCAGAAATCATTTCTTGAAAAGGTATTCGCAGAGAATCCAGGACTCCCCTGTTTCTGCATTGGACACTCAACTGGAGGAGCCATCATCCTCAAGGTAAACATCTTTAGACTCGTTAAGGTATCATCATCACATATAGTTATCATCCAAGTACACCCCAAAACCTAAACAAAGTTAAAACAAATAAGTGCAGGCTATGCTGGATCCAAAGATTGAATCTCGAGTTTCAGGCATTGTATTGACTTCACCAGCTGTTGGAGTCCAACCATCGCATCCAATCTTCGCTGTACGTTAATCCGGAACCATTTTACGCATTTTCAAACAATTCTTCTTAACACAGTCTGATGTTTTCTTTTACCTTCTTTTCAAAACAGGTTCTTGCTCCGATCGTAGCGTTCCTGTTGCCCAGGTACCAGTTCAGTGCAGCAAACAAGAAAGGAATGCCGGTTTCTCGTGATCCACAAGCTCTTGTTACCAAATACTCTGACCCGTTAGTTTTCACCGGATCTATCCGGGTTAAAACCGGTTACGAGATCCTTAGAATCGCTTCTCACTTGCAGCAAAACCTAAACAAAGTGAAAGTTCCTTTTCTTGTAATGCACGGTACAGCAGACACGGTGACTGATCCAGACGCCTCTAAGAGGCTATACGACGAGGCTTCTTCGTCAGACAAATCAATCAAGCTCTTCGACGGGTTGTTGCACGATCTCCTCTTCGAACCTGAGCGAGAAATCATCGCTGGTGTCATATTAGATTGGCTAAACCAGCGGGTTTAGCTTTTTCAAAACCAACAAATTACTACTACAACGTCGAGTCAAGAAGTTCTTGATTCAGACAAAAACAAAATAATAACAATTTCGCGGGAATTGTGTGGGTGAATTGACTGAGAAAACGTGAGGAGGAGAAGACATAAAAGAAAAGGAAGTTGTTGGTCAAACGAGCAACTTCTTTTGGTTAATGATTTTTCTCAAACTCGGAAGTAGAAAGAAGATAGAGAAAAGGAGACTCCCCTTTGTTATGATGCTTCGTTGGTCTCTCAAACGTTCTTTTTGATGTCGGTATTTTAAGTTGTCATAATAAATCAATAATTTTTGTTGTATCCTCGGATTTTTAATACTTTATCTTATCTTATTTTACATGAAAAATCTGTATGCGATTTGCTCGATTGTTTCCTCTTGTAAATATTTTTCTTTCATTTTATGATATTTTCTTGTGTGTGGCTGGCTCAAAAATAGCAAGGGCTCCCACTATTTTTATTGTATCCAAATCTTTTAAATAACAATGAATCAAATATATTCGTAATCTTATATGATATAAATAAATAAATAAAGGGACGAAGAGAAAGATGATATGATTATGACCCAATCACAACAATTCAAAAAACAAATTGGAAAAACTGTTTTCACTTGGCCATATATACAATCAAGTCACAAGTCAAGGGTGACTCTTTATCTCTTTGTCACTCATGAGAGTGATTTTCCCTTTAGGCTTTTCTACTTCGTGATTCATCATCAATGCTAGCGTAAGCCAATACGTCAGCATTTCCATATTCATATTTATTCAGAATTAGTAGTGATGTTAAAGTAGCAAGAGAAAAAGACAAAAACTAATAGTAGAGTTGTTGTTATCAACTCTTCCACTAGCAAAAACCCACGAATCTTCGACGATCATCCTTTTCCAAAAAGAGAGATTTGCTTCTCAAGCAAGTGGAAAGCTTTTATTTATTATTTTTTCCTTGCATAAGTGGCAACTGGATTTGTTCTTTTTGGCCGCAACTGAAAATTTAAACTTCGACTGCGCAGCCCTTATCTTCTTTTTTTTCTTTCATAATGTGTTTTATTGCATTTTCCCAAAAACAAAATCAAAGAAGCTAAACCATAATTTGGTTTACAGTCATATCTACAGACTATAGTTTGGTTTTTTTATTAAGTCGCTAACTATAGTTTCAATCCATCATTTGAATACGATCATCTCTAGTCAACTTGTTTCACTATATCATATTTTTGTATTTTTGAAAATAAAAATGATTTCATTTATGAATATTTTACTAATATGAAGATTTAATGGGCCAACAAACATAACACTATAAAATAAATTAGGATCGGTAAAGATTCGCCATCATACAACATTTTACAATAAATATATAAGATATCAGATTGTTTTCAGAAATAAAATATGCTGACATTTGTTGTGCTTAGCTATGGTTAAAATCGTATATGTACATTAATTTTAAATTTTCCTATGCATGAATGGTAACTGGAAAATAAGAATCAAGATAGTTTTTTCATTAAAGGTGATATACTACGCCCATGTTAGGGTTCTTACAATCCCGATTTTTCCTAAAATCCGAGAGTATATATGTACAAAAACTTACGAAATATCTCCAGGATCTATGGAAGTTCTACAAAAATTAAAGTAATTTTAATCCGATACTCGACTACGTAGGAATCACCTGCTCGGAGTCGGAATCTAGATTTAGATTCAACGTTTTTAACAAGAAACATCCGTATCGATTCAAACATCTTCCCGGAGAAAAGGATGGGCGAGAAGCTGCGACGCCGTCCATCGCTTACTCGAATCTTTACGTAGACAACAGTCGACAAAGCTCCGGAACTCGTCGGAGCAACACTCCGGCGCTCGCGGTGGATCTCCGAAACACACGGCGCACATGAGCGTCGCCCAATCGGGTCTCTGTCCCGGCGGGAGTAACGGAAAGTGGCCGACGAGAAGCTCCAGCATCATCAATCCGAAACTCCAGATATCACCGGCGTAGATATCGGAACTTCCACCGGCGGAATCGGAATCGAATCTCTCCGGGCTCATGTAAGCACAAGTGCCTACGTACGAATTGCACGAATCTAATGATCGGACTAAGATTTTGCTGACTCCGAAATCGGCGATTTTAACCTCATTTTTCGAATTGAGAAGGAGATTCGCCGGTTTGATGTCTCTGTGAACGATTTTGAGAGCGTGCAAATAATTCAATCCTTTCAGGATCTGTCGAGCGAATCCGGCGAGACGTTGCTCTGTTACGGCGCCGCGGAGAGACTCCAAGGTTCCTCCGTCCATATACTCCATTAGGATCGATACCTCGCCGACGACTGGTTTCTCGAAGATTCCGTGGCACCGAACTATGTACGGGGAGTCGGTGCGGCGGAGGATCTCCATCTCGCGCATCAATTGCCTTGTGAGAATCGGATCCATGTCGCCGTTAACCGTTTTCAGCGCGTAGAGCTCCGCCGTGTTCTTGTGACGGACTTTGTAAACATTCCCGCCGTTTCCGCACCCGAGAACGTTGAGTTTCTCGAGATCAGCGGCGGAGATTCCGTTGGAGACAACAGCAGATGTAGCGACGGCGGAGACAGAAGCGGCGGAGAAGCGGCGGTCGGAAACCGGAGGGAGAGGAAGACGGAGATTGAGCTGACGACGTTCTCTAACCAAAGCCATGGAAGAAGACTGAATCTGATGGAAGAAGAAAACAGAGAGAAGCTTCAGATTTTATATAATTTTTGAGTCTTTGAGAGTGTGAGGAGACAACGAGGAAGGTGAAGATGACCTAATTATCCCTCCCTTTTTTAATTTCTTCTTATCTTAAAATGGCAGCTTTTTTTTTCCCATGAATATCGTTAAAAATGCAACTTGTGTGAGTGTTTGATTACGCACGTGGTTAAATGCATCAGACTGTAATTTGTCCAAATTATTATCATGGAAAATGACTAATCCTATAGTCTTCGTAGTAATCATTTTTTTTAAGTAGTATATGCTAAAAAGGATAAGGTAAAATAACCGTAATTAAACAAATTATCACTAATAAAATGAGAAGACAAGAACTTTTATCGTTAATTCGTTATATAACGAAATGGAATGGATAGAGAGTAATACTTTAGTGTCACGGAAGAAAAAAAAAGAAAATAGAAATTTCGGTGTTCGTGTGAAAGTTCGATGAATCAAAGGGAGGCTAAAGGACGAGGAACTTAAATGACTAATGAGGTATGAGAACGACCAAAAAGACTAAAGAGCGCATTAACATTTTTCACGCCCTACGTGGAAAAGCTTGCAACACCCATCTGTTTGATTTCTTAGGCCATCGCATTCAAAAGTTGCCTAATTTATAAAATGTTTTTTTTATATATTTGTATAGATTTCAGATAAAATCTTAAAATTGTCGACAAATAACTAAGTTATGGTATCTAAGCCTGTTGCATGTGTCATGTGTGTATTTGTGCACATGCGACATGTCTGTTGCTTCATTGTGTATATGTGGATGGTTATGTTTTTTGTTTACACTAATTTTTATAAACAACTAGATGATTACCTGCGCAAATGTGCAGGTTGCTTCCATATAATTTTTTTTTATTTTGTGATGTAAATTTTATATAAATTAATATAAAATTTTAATTTTTTTCTATAATCATTAAACCTAAAATAGTGTTCCCTATTTTAACTATAAAGATAGTTGAATAACAATTAATGATTCGCAAGAGCACATTCTGTAATCTCATTTCGTAATTGTGTGTAAATAATTTATCATAGTATTCTTATTTGTGAAAAAAAAAAAACAGTATGTTTTTGGTATGTGTTTCAACATTAAATTAGATCCTCTGTTCTACAATTTAGAAACAGCATTTTCATGATCATAGATAAATCCATCTAAGTAAGAGATGGTTCTGTGAATAATCACATTCATAAGAGCTTCAACTCCATAAGCGTCATCATCATCTTCAATGCAGATTACAGCGTAAATGAGACGAAGCAATACGCCTAAACTACCATTCTCTCCCTGCCTCGCAAAGATTGTATCCAGCCTCGGCTTGGATGATTGAAAAGGGGTTAAAATGTGAAGCAGAGAAGCCTTTTCCGCCTTCACATATGCTTCTTTGTAAGTCCAATGCTTAATAAATACCTCTCGCCGAACGTCAGTGTATGTATAGCGTACAGTTGGAAAAAGTTGAACTCTTGAGATGAGTAAAATCTCTTTGCAAGCCAACACATCATGCATCTTTCTTCTCTTGTCTTCAACATCAACTTCAACCGGAGCATTTACTGTCACTTCACAAGCTATCAATGAATCTGTGTGGGAGATGTTGAATCGCAATTTCGGATTATTAGTTGTGTAAATCTCCAAATCCACCTCAGGTTTTCCGTACAAATTCTTCTTAAACTTTAAGGACCTTGGATCCACCCCAACGGTTAGCCAATATACTCGAATCATATTTTTTATTTTAAATTAAAAGACAACCATAGAGATAATACCAGGGGGCATTTGACGACCTTCGTTTTGTGCAAACAATCATAGGAAAATCGGTATCATTTGTCTTTCGATTGCAACTACTCGAAAGAGACATGGAAATCTCTCACACAACAGCTGCTAGGACCACATTACACGACACATTGGGGTCAGCTTCTTGACATCCTCCATAACTCAATCTTTGATCGAATCACAACTTTTTTACTCAGATTTGTATTTCAGTCTACTTTATACCATCTTTGGCGGGAAAGAAACGGACGATGCCATGGAGAAGAGCCATTGCCGTATCTTCGAGTGATCAAGCTTATTGACAAGAATGTGCGCAACAGGCTCAGCTTGGTACGTGTTGCAGGAAGGAGACAGCTCATACGAGGAGGGAATGAACCTTTGGTTTGCTTATGCTCGCTGCTTAGATCTACACATTTGTCTAAACGTTTCAATAAAACACTGATTTGGATAATTTTTTCACTTAAGAAACAAGGTTTGATCTAAAAGACTAATATTTATTAGGGATAAACCTATCAAAACGCCATTCAGGCTTCTCAAACCCATTGAATTGAACAAAGGAACTACCACACCAATGCAATTTAATAGTTATATAAATCAGCAACTCTGTAACATATAGGTTCAAATTAATATAAAACGGTAGTACCTGCAAAACCATGAAAGCCATGGAAAGTTTTTGTAGTTCAAATAAAAACTTGATGTACTTCTCTCTCTCTCTTGTCCTTCTTAAATAGTTGCTCGTGCTCAGTGTCCATAATGATTTCTTTAGTAGAAACTGAATTCAGAGAAAGACAAAACAAAATCAATATCCATGTGAAAAAAATAAAATAAAAGAGAAGAACACTCATATAATAGTGAAGCACAGCCTTCTGTTGTCTGCACACACAGTAAACTCTTCGTCGTCACATTCGCTTACATCAGTGAAATGAAACCATTTTTTTATTGTCTGCAACATCTTGATAGATCGATCGCTACAATCAACTGTAAGACTTCACTGATGCATGCAGAGTCCAATCAAAACGAAAACTTTATGGAAACCCATAACATCAAATGCAAAAACCCAATGACATTTGAATCAAATTTCATACCAAGGATTTCTGTAGTTGTTGGATATCTTCAGACGGAACAGATCCAGGACCGCCGTCAGAGAACAGTTCCTTGCAGGTATTAAACAGCCGTCAAACCTTCATTATCTCATCCGCCGGAGAACCAATCTTATTCTATTGCCAAGTCATCATCATCCACTTAGTCTTCTTCTTCTTTTTATTCTTATAATCTTCTCTGAGAAAGCGATGAATTAATAGCTGGAAGGATGAGAATTCATTACATGAAATAAGCTCTACCGAAACAGAAGAGAAACTCAAATCGGAATTGAATCAGAGAGAGGAGATAAACTCAAATCCGGCTTTGTAAGCTAACTTGGAATGAATGAGAAGAGATTGTTTACATTATATGATTTTAAGAAAATCACTGAAACCCAAAATATTAATTTACTTTCAATGGTTTATTGGAACTGTAGTGGTGAAACGAAAGGTTTTGGAATGTTGACCGGTTTTGATATTGAAGAGAGAAAACGAAAAGTTATGGAAGATTGAAAATTTATTTATAAAAAATAAAAATCAATGATGATGTATCATAGAGAGGGGTGCTGAGGTGTCAAGACCTTCTGAGACTCAATTAAATTTTTATATAATAGATTTAAAAAAAAAAAGACACAAATGTCGAAAGATTCTTTTTCACCAGAGATGTAGAATAATTATATAGATTGATAATTAAACTATATAAACACGTGATTTTTGATATACAATAATGACCAAAATAAATTAAATAGTACCTTAGAACAGAAAATAGGAATGGGGGAGATCGAGTTTGCATAAATTTAAATATTCAGTTGATGTTCCATCCCATTATAATTTGCTCTTGCACTTTTTTAGCATGCGTCGTCTGTGTATCCACTGTTATTTAATTGTAGAGAATATGTGTTATTTAGTGTTTTTGGAGTATTAATTAGACAATCGATCAATAATACTACGCATGTCGTCGACAAATGTATAAATTATTTTCAGAGTGTTTAAAATAATTTATACCACCGTATGCTAATGAACCCCTTATGTTAAGAGTGTTTAAAAGGAACCACATGTGATGTAACGTAGGATTCAAGTTGATGATCCATAATAATATACTGAGCGTTGTTGACTGATGATGATTGTGAATCTTTAAAAATACTGAAAAATGAAAAAGCTCTTAAGGCTGCCTTAGCTTAAGTGTTACTAGCACTTTCGCATTCCAATGGTTTCCGTTTACTGATAGTAATAAAATGAAATAATTTTAATTATTTAAAGAGTTGAGCCAAATCTACACATTCATTGTAGAGCCATGCCTACGATCGTTAGTGGCAAAAAGGCAATGGGCCTTAGGCCACATTTATAGTTCTAATTTTTAGGCCATATCTTTTGTAACACAATTTAGTTGGGTTGGTCAATTACAAACATTAAATGTCTCATGTAGTATACGATATTAACAAGATGAACATATGAACAAGATAACTCAGTTGACGTTGGTTTTACATAAGCAAAATTAGAAGCGATTAAAGAAAAAGAAAAAAAAAAGAAGAAGCAATTAATTAAGCGTAGGAATTAATAAGGAGAGAGCATATCTCTGATGTGATCCTTGATACTGATAATGATCTCTCGTCGTCCTTCTTCTTCTCTTTGACCGGATCATTACAAGCGAAACGCCAATCCACACTCTTGCAAATACAGCATCATTGTCGTCGTCTTTCGACTTGGGTAACTCCTTGAACACGCTACTTACTTCGTCGTTGTCGTCCTCCTCATCGTCGAGGATGATGATTGCATCAGCAGAGGGTGATCTCAAGTAGTTGAATGTCGGAGGATCGAGGAAACAACTTTGCTTGCTGTTAAAGGTGAGTCCGATCAGCTCCGGCCCAATGATATTGGGAGCCCTAGGGCAAAAAATTTTTTTGGGCCTACTAACATATAAATTTCACTAAATTTTAAATATTTGAGCTTTCTAATATAAAAATTTACATTAAATTTTAAAATTTTGGGTTTTTTTTAATAAAATTTCTATTAATAAATACTAATTTAAATTAAAAATATAATTATTTGAGTTTATTTGTTTTAAAACGAGCCCTATTATATGCAGAATTTCAAAAATAAATGGGTTAAGCCTCTGGGCGGATGCACTTCTGCCCACCCCACTTGAGCCGGGGCTGAGTCCGATATGAGTCTCTTGTTTCACTATCGTCGCCATGTGTCGTTTGAAAACAAATTTCAGACGAGATTTTTTGGAGAGAAACAAAATTGAATTGAGAGACTCCATTGCTTATATAGAGAGTTAGTAGAGGTTGGGGTGAACCGTCTCGGAAAAGGAAATAACGTTAAACCTAAACAAAAAAATGGAAACTGTTTTTTCAGATAAGGAAAAAATGGAAATTGTTTTTTTCAGATAAGGAAAAAAAGAGTTTATTTTTATATAACGAAAAAAACCCAAAAAAGGAAATTTATTAAGAGTAAACTATAACCAGAAATATTTATATTTATTTGGACCAAAATACTCTCAAGTCAAATACCATGATTCATAATTTCATACTTTCAGTAAACCTCATAAGCATGATTTGAAGTTTTTGTTTGTATGATAAACTACGGTTTATAACTAATATTAAACCTAAATAAGGGAAACTGGATACATTTGTTTTGAAAGATATAGATGTGAAAATATTACAAAGTTTACAATACTGAAGACAGTCAAAACAGTTACCACGTGCGAAAGGTGCGAGGTTTGGATTGAGCTCTGTTGATATCTGATCTTGGTTTAGCTCTTTGAATATCTGATCTTGGTTTAGCTTCCTCCACGAATATAACTCTTCCATCCAAAAACTATACACAAAACCAAATAAGAGTTTAAAAAAGATGGGTACTGTACTTTGGTTTGCAATTAACCCATTCTTGATCTCAATCGATTTAAGAATGAAGAAGACAAGCGTGAGGGTGTGTAATGTTGAGCTGAGTACCTTTCCGTGCATCCCTTCAATAGCTTTCATTGACTCCTCCTCTGTTTCATACCGCAGGAAAGCAAATCCTCTTGGTCTGTTAGCTACTTTATCCATCACCAAGTTCACTACACAGAGAAGATCATCTTTTACATATTAGTAAATTACAAGAGATCTGATCTGTATCATCATCATCTTACTGGGTCACTAAAACAGACAACTAGTTAGATGAATTTGACAGAAGTTGTGTTACCAAGTACAAGCTTCCCAAACTGTTCAAAAGCATTCCTTAAGCTATCTTCAGTTGTTCGGAAAGAAAGCCCTGTGCATAACCATCAAGCCATCTTTTTTTAGAGTTCAAGTCTCACATGGTCAAAGCAGAGACGAAGGAGACATCAAAAGGTTGCAGAAAGCTCAAAAGTTTTTTAAAAAAAACATAAAAGAGCATGCTTTCTCTCTTGGCCATGTCTAAGGATCTCGAAATTCACCACTATTCAACTTACACAAAGAAGAAGCTTATGCGGAACAAGACACACATAACAGCAGAAAGATATCTATCTACAAAGTTCACACACCAACCAAAATCATTCTCTGCCTTTACAACAAATCCGACAATGATCTCCGGTTCAGGCTATTCCTATAAGTAACCAAACAGAGAGACATTACCTCACCGAGACAATCTCTAGAAAAGCACTTAAGCTCATTCCTTTCTCTCTACATACGCAGTACACTGGTTTACCCATTTTAAAGCGAATATGCAAGGTTTAACATCTGAGTTCTGACATCGTTAGCTATATAATTGGTGACAATCTGGTGCCACAGCTACTTCTAACGGCGTAATACTCAAAGATACAGTCAAGAATCACATCGCGTATAGCCACATATATATATTTAATAATTCCACTACAGAGGTATAGCCATTCATGAATTGGGATCAAACAGGGAAACAGAAACATGTAATAAAAATGCAAGGAGGAGGAACACAGAGAACTTACCACTTACATAGAGCTTCGTCTTCGGCCCAGAGAGAGACGACGGTGGAGAAGAAGAATCCGGAGAGAGGCAGCTCGAGATTAACAACCCGCCAACGTCTCTGCGTCGGCGAGCCGAATTTACTCCGGTTCCGGCATTGATTCGACCACGCCAAAGCCGGAAATAGGCAGTCGAAGAGACGCTGCAGATGGCCGGGAAGTTAGGTCTGCTGAAGAGGCGATCTCCAGAACACGACGGAACGACGACTATCCCTAAGCTAACGGCCATTGTTTCTTCTTCTTCTTCTTCCCCTCAAAACTCCCGAATCCTATCGCTAACTCTAGACCTTGATTTGTTGAGGGTAAAATTGGTACTTTTCTATTTATGAAACCTTGAAACTGAAATTGTGGTTTTTTTCTTACACTTCTTCACTTTTTTTTTTTGTCTCGTCTATAATTATCCATCACTCGAATCTATCTTTTGAAGATAGCAACAACGAACAGAAAATCTTTATGAAACCACACACAAAACTGAAGATTGATCCATTTTATGATATATACACACATTTACAGATTACGAAGCCAAACATTCACACAAATTAGTGATTTTGAATGAGTCTACCTACTTATGTTATTAACAAATGAATGAATCAGGAATCAAATCAACAAACTAAAAACTTGGAACTTTCCACATCCCCTAAAGCTGAGGAATTCCCACAAAGCTTTAGACAATCGAAAAGTCTTTTATCTAATTAACCTCTCTGCTTCACACAGTTTATAAACATCGGTTCTTTTGCTAATTGTTTTTCTTTTCACAGCAACAACACAACACGAAGAAGCTGGCCTTCGTATATCATTGGCACTTCCGGATAATGAACGCTTCCAAAGCTTCTCTCATCCAACAATCCTGACATAACTCGAGCGCTTCGGACAAACAAACCCATTTCCGTTGTCTGAATTCCGACTCGGGCCACCGCTCGAACTGCTGGCTAACAAGCAGAGGAAACATGTAGCCGTCGTGAATCATGCTGTGTCTTTTGCTTTTGTACTGCCATTTCCCGAGCGTTTCTTCGAGCTTCCCCGTAACTCCAGCTTCCTCGATTGTCTCCCTCAAGGCTGCTTCTTCCATTGATTCATCAATCTCCCAACCTCCTTTCGGTAATAACATCCCTTTCCCTTTCTTCTGTGCACTTATTAAAAGAACTTCAATCTCTCCACCACCATGTTTCTTGTATCTGTACGGTACACATCTGCAGAAATTTTTTCGAGACCAAAATCAGAACTTCATTTCTCTAAACCCAACTCATAAAAGATTCGTAAACCTAGAATTACAAATTCTCCCTCACAAAAATTGAAAATTAAGGGGTTTTTGCAATTGAACGTACCCGACGACCTGACGATACCCTGCGGTATCGTAACGCTGCAAATCTCGTCCGGTTCGGGAGACCAAAGAGACAACTTTCTCGATCGGAGTCGGTACGGTCTTCGACGGGATGCTGTCGAATGTCGGAGACAAGTGCGAGGCGGTCGTCACATTTGAATAGTTTGAGATTAATAAAGACACATAAAATCCCGTCATTTTTTGTTTATCTTCTTCCCTCTCCGCCGAAATTTGAAGAAGTCGGAGAGAGAGAGAGAGAGAGATGATTGGATAAAGGAGGAAGATGAAAAGATGTGATTTGAGAAGAGGATTGGGTTTTTGGGAAGTGTATTTATATTGGAAAGTCCTCACGCGCTTCAAAGTGTTGCTTTGTTCAACTAATTTATAAATTATTCACTTTTTTTTGGTCAACTAGGTTGCAGTATTTGAATAGATACAGTTCGGTTAAGGCATCTAGATTCAGGTGTTGTCTTCGGTTATTGAATTGACTTTTTTTCGGTTAATCAAAAAACATAGAACTCTTGTCATATGTTCTGTTCTGTCTAAAAGTTCTAGAAACTCAAAACGTTATTTTAAGATGAGTTCAAGTGACAACTCTTTAGAACACGAGCCAACGAGGTGCATAAATCATAACGATATCATCACTTTTCTCATCTTCTAGGTCAATTTTTTCACAGAATAAAATTCAAACTTTGATGTCAACGAACGCGGATTAAAAAAAAAGAGAGAGTGTGAGAGACGCGCTTAAGCGCGTGGAGAAGCAGGCAAGTGACTAAAACACGGTATATACGGAGCATTTGGCATTGACTTATTTTAAAAAAAAAAATCCTTTAAAACATAAACCAGATCACATGATTCATGAACCGTACCGGCGTACAGCCTAAACCCAAACTGATCTCTAGCCTTGTGAAAACCGGACTAGCATCCCAATTCCAAATTGGTATCGATGGATTATTCTGTTGAATACTGGAATTTTTCTTTAAAAAAAAAAAAGATTTTGGGCGTATCACGCACATTTCTAAACATAAATCATAATACTACATATTATTAGTACACACTACATGTTTTGGGTCAAAAGTGAAGGTTAAATTAAAACGGAAATATTTGTAAAGGTACATAACTGCGTAGTTCAAAGATAAATCAAAATAAAATAAAAGCAGAAATGAAGCTAACTCCCAAAAAGCTGATAATGGCTGCATTTTTCGTGGTGCTGGCGGAAGAGCTCTCTGTTTCAATTAGAGTGTCACATTAGTTACTTTATAAAACAGTTTCGTGTTGATTAATTATCAGTTTAAGTCTTTCGAAAACTGAAAAAAAATTAAGACTAACCATGCTTGGCTCAAAAAAAAAAAACATTGAAACTGTAAATGCATAACTAGAACCTTTTTCTAACATACGACGCAGAGATATAATTCCAAATTCTACGATTACATTACCGTTACGTTCCAATTTTTACGACAAGATTGTTGACAAAAAGGGTTTAACATTGTTTCCGTAAATCCAAAATTTAAAGGATTATTATTGATATCAGGAAAAGTAATTAGTGCATACCGCTACTCGTAGATCCCGACGACGCTGTAGAAGAAGAATCTCCTTCATTAAGAAAACGATATAGTATATTAGAACGGCGTGTGTGTTTATTTATAAAATCCATAATATAATATACGTACACTCTTAATGCAATAATTTACACTTAATAAAAGTAGATGAAGAGAAACTCACTAGAGGTAGTACTGGTACAAAGTGAGCCGTCATAGTTAGCACCACAGGACTTAAGGACATTAAGAGCGTTCTCTTTGGTGAGATCAATGTATCTGAGCATGTCCGGATGGTTGAAGGCGGCGCATAGACACGTCATGTCATTCTCGATGATCTCTTTCATCGTATCGCAACACCACGACGGCGGAGGAGATTCCGAATGCATATACGGACGACACGGCATTACTTTTTCTACGCATCGCATAACTTCTCCGAATTGTGCCGTGGCTTTAACGGAGTAGAGAATGACGATGACGGTGACTACGCCGAGATATCTGCCAATATCCATTTTGTATATATATGCAGTTTTTTTTTTTTTTTGCTCTTAATTGGCTTTTTTAGTGAGAATATATTTCTTATATATAGAGAGAAAACGGGGGGAGTTAGATTTTTGTTGATTTTTTGTGGAGTTAACGATGGAGTTAATATTTAATGCGTACATAAAAGACTACAAAACTAAAAGACAGAATCTCGGATTCATGCAATTTGATTGATCACTAATAAAATCTCTGGTCTAGTGCATGTAACAATGGTATACCTTTTTTTTTCTTTGACAGCGTAACAGTGATGTACCATTTGCTTACAATCTGTTTTTAGTCTCCATTTGATTAGCTAGGATAATAAAATGTAAATTCACTGGTATTTTTTTACCAAAAGGTGTATAATCTCACATTCCAAGAGTAAATATGTACCAACTTAATTAGTAGTATATCTGTATTACATGTACAAAGAACCTGACCCAGTCAAAATGATTAGCTGTTTTTTTGTTCGGGCAGCGATTAGCTGTTTTCTTAAAATGCAAATCAAAGCTATATTTGCAACAAAGAAAAATGCGAATCCAGTCTGAAGTTTTTTCGATTGTAGCTTTACTTAATATATTTAATTATCTGTTTTCGTAAAAATATCTTTCAAAGAATATATCTTTATTATTTAATACTTATCTGTTTTCTTACAAAAACGAATATAAAGTTTCCAAAAATTTACAAACGTTCATATTTTAGTGCTTTTCGGTTTTCTTTGTATCGAATCATATAAACTGAAATGAGTATTTAAAACAAATTAAAAGTGCTTTGGTTGATCTTTTTTTGTTTTACCATCGGCATATTAACATAATTTTTCATTATTATGATTTAATATTTTTTATTCCTTCTTTATCAAATTTTCCTTTTTGTTTGTATATTTTTATTTACCGCTCATGCAATTACATATTTTAATATGTTTATTAGCTTTACCTATATATATGTATATTTTTTTCCAACATAAACCGCGCGCAGTCGAAGGCATGGTGGTTGATGCTGGTATGGTGAAACTTTGGCACTATCTTTTATGAATTATGGTATCAGGCTAGGTCGAAACTTATGTTTTAATATATGTAGGTTCTTTCTTTTGCCAATATCAATCAAGGTTTATCAAAACCAAAATAGAACCAATATTGGTCGTAAAAAAAAAAAAACAATAGAACCAATATTGAAAATTCTACTATATTAGAATATACTATTAAAATGAAACACTAACAGTATTTTGACACAACATAAGCATATAAAATGCTGACAACAAAAACATAAAATATAAGGATGACATCATAAAAATAAAAATATAGAGATGACATGATCAAAATAAGTTTCTTGCCACAAAAGCAGCCGCAAAGACAAGTCCGATGAAACTGACAGCTTGAACGGAAGAGCCTCCTGTTACATGAGAAGACCACATCAATTAATTTTAAGAAGTAAAACCGAATCAATTAACTCTAATTAAACTGGACGATATAAAGAACTCTAATTAGTTCTTTTTAGAAGATTAAATTTGTTTCAACTCCAAAAAGTACTGTATCCGTTTGTATGTGCTAGTTTATATATGTAATTATTCCAAAAAGTACTGTATCCGTTATTAATTTATAATATCTCTATAATATGTAACATCAGTTATCAAGTGCATACCACTGGTTGATCCCGGCGACGCAGGGGGAGGAGGGGAAGAAGCTTCATTAATAACAAGAGATAAACATAAGAAAACAGTGTCAGTTTGCTTTGATAAGATGTTTTGATTACATTTATTATACATATATATATATATATATTGATGGGATATTAATTGAGGATTAATAACTTACTAGCGATTTTGGAGCATTTTGAGACGTCAGGATTAACTCCACAGGCTTTAGGGAGATCAAGAGCTTTATCTTTGGTGAGGTTGAGTTTTTGCAGTATCTCCGGATTGTTAAAAACGGTGCATAAACACACCGCGTCTTTATCCACCAGTTCTTTCATTGGCCCGCAACACGACGACGGCGGCGGCGGGTTCACCTTGAGTATGTACGGCTGACACGGCAGCAGTTTTTGCAGGCAACCCGCCACGTCACCGTCTCCTCCTTGTGCTGTCGCCTGGATGGAGTAGAGGACGACGGAGACGAATACTACAGCGAATAATTTGCAGATCTCCATTTTTGATTTTTTTGATTTTTTTTTTTTGTAACTTGTCTTGTAGTTTCTTCTCTGTCCTGTGTTCTTATAAATAAAGGAAACCTGAGAATTTGTATGTAAATTTTTCTTTTGGTCAATATGAAGGTGAGATTTCTTTATGAGTTTTCATGGATTTGTTACCTGGTTTGTCTGATTTCTTCTAATATTATAGGATTGAAGATTAATTCTGGCTGGATATAAGATTAGCTAGTGCAATGTGGTTCATGTAGCTGTATCAATGTAATCATCTCCCCAAACCTGTTTTTTTATTTACATTGAATCAGAAGATTCTAACTTTAATCTTTTTCTATTAAAGTGTAATAGATTATGTCACTAACAAAGATTTAGTTAATTAAAATATGAGTATGGAAGTCTAGTAATTATAAAAACGTCCATGAAATCTCATTATGAGATAGTATAGATCTTAGGGGGTGTAACACATTTAAAACCTTGGGCTATTTGGCACTTGTAACAAAAAACAAAACAACGTAAATGGTTGGGTTAACTTCACTAATTTACATTTTACCAAAAAAAAAAACTTCACTAATTTACATGATTACGTGGCTGATGGTTATTGGATTACTGATGTTCATCAACGTTGCAACATACGGGAGTGTGCCAAAATGACGTCATTACCCCCCACCTCCCTTGTCACTTTCAATCCTTCTCAAATCGTTTTGTCGACTCACTGCGAAATATAGAGATGAGAGTCTCAGGTCACAGGATCACATCACTCTTCCTCTTCCTCTTCCTCTCTCTCTACATTCATCGCCTTCAAGCCCGTCCCTTAGTTCTCGTTCTCTCCAACGACGATCTCAACGGCGGCTTCGATGCCGACGGCGCATACGGTTCCCCTGATTTCGACGAGTTTGGGGAATCCGAGTCTATGTCCGAGGAGGAGCTTGATCCCGGTTCCTGGCGTCCAATCTTCGAGCCGAACGATTCCGCCGTCCACTCCGCCTCGCCGCAGTATTACTCCGGGCTCCACAAGATTCTCTCGGCGGCGAGCGAGGGAAACACCGAATTGATGGATGAGGCGGTTTCAGAGATAGATTCGTCTGCGTCCTCAGGAGATCCGCACTCGCAGTCGGTGATGGGGTTCGTGTACGGGATTGGGATGATGCGGGAGACGAGCCGCGGCAAATCGATTTTGCACCACCACTTCGCGGCCGAGGGAGGAGATATGCAGTCCAAGATGGCCCTTGCTTTCAAATATCTTCGACAAAATGTAAGCAAGCAACTTAATCATAAACATCGATTAGCTATTTGTTGCTCATTCGAATTTACCTCAGGACTGTGTTTCAGAGAATGGGGAATGTAAATTATAAGTTTCATTCGTTGCTTCATTAGATGTTCTTGTGGTGATCCTTTCACAGATGCATGATAAAGCCGTACAACTATATGCTGAACTAGCCGAGACAGCAGTGAATAGCTTTCTGATCTCAAAGGATTCTCCAATGGTTGAGCCAGTTAGAATCCACAGTGGAACAGAGGAGAACATAGATGCGCTAAGGAAATCTCGCGGAGAGGACGATGAGGATTTTCAGATATTGGAGTACCAGGCACAGAGAGGGAACTCTGCTGCAATGTACAACATGGGACTGTTATACTACTTTGGTCTCAGAGGGTTAAGGCCTGATCACGCCAAGGCACTGTACTGGTTTTCAAAGGCGGTAGACAAAGGAGAGCCGATGTCGATGGAGCTTCTAGGGGAGATATATGCTCGAGGAGCTGCTGTTGAGAGAAATTACGAAAAGGCACTTGAATGTCTTACACTTGCAGCGAATCAAGGTCTCTTTTCAGCATTTAATGGCCTTGGTTACTTGTATGTCAAAGGCTATGGAGTAGACAAGAGAAACTACACTAAGGTAAACCGTTGCTGACTTGCTTCACACTTCCCAAGCATCCTCTTTATCTGACTAGAAATTTAGGATCTTCGTTTGTTTAGCTTTAATAAAATATATTGATGGAACTGGGACGAGTGATGTCGATTCTCTTACTGTATGTAAAAAGTTTGTTAGTCTTAACGATCCATCTCCCAAACCTAATCACTTCTCTTGTCTGCGCTATTAAGTGTTGCTGACATTTCAATCTTTAGCGGTGGGAACATAGAATAGTCTCTGTAGTGTCGAGTTATGCTGGCCAACACATACTTAAGTTTGATCTTAGCAGTGTAAGACAATTTGATATTATCACAAAGCTTTGAGAGCAAGGTTTTGATAGGTGTGGTGTTTCTTTCATGTTTTTCTTCAATCACTAATATGATCAATGACGCAAATACTTTTCATTGAGTATTTCCGTGCAAGTTCAGGCGAGAGAATATTTTGAGAAGGCCGCTAATAATGAAGACCCTAGCGGGCATTATAACCTAGGAGTGCTGTATCTTAAAGGTATTGGAGTCAAGAGGGATGTGAGGCTGGCTACCAAATACTTCTTGGTCGCTGCCAATGCTGGCCAACCAAAAGCTTTTTATCAACTCGCCAAGATGTTCCATACTGGCGTTGGGCTTACGAAGAACTTGGAAATGGTAACTAGCTTCTTCCACCATGAATTCCAAATACAGAGAGTTTTATATCCTTTTATATCCATACAGTTCAAATGAATGAATACCTAAATTTTGCTCCATATAATCTTGAGAAGAGACTGGTGACACTATGGATAACTCAGTAACAGTATTTGATGTCTCCGTCCTTCTTTTGCAAGAACGTACATTTTTCAATTTGAGGTATAGGAGTGGTGTAATTTGCTAAAATGTATAACCATCAATGGTAATCCCTGTTGATTTCACTGTGTCCTGCTTTTGTCCTTATTTCCATCGATTTTAGGTGTTTCTGTAGTACTGTAGTATTGGTCTGAGCAATATGGATACATGATTGAGGGATTTTGTACTTTTAACTCCTTGTTAACGTTCCTAGCGTTTTGGCTGCAGGCAACGTCGTTCTATAAGCTAGTGGCGGAAAGAGGACCATGGAGTTCTCTCTCTAGATGGGCTCTTGAAGCTTACTTGAAAGGTGATGTGGGAAAGGCTTTTATATTGTATTCGAGAATGTCGGAGCTTGGTTATGAAGTAGCACAAAGTAATGCTGCCTGGATCCTAGATAAATACGGGGAAAAAAGCATGTGCATGGGAGTATCTGGGTTTTGCACAGACAAGGAGAGGCACGAGCGGGCTCATTCCTTGTGGTGGCATGCCTCTGAACAGGGAAATGAACATGCTGCATTGCTTATTGGAGATGCATATTACTACGGTCGGGTAAGTCTACTTGTGCTCGAAGTTTAAGAATTGTTCTGTTTCCAGAAAAACTGTTAAATAATTTTTACTTATCCCATCCCATTCATACTCATGTAGTTTTTCTCATACGTACGGGGATCTTACTCGTGTTCTCAGGGTACAGAGAGGGATTTCGTGCGTGCAGCTGAGGCATACATGTATGCTAAATCTCAGTCAAACGCACAAGCCATGTTCAACCTTGGTTACATGCATGAGCATGGAGAAGGTCTTCCCTTTGATCTCCATCTAGCTAAACGTTACTACGATCAGGCCCTCCAGAGTGATGCTGCTGCCAAAATACCCGTCACGCTTGCTCTTGCGAGTTTATGGGTTCGCAAAAACTATGCTGACACCGTCATGGTAAGAGAAAGAGAGAGAAAGGGTGGTGATTTTCCCAGTTCCCGAACTGTTTTGAATGAAACAGAATGATCAAGCTCACTTTTCTTTTTAACTTGGGTTGCAGATCAAAGTTCTGGATTACTTACCAGAAGTGTATCCGAAGGTGGAGGAATGGGTAGAGAATATGGTGTTGGAAGAAGGAAATGCGACCATACTAACTCTCTTGCTCTGTCTTATCACCGTTTTATATCTCCGGGGGAGACAACGTAGACAGGTGGTTTTGGATCCCGTTGGTCCTGATGTGGCTCAGCCTCTCGCTGGACCAGTAGCAGCCTTTCCCCAGTAATCGCTTAACCAGGTGGAGTAAATGATGAGCAAGCACCAGAGAGACCAGTTACTCTGTACAGGTTCTAACTTATCTCGAGTCTTTGACACACTGAACCATAAGCCCATAGCAGACGATAAACTTTGTATTTTGGTTCCCGTTTCCTTGGGTTTCAAGCATAGCTATTTCAGGACTGATTTTCAGGTTTCTCTGTGACGCATTTCGATATTTTATTTACGGATACGAAATTTTGAGAAAACAATAATGGTTACATATTACATTTTGGATTGGATCAAAGCCGTCGTTGTTAGTAAATTTTTATGACAAAAAAAAAGTGGTTTGCAGAAAATGGTAGTGATCATGACTTGCATGTCTATTTTCTACTTTCTTGATTAAATAATCTAGGAAGATGATTGATCGTTGAATATGCAGTTTACTTTATTCATTATGTATATAAGAATACGAATCTCACGAACTTGCGTTTATGAGGTTCTCACGTTCAGCCAAAAACAAATAATGTAATGATAACAAGAAAAAAGTAATATTTTAAAAATCTTATGAATACTTTTGCTCTTTATAATAATCATAAACATTATTCGAAGTAGTAGCCACATTTCAAATTCGTTTTGTTTGAATCAACTAATCGTTGTCTCGTCGGAGAAAGATGTCGCTGATGGATAATCTGTTAGGTATCCTCCGCGTTCGCGTCAAACGCGGCGTCAACCTCGCCGTCCGTGATGTTTCCAGCAGCGATCCTTACGTCGTCCTCAAGCTTGGCCGTCAGGTTCTCTCTCGACTTCCACAAACTTCTTCAACGAATGTTTCACCGACTTACAAACATTTTCAACTTCTTTTGACAGAAACTCAAAACAAGAGTGGTGAAGAAAAACGTAAACCCACAATGGGAAGAAGATTTAACATTCACAGTCACAGACCCGAATCTCCCGCTTAATCTGGTAAAATCCTCAAAATTTTAAACACTCACTTTCTAAACCGGACCGGTTTTCTACAATCGTCTTGGTTTTTTTAAATCAAATCAGGTTGTGTACGACCACGATTTCTTCAGCAAGGATGACAAAATGGGAGACGCAGAGGTCGATTTGAAACCGTACATCGAAGCTCTACGAATGGAGCTTTCCGGTTTACCAGACGGGACCATCATAACCACGATCCATCCAAGCCGCAGCAACTGTTTAGCCGAGGAAAGCTACGTCCGGTGTTGCAACGACAGAATCGTTCAGAGCGTTTGCCTCCGTCTCCGTAACGTCGAGCGTGGTGAAGTCGAGATCGAGCTCCAGTGGATTGATCTTCCCGGTTCTAAAGGCTTGTAAACAAATCGGTGGGTGTGTCTTATTGGGCCTCAATGGGCTCAGAGGCCGATTACATAGTACAAACATAAAGGCCCTTAATATTGCGGTTCGGTTTCGATTGTTTTTGAGCAAAGGTAATAAAATATTAACAGATGATATTAAATTTTATTATATCTGTGTGAAACCATTGGGTTTTGCGTCTCTGCCCAAGACGGCACGAATTTTAGTGATTGATGTTTGTTTAAAGGAATCGTCACGTTATCTTGAGGACAAAGATATTTTTACTTCGTATATTCTTTTTTCTTTTCTTTATTTTGTTTATTTTGGTTTTTTGTTTTCTTTTAACGAAGTTAAGAAGGGGGGAAACAAAAAAAAAGAGATGAAAAAGATACTTTATTGCAGCAATAGCAGCTTTTGAGGAACACAATATTTTTTTGAAACGAAGTAGAAAAAGTAGGTAATTTTTCAGATCCTTTTTAATATTCTCTGTTCTATTTCTATATATTCTTTTATAGGTTCAGCCTTTTAGAGAACCCAAAACCGTGCAACGAGAAATTATAAAATTAAATTATAGAAGAAAGAAAAGAAAAAAAGAGTTTTGCCAAAGCAGCATCTACGTATGCTTTTTCCATTGATTCGTAGCCGTAGATCGGTATTTGGTCTGATGTTTTTCTTTTGGTCGGGAAAAGCTTTCGATATCACAAAACAGACCCCTTATTTTTGATTCATATCTTAAACATCCCCTACGTTTTAACTTTTAACCCAAAAACGACGAAAAAGTTTAGAAAATAATGAGAGTTCTTCGGAGCTTAATGAAGCTGACAAGTGCCACGCCTTTACTTTTATTTTCCATTTTTACCCATTACCCCATCATTAATTTCTTCTACGCATGCCCTCCTGATTCTATCTCTCTCTTTCTCTCTCTTTTTTTTCATATATGTAATTTTGTTTCTTCGCTTTTATTTAAGATTATTTTACTTCAATTTGTAGCGAAAGAAACAGAATAAATTGGATATTCGATTTGTTATCAGATTCGTATTCGATCTGGAAAAAAATAGCTGTTGTTTCTCAATCAAGTTATAGTTCTACAATCGTATTATCTACGAATTAAGAGTATAATCAGATTTTTTATTTATAATAAGCTTACTTTTGCGGATATGAGTACCCAATTTTCATGTCGAATTTGGCTCTCAAGTCTAACCTTTAAATTTATGTCATTGAAAATATCATCTATTTGTATTAATTCAGAGAATAAAAGCAAGAAACATTTCATATCAAACACGAATCTTCATTAGTCATCATCTGTTTAGTAGTGGGATTATCTGATTTGATTACAATTAGAAGGCTTGCTTTAACGAAGCGTGTTAAAGCACAGACGCATGGAGACCACGAAAATACATGCAAAATGCAATACATTATTTTCCGTTTGCACGAGAGACGCATGCATACACATAGTAACTTTTTTAAGAAATTAATCATGTAGTTGATTTCTTTCAAAACCATAGAGTGCCATTTTATTACTTTTTTTAGTTATTACTATTAGTCACCAAATACGACTGTAGCTTTCATAAAATGGTAAAAAGGAAAGGAATTTGTATCTTTTTGTAATCTTTCACCGCGTGAGAAAGACGTATAAAGTGAATAACCTATCTTTGAAATACAACGGCTAGCTATGTATCTCAAATATTTAAATTTCACCCCATAAACTGTTCTTATTATTATATTTTCTAAATAAATGTTAACTTTATTCTCGCAAAAAACGATATACAAGTCCTGCATCAGTTTTTCGAAAATAGCAATGTAACAAGAAAAACTGTTATTCATATAAGCATTGTTAAGGTTTTGGAAAATCATTGAGTAGTAATGTTTTTTCATGCGAGTTAATTTTAGGTTCTGGAAAATCATTAGAGCTATATGTTTTTTCATGCATGCAATTATACTTCTTTCAAAACATGTTTGTAAGTAAGGTCAACCGATTAAATTACAACTCTGATCTAATTAGTGATCCGTCTGCATAAACACAGCATAATTTGAAGTATTTAAACATGCACATGAGTTACATCACACACTTGATCATTCCCATTGATTAGCATACGTATTGAGATTATTAGTTTCTCGATTTGTAGGATCAGCCATAAAGCCCACTTGATATATTAAGACAAGTCAAATAGGCTCCAGGTCTAAATCAGTCAAAATTTGCTTTACGAAACCTAACTATCTTTACTGGCTGCGACTCTCTTTTCCATTTTTCCCGTTTCAAATGTTTGCTAAAAGGTCAATTATAATTTTATCGTTTCAAGTGTTTGCGAAAAGGTAATAAGTAGAAGCGGTGCAAATATAGTAATTTAGAAAAAAAGTATTAAACGAGAGGATTTAGGCATTTGAAAATATATAATTTGTGTTAAGTTTATTTACTTACATATATAATTATATTTTCATAACACACAAATTATTTCCATGATTCCACATGTTTTTGTTGTTGATAAAATGAAACATAATTCGATCCATATGCGTAAATGTGTAAACTATTTTTCAAAAAAAAGAATCATGTTTTGTTTATTAAGATTGCATAATAAATCTAATTTGTTCGATCCGTTGTCTCTGTCTTCGCACAACAAAACAGCGAAGGAAACTGGAATTACATATTTACATTATAACTAGTAGTATAATATTATTGTACTTAAACAAAAGTTGAAAAAACATCGGGAAAATAAAAAGCTGGAAAGAAAAATAAAAGAAGAGTTGTGTTTTGGATGGGATGATGAGAAAATATGAAGAGCAGGCTGTTGATGGAATATTGTGTTTCCTCAAATATCAGCACACCTCATTATATCATCAACCGATTGCTTTTGTACGGACTTTAATAATATATACAATAATTTAAAATTTTCAAAACTTTAAAGAAAAAAGGATTAACAAAAATCAAACACATAAAAGAACCCATCAGAGTGATTTCTGAGCTCAAACCAAAACCACCCTCTTTTCAGCATTTTGTTTTCAAAATATTTCAGTACAGTGTTACATTTTTGTCTGCTATCAGATTTATGGTTATCCATGAAACTAAAAGAAAAAGACCTCATCATTTTCTTTAGTAGATGGTTTTATCTTTATGATTTTTGTAGTACACTAATAATCGATAACGTAAATTGAATAATTTCTAATAATATAAAAATTAAAATAAGGGTAAATTGATCAACCAAACAGATAATTAAATGAAAGAATACAAGAAAACAGAGCAAGAAAACAGAGCTTCTGCTTTGGACTACGCAAAGCGCACAAGGCCGCCTCTTTCACTATCCCCAAAGCTCAACCACGAACCCAACAACCATTTTTATTACTACATTCAAATTTTTAAAACAATATTAGGATTTTACAAATATTTGGATAAATGTAAAAATAGCTAAAAAGTAGAAAGTAGGAAACTATACACGGAAGCCAAAAATAAAATCAGAAACAATAACGAAATAACGAATAATAAAACAATATTAGGATTTTACAAATAGTAGGATTTAAAAAGAATATAAAAATGTTGGTACTTTCTCAACGTCCAAAATAATAGAAAAAGAATATAAAAATGTGGTCTCTTCTCAACACTCCCTTTACTCTTTTTTCCCTCTCCATCACTTTCTCTCAGAACTAAAGTCACAACTTCTTCTCTCTTCACACACTCTCTCTCTCTCTCTAAAGATCACACGATGATAACGGCGACGGACTTCTACCATGTTATGACGGCGATGGTTCCGTTATACGTAGCCATGATCCTCGCATACGGCTCCGTCAAATGGTGGAAGATCTTCACACCGGACCAATGCTCCGGCATCAATCGTTTCGTCGCTCTCTTCGCCGTCCCTCTCCTCTCTTTCCACTTCATCGCCGCCAACAATCCTTACAAAATGAACCTCCGTTTCCTCGCCGCAGATTCCCTCCAGAAAGTCATCGTCCTCTCACTCCTCTTCCTCTGGTGCAAAATCAGCCGCAACGGCTCTCTAGACTGGACCATCACCCTCTTCTCCCTCACCACTCTCCCCAACACTCTAGTCATGGGGATTCCTCTCCTTAAAGGCATGTACGGCGATTTCTCCGGCGACCTCATGGTCCAAATCGTTGTTCTTCAGTGTATCATCTGGTACACTCTCATGCTCTTCCTCTTCGAGTACCGTGGCGCGAAGCTCTTGATCTCCGAGCAGTTTCCCGACACAGCTGGATCTATTGTCTCTATCCATGTTGATTCCGACATTATGTCGTTGGATGGTCGGCAACCGCTTGAGACCGAAGCTGAGATTAAAGAAGATGGGAAGCTTCATGTCACCGTTCGTCGCTCTAACGCCTCGAGGTCTGATATCTACTCGAGGAGGTCTCAGGGCTTATCGGCGACTCCTCGTCCTTCGAATCTCACCAACGCCGAGATTTACTCTCTTCAGAGCTCAAGAAACCCAACGCCGCGTGGCTCGAGCTTCAATCATACCGATTTTTACTCGATGATGGCTGCTGGTGGTGGCCGGAACTCAAACTTCGGTCCCGGAGAGGCTGTTTTCGGCTCCAAGGGACCCACTCCACGGCCGTCTAACTTCGAGGAAGACGGTGGTGCTAAACCGACGGCTGCTGGAACTGCCGCAGGAGCTGGGAGGTTCCATTACCAATCCGGTGGAAGTGGTGGAGGTGGAGCGCACTATCCGGCGCCGAATCCAGGGATGTTCTCGCCGCAGACCGGCGGTGGAGGTGCAGCGGCGAAAGGAAACGCTCCGGTGGTTGGTGGGAAGAGAGGGAATGGGCAAGATGCAAACGGAAGAGACCTTCACATGTTTGTGTGGAGCTCAAGCGCATCGCCGGTCTCAGACGTGTTTGGAGGTGGAGGAGGAAACCACCACGCCGATTACACCGCCGCTTCGAACGATCATCATAAAGATGTCAAGATCTCTGTACCCCAGGGGAATAGTAACGGTATGGTCCCCCTACAACTTTACTGTTTTGTTTCTGTAACTCCAACTTGTTTTCCTTACAAAGACAACCTCATAATCTCTTTTAAAATCTAATGGTTTTCAATCTATACCAATGGTCAAGAAGAAGACATCTTCTGTTAATAATTTGAGACACGTTTCGTATCTTCAATCAAGATTTGTGTGTTGATTAATGTAAGTCTTTAACTGTGTTTTGAAATGCCTAATCTTTGCTTCAGATAACCAATATGTGGAGAGGGAAGAGTTCAGTTTCGGTAATAAGGACGACGATAGCAAAGTTTTGGCTACGGACGGTGGCAACAACATAAGCAACAAGACGCAGCAGCAGCAGCCAAAGGTTATGCCACCAACAAGCGTGATGACAAGACTGATACTCATTATGGTTTGGAGAAAACTCATCCGTAATCCCAACTCTTACTCCAGTTTATTCGGCATCACCTGGTCCCTCATTTCCTTCAGGTATATATTTAAGTTTATTTTCTTGTGATTTTTAATAGACTTTCTTGATAAAAAAAGAAAAAGGATCAGTTCTTGAATTGAATGCGTCTATGTTAAAAAGTTTTGATTGTGTTCAAGTAAAAAAGATTTGAGAAAGATCTTTGGAAATTAAATTGATGTGGTCTGTGCAGGTGGAACATTGAAATGCCAGCTCTTATAGCAAAGTCTATCTCCATACTCTCAGATGCAGGTCTAGGCATGGCTATGTTCAGTCTTGGTCAGTTCCTCTTTCATTTTTATTTTTTTTACCACTTTTCATTTATTATTATAATAAATGCCATAAAACAGTCAATTGTTCTCTTTACTCTGACCTTCATTCTTTAGAGAAAATATTTTAAAAACCAACATCATGTGAATGCATGATTCTCTCTGCCTTTTTCTTTTGAATTTTTTTTTTTCAAAAAAAAAAAACATGTTTGTATCAAAAAAGCAAACAAAACTGGCTTCACAGCAGAAAAGCATGCTCCACAGTTCTCTGTTTACCATCATAACATGTCTCTCTTGGTAGAGAAACTTTTTTTTTTTACTTGGGAGTTCAATATTTAATGTTGAGAAATTTTACCTAGTTAATGTTTCTATCGAATTCCATAATCCATTATAAAAATATCTTCAACTTTTTAGAAAATGAATATCCCATGTAGGAAGATGATGATGATGATATGGTGGTGGAACAGTGACTGTAATGATTATTTTTATATCACTCTTTTGCGTCTAATCTGCTTAAAATTTTAAAATAAACCAAAAAGGCAAACACATTGATTAAAATATTTTGTTAACTTTGAGCTTTTTTAAAAATGTGTTCAGGGTTGTTCATGGCGTTGAACCCAAGAATTATAGCGTGTGGAAACAGAAGAGCAGGTTTTGCAGCGGGGATGAGATTTCTCGCCGGACCTGCCGTCATGACCGTTGCTTCCTACGCCGTTGGCCTCCGTGGCGTTCTCCTCCGCGTCGCCATCATTCAGGTATTTCTTATATTTCTTTATGCATTATTATAGTACTGTACATATAATCTAATATATGCTCTGTCTATTTATTCTGTTGTTTCTACTGTTGTAGTGTCCTTTTTCTTAGTATAACGTATTGTCCGTATTTAATTTCAATTAATAATATTGTTGATAAAAAACAGGCTGCGTTGCCGCAAGGAATTGTACCGTTTGTGTTCGCCAAGGAGTATAATGTGCATCCTGACATTCTTAGCACTGCGTAAGTTCATTAACTATATATAATATTATGCAACTTTGGATTTGATTAGGGACTTTTTTTACTAATGAGTGTTGTGATTACTTTTGTGTGTATGCAGTGTGATATTTGGGATGCTGATTGCGTTGCCCATAACTCTTCTCTACTACATTCTCTTGGGGCTATGATGAGAGATATTACCAACACAGGGGCCTTTTTTTTAATCTTTTGGGGGGTTATAAAATGTGAAAAGAACAATGCCCTTTTAGTTGAATACCCACAAATTGGAATCAATAGCAGCTTCTAAGAGAATTTGGAGAAAGGAAGCTCTTGAAGAAAGGAAGAAGAAGAAGTAGAAGTAGGAGCTTGGCAAGTTTCCCTTTTCTTAGTTTTAATGAACATTTTCTGTTTCTTTTGGTAGGTATTAGGAATTTGTAAAAGCGTTGCTACTTTTAGTGAATTTAAACTCACATCTCAAGGAACTATTATTGTTTATGTGCTTGCCAAATCAAATTCCCGGGAGAAAGATGCTTAATCTCATAAGAATACAAAGTATTTATTCTATTTCACATATTAATCACAGAAATTAAGTTTACTTAGCAGCTTTGTTTTCATTTGCCATCACTTAGAAATGTGATCGTAAAGCCGCTTTTACATAAAACGTTGGTGAAAGGGACTTCGAATCTCCGGGGAATTAGGATTTTTTTCCGTATGTAAAGTAATTACGAATACTATAAATTTAATTATACTTTGGTTGAGACGGGGGCTTGAAATAGCAACAAAGACAGAGGAATTAGGATTCAACAGAACACTCGATTAAGTGTAGAAAGAACGATGGAGCACTTAAAAAGATATTTGGTGTGGACGTATGCACTTGGTGCATGCGTACGTTATTTGTCTTGGTCAAGATTCCTCTTCACTGCGTTTGTCGAATCTTACAAGATTCGTTTTAGTATTGTGTTACCCTTTTCTGATTCTTCTCCGAATCATTACATACCACCACTTACATTACATGCGGATGTTCTTTGCAGGGTTTTTATATGTGAAGAAATAGCATGATGGCAAATAAACCGTCGTATTTTTATAACATCTAACTTTTTTTTTTATCAAAGTTTATAACATATAACTAATTTTGATTTTTAGTCCAGAAAACTTCCATTATGTTTGATACATCAAATTGGTTTAAAATGTACCTTTTTTCATGAAGAAGACAAATCATGTGTTTTTTTTTTATTTACATAAAGAAAAAATCATTTGCTATCTCTACTAATAACTAATAACTATGGGAAGGTGTAATAATTAGAGGAGAAGAAAATAGTTAAAGAAAGCGACCCTCAATTTATGGCACGCCTCACGTAAAAATCCATCATCTTATCATTTCTGCATGAAACGGCTATAGCCGCCGGTTGCATTCTTTAATTTTTAATCGGTCTCCAATTAACAATACCATTATTATTCTAGTTTTTCACAAATGGTTTTCACATTGTTACGTAAATTCATTTTTTAAAATAAAAGAAATGAATGGGAAATAAATAAAAAAAAAAAAGGAAGAAAGAGACAAAAGAGAAGATGACGAGGCTGTGTCACTTCGCTTTCTATTGTCACTCAACACTCAACACACAAACATTTTTCAGAAGCTTCCAATTCTGTGTTCATTCTCTGCTATTCCCCTCTCGATGTATTTACCATTTATCTGGAACCATTACGTATAGAATCCCAAATTCAAAAATAGATAGTAGTAGTAGTAGTTGGAAACTACCATGAATACCTATATTACTGCTCTAATAGTACCTATTGTATAAATAGTTATGATTTATTTTATTTTTTCAATATTAGATGAGATTGTGATATTACATTTCAGGGATTGAAAGGACCGAGAGGATGTCATAAAGAAGTTAATCTCATCACGGAAAAGATTTTCGTATTTATTATAGATTTCTCTTTGGCATTTAATAAAAAGAATACGATAAAAGGGTATAAACGTCATTTTGAAAGGGCCATAGTTGCAGATGTTAGTGTCTGCCTGCCACTAGGTGGTGTTGGGTCGGCCGTCACCCAGACAGGGTTTTGAGAGCTTTTTGTCATTTGTCTTTCTCTCTCTCTTTTTTTTTCTTTTCTGGCTTTTAATTAATTTTTCTACTATTTCTTTTTCTCAATAAAGAATATTACTAATAGTTTTTTTTTTTGTACTTTGCGCATATGATTATATTATTTCTGAAAATATTGACAATAAAGTTTCAGTGCTTAAGAAAAATGGAAGATTTTTTAGTCATGCGGAAAGATTATAATGAGATGAAGATCAAATTAAAAATGTATAAACAATGACATCTTGTTATAGGATAGAATATAACTTCTTGAAAAATACACTTGTCGAGAGATGATTGCCATAAAATACACCCATCGAATTTAACCAAAGTCTAACAACACGGCTGAAGATTACCTCCATTTTGACAAAATAGGTCAAAAAGTCAAATAAAATTTCGACTATAAGCGACTCTAGCATTTGCATAATGTAGAGATACCAAGTTGTTAGAAAAAAAAAGGTGGTTAGAGCAAGTGAAGTTTGGACCCGGAACTCTAATAAATAATATAAGAAAAGGGAGAAATTTGCAAAATAATAAAGAATTCAAACCTTATTTAGACTATTTCCATTCCAATTTATTTTTTTAAAAGTGATAATATATAAAACACTAACTACAATATTGATTTTAACATATACAGTATGTTTGAATGACTGTCATTCTTTTTGTCGCGTTTAAACTATATAAGATGCACGTGAAAGATTACTTCGAGTTACTAAAACCCCAAAAGATTTACTAAGAAGAGTTATCTTATCTGTCTCTAAAAATGTTTCTTTTTTTGTATACTAAATAAAAACAAAGACAAAATGTGGCTTTAAATTCGAGGAACAATCACCTGTTCCCAGGTGCACGCTGTCCTACACGCATAAACTTCACACATTTCTATCCCTTATTCTAAAATTACTACAAATTCTCACACCGATGTGTTCATTTATGTGATGCTGTTGCTACCACTTCGTGAATACTTTTAAAATGTTTCTATCATATTTGGGCCTGTTTTGCTTGTAAGACCAACCCCAATGCAGATCTGCAAGGGTCTAATAACAAGGTCTTAGTAATATAATTACATTAAAATATTATATAGAATGTCTAATATTTTAGACAAGGGTCTAAAATAGAATTTTTTTTTTGATTTAAGAACACACAGCTGGCAATATATGAATGGAAAAAAAAAATTTAATACATAAAATGAAAAGAAAAAAACAAAATCTACCAAATATTAATATTTAATCATTAAGACTCCTATACTAATGGGGTTACCATTGGGGTTGCTCTAAAGGTCCAGAGTTTTATCCTGGAAGAAAACTCTTTCGATTTCAACTCCGTAGCCTGTTTAGGCTTTACCCATCAGAAGTCTGTATCAGCCTTGTTTGGTGGGTTTTGAACTTCTTACAAAAGATAATGATTGAAAGCTAATAAGATTTGTTCGATTTGCCCAACAAAAACAAAAAGCTTTGTTCGAAAGAGTTCTTAATGGACATTTGGCCCAAGCAAGGTTTTAAACTTCTTACAAAAGATAATGAATGAAAGCTAATAAGATTTGTTCGATTTGCCCAACAAAAACCAAAAGCTTTGTTCGAAAGAGTTCTTAATGGACATTTGGCCGATTTTAAAGCTCAATATTTAGTTGGAAAGGTTGGTTAAATGGACTTATCATATTCTTGCACATTTCAGAGTGTTAAAGAAAAATAGTGGCAACGATAATATCAAGATCGTTAATACGTTGAAAAAGTATAGAAAAAATTGTAGAAAAAAAAACTCCTTCGAATCTTTTCAAAGGTAAAACCCACTATATCTTCAAAGGTGGTTAGTTTTTCTTATATAAAACTCCTTCGAATCTTTTGTGTATTAGTTGAGATATGGTCCTGGTGTAATGAAAATCTTCTTATAAAATATCAGAATATGGAAATATAAAACATGATTTGTTGTTTTGTTGAAAAATATATTTGTTAATAAGAAACAAATAAAAAAGTGATTTGAGGGTGAGGGAGGGAGGGGCCAGTAGGAATAATACGTTACTATAGTTTTTAACCCTAAATCAAACTGAAAACAACAAGGTCCCATCATAAATTTTATATAATTATGCATATCCCATTTGTAGGATTCTTAACTAATATATACTGTCCTTTGTCAAGATAATTTATTGTATATGTAACATAATTAAGTATTTCGTATAATTAAAGAATGACCAGGGCAAGTAGGCAAAATAGAAAACAAGATGACAACAATTTCATATGATCGCTATTCGAGAAAAAGTGTGTTAGCAACAATCACATTTGTTAAATTCACTATAATGTGCACATTCTTGTTTGTTAAAACAATTGTCAAGGACGAAAAATCAACCAAGTTGTGGTCCAAGGAAAGATAGTAGAGTAGACCCACTAACCTCCCATTATATGGATCTTAGCAGTATCAAGTGGTCTGCTTAATTTTCTTATTTTTCCCCCACATTTTTCTCTTAGCTTTTGGCTATTTGTTTTTTATTTTTTTGGGGTGCAAATGGTTATTTGTTTATTACAAAATTAAAACCACCTTGTTATATTGAATTTTATTGTTATCGATAAAGTTGTAGTATCTCGCTAACCTAATGGACACTACTATATTCTAGAATCTTCAAAAGCGATGCAAATAAAAGACATGTAGGTCGGAATCATGAATATTCAGATATTTTTAGATTATATAAGGCTGATACATCATACAGCAATACTATTGAAATTATGATAACAATGTTGGTCATGGAAATAATTGTTTTCCTACAAGGGCATTAGCATAGGTGTGAATATTTGAAATAATTGTTTTCTTACGTTGATCAGGTAGCTATAATTCTTTTTTATTTGTTAGCTAATCTTTTTCGTTCAAAACCAGTTGGCATGTGATCTTGATTCTTGAAGTTTGGTTATATGTTGAGAATCTGACATTGTACCACCTAAAGTAACGTTTGCATATATATATATATATACATATCGGATCCAAATAGTGTATCCAACATTGGCCAACGTACCTAAACGTATACATTATTTGGATCCGGTGCCCTAATCTTTTTTTTCTCGGAATAACATACACCGCGAAAGCATTTATTCGATTTTGCATTCTAGTTTTTATGTGGTCGCGATTCCAAATTAAGCTATTTTGTCATTCTACTAATTTGATTTTCCGTTTTTACAATTTCGTAGTTTTAGTTCTAGTGAAATTTTTTATTTAATGATTATCGTTTGTTAGTAATCATACAGATAAAAAAAGCTTTCTATAAATAAGAGGACAGGGAAAGAGAAAAATGATGTGGCTGTGAGCCATTGGATTGAAAGATTCATTTCAAAAGTTGGCCATTCGGAGCATCTTGGGATCACTGTCTGTTCGCTACTTCTCAAAGACTATTAACTGTTACTTACTTACGCTAAACAGTGCTTTATTTCATACTCCAGTAAGTAGGGTAGTAACTAGTAGTGATATAAATTGTTTTAAGTGGCCATCGTAATCACTGAATCCAACTTGGAAAAAGAAAACGAATCTCTGAATCTAAATAATCTAGAATCTATCAAACTATAATCTATTTAATTATACCCATCAAAATGATATATTCGATCCGCAGTTCCATTCCACGATCAAAATTTAAACTGTTGTTCACTCCTGATATTAGTTGATGTACTCTATTATTTTAAATCAATTATTATTTTTATAATTGTTCTCAAATTAATTATATTTTAATGCATATTTTATGATCTTTTGTATTATAGAAAAAATAATAAAAGGAAATGTCTTCTTTGTCTTACGTATATAAAAAATAACAACAAATATCATTTATTTTAAAACGAAAAATGTGATATCCACTTATATAACAATTATAGTTTTATATATATATATAACTTGTTTTAGTATTGATGCTTGGTTTTTTTAACTATATCATAATATTCTTCACCAAATCTTATACTCCATTAAAGAGACAAAACGTATGTATATTGAAAAATAATATATATACATATAAACATACACAGAACAAATTGAATCTTAGATTTTAAATCTATACTTTTAAAAGAGGATCATTTTTAAAAACATTTACCTAATGTGTTATTTACATCATTTGTCATTAATGAATTAATATAAATATTATGTATAAATTATGTAAATAGTATTAACTATATTAATTATATATTTGTAATATCTAAATTATTAAAAAAGAATCATTTGTATTATAGAAAATGATTAAACTGTTGTTCACTCCTCATATTAGTTGATGTATTCTATTATTTTAAATTCATTATTATTTTTATATTTTTTCAAATTATATAATGTTTTAAATTTTTAATACGTATTTTATGATCTTTTGTATTTTGCAATTTACGTTATGATAATTAGTTGAATTGTGTTTGTATAGATAATATAAAAGGTTTTATAGAAAAAAAACAAAAAGGAAATGTCTTCTTTATCTGTACGTATATATAAAAAATTAAATATCAGTTATTTTAAAACAAAAAATGTGATATCCACTTATATAACAGTTATAGTTTTTTATATAACTTTTTTTATTTATAACTTGTTTTAGTTTTGATGCTTGGTTTTTTTAACTATCATATTAATATTCTTCACCAAATCGTATTCTCCATTAAAGAGACAAAAGTATAAACATACACACAAAACAAACTTGAATCGTAGATTTTAATTGGTCTTTAAATTCAAAAATCTTAGATGATCAGCGTTTGTGGAATACTATTTCATTTTCTTTTGTTTACATATGCCTTGAATTGATATATGATTGAACGGTAGAGAAAGCATGAATAATTATTAATCAAATAAAATTTTATTTTTTCCTGTCGAGAACTAACTTTCTATTTCAGTTATAATATATATATATATATATATATTCTGCATATTATCGTTCAAATTAGTTATAAAATTGTTGTTGCCAAAAATATATTTTGACATTTTTCTTACATATCTTCTTAATATTTATATATATATATATATATATATATATGTTGCCATATCTTACATTTTGCCAAATAAATTCTTATATACTGTAGTATTGTAATTTTACCATAGAAAATGGAGATGGTAAATGATATGGGTTTCTTTCTCCAACCAAAAGAAGAAAAAAAAAACAAAAAATTTCCAAAATAGTCATATTTTTTTTCTATATAATGATGAGAAGAAGATCAGAAGGAAGAACACAAAGAACCACAACATTCACACACAAAAAAAAACCTAAGACTCTGATCTCTTGTTTTCCTTCTTGCCAATAAGTGATCAATGGCTCACAGTCACACTAATGGCAACATCTCATCTTCTTTGTCCAAAAACTCATGTAAGCGCTCTTCAATATTATGATGTTATTTTCTCTCACTTGTTCATAGCAATTAACTTTTTTTTTTTCGTTTTTGTAACCATAGCAGTTAACTTAATATCCTCAATTTTCAAAAAGTATAGCGATTCGAATCCTCAGTTTTATCAAACACACAAATCATTTGAATTATACGTTTAGCGTTCATTTTCCATGATTTTCTATGTATATGATCTTGTCAACATATAACATCTTTTCTGGAAAAATACTGGAACAAGAAATGTTTATTTATTGACACTATTGTTCAACACTAACTGTTACTATTATAATTGTAAATTTAAATCAGCTATATTACATATATCGGTGGGTACCGATAAATCATTTGAGATGAATGATTCACCTATCTCTCTCTTTCTCTGTATCCACTCGCCCGTCCCTCTTTTAAAATCCACCACGTGATCTAAATTGAAGTTCATTTTTTCTTACGTTAATGAAAAATAACATTCCTTTTTTGGTTTATTGAAATTTACAAAGCCGACCAAATAATTTCAAGGTTTTTTTTGCTAAATGGTAAATATCATATACATATGTTATACTTTCTAGGGTATTAATTAAAATATAAGTATAGATTCTGGAATATTACGTTTGATACATAATTTCTACTGACACTTGGATATAAATCTGCTTATTACATTATACATAATTTTTTATTTTATGGTGTTACATATGAAACCTGATTATTATGTAATCGTAGTCAACATTGGATACAAAAGTTTGAAGGAAATTTTTTTTCCACGCCGATAGTATTTGACAGGGAGGTTCATATAATATACTTTGTAAACTTATATTATCACAGTTATAATAAATTGATAATAATGTACATGTCAAATTCAATTTATTTAAAGTAGAATAGCTTGATCCTAGTTGTTCAGTTTTACATAATTATATTCATATAAAGATAGAAAAAGATGACCTCGTCCACCATAACTAATAGAATATCTTCGTCGTTGAAAAAAAAAAATCGGATCTCTTTTTTTTTGTTGTATCCACTACATATTATTTGAAAAGTAACATTATTAAAAATTGCTTACTTGTCAACATTACAATCAAAGTTAGTGCTTTTAATTGATGACATGTAATGTGACATATCAAACTTGCTAAAATAAACGAAATGTTTTGATTGGTTGAATTGAAATTATAGAAATTATGGAATTAAAACATAAATAAAATAAATTATATTTATAACACTAAAATTAACAAATTTAAATTAACAGATAATAAAAACTATTATAATTTTAATTTTTTTACAAATATTCATAATTTCATAAAAATAATTACGAAATTTTTTCTATAATATATATATATATTATAATTTCATATAAAAATAAAAAATAATATTAAATTATCCAATAGAATAATAAAAATTTTATTTATTAATAATACTTGAAGTATGATATATTTTTATTTCGGAAAGCTATTAATTAAATCTAAAAAAGTTTTAAATAAATAAATTATTAAATAATATAATTTTAAATAAAATACAATCATGATAAAATAATTTAAAGAATAAAATGTTAAAATAATAAAAATAAATAACTTTTATTGATTTTTTTTTTAAAAAACGTAATTTAAAAAAAATATTTTCAAACCAATATTTACTAAATGAATAAAGTATAAACTAATTATTATTTTATAATATTAATAGGACCATATATTTTTCTATAACTTTTATCATCTTTTTATTGTTGTTTTCTAAAATGTGCTTAACTTATGTTACCATCTCATCTTATCTCTTATCATATTTTAAATAAAATAAAATTTTATATCATATTAATATATATATATATATATACATAATTTTGTTTTCATTGTATATCAAAATTTTGAGATCATAAATGAATTGAAAAATAACCGAACGAAAGAATAAATTATAATAAGATGAAACAGTACGAATAAGAGATAAAAATAGAAGTATATAAAAATAAATCTCTCGGCCTTTGTTTTACATAGTCACTTAAAATAATAATAACACGTAAGAGCTATATTTCAATTTTTTTACAAATACGCGTACATATATAAATATTAGTTGTACATTAGTTGAAGTCACATGCGAAATTTTTTGTGCATTTATTTTGTTAAGATTGATTACTGTCTAATTTATATTTTAATTATTATCTAATTTATATTTTTTAAAAAATATTTATTATTCTAAATGTAGTAAAGTGATTGGTATGCCCGCACATGCGTACCAACCATCTATCCGCTCTTAAAAATAAGTAAAAATGATAAAAACTATTTCAGTTTAATTTGCAATAAATCAAGAAAAATATATACTTAAAATATATTATATATGTATTTACAAACTCATATTATGTAAGACGCAAAAAAACATATTGTAGATTGTGTAAGGAGAAATAAAACATATTAATATTATAAAAATTTAATTATTATTTAACATAACTTTTATATTTGTGATTATATACTATTACAAGCATTATAAAAATAATTTTTTTTTAAAATATATTGATTTCAGAAAGAAGTTTGTGAAATATTAAAACTATATATATATATATATATATACAAATATACAAATGTTTAGAATTTAAATATTATAATTAATTATGTATATCAAAAAAATTATACCCGCATGTGCGAACCAACCATCTAGTAAACAATTGTATCTAAACAATATTTCTTGAAATAGTTTCTTCTTCTAATTAAGGAAAAATACGGAACCATTTTATATGGAGGTCGTAATTTCCGTGGGACATACACTACTTTCATGCGTTAACATGTGAACAGACGAATCGGACGGTGTAAGAGATGCCACGTTTTTGCACGTAATGTCAAATTAGATTCTCCTAACGGCCAACGTCCCGTACCAACTTTCCCGTATTTGACTTTCGGATCCTTTTATCATCCATGAAAGAAAGAATAAACCGATCGATAACCGGAAAAGAGAAAAACATGTAAACCGAATTTGGATGTAACCGCTTCGTGTTCCGAGTCCTTCACAGAGTTCAGTCCAGAAAGAAGAAATCGAGAAATCGAGAAATCAATCACTGAATTTTGATCCGCCGGTGTCGATGCAGCCGAAGGGTAGACTTCAGAACCGTAGATCAAGGAGCTTTTCGAGATCTAGACTCGCCATCGAAGGATCATAGCCATAGTTTCCTACATTTTTTTTTTCTTTCAGTCATCTCCGTCTCGATTTTCTTCTCAGTTCATAGATTTCATCACTCTCGAGAAGAAATCGCCTCTTCCTTGTTCCCTTCTGTTATCCTCACAGATAATGGCTGCGTACGGTGAGTTTATGGCGTCAATCACGACGAAACTGTTCAGGGTTCCGAAGCTCTATTAAATTTTTCGAATTCTCGAACCCGAAACCACTTTTTTTTATCATTGAATAGTGTCATCGAGCTCCTTTAACAATTCAGGACTTCCCGATGCGTTTCTGGATCGATTCGATGAGCATTGATTTGAACTTGGTGATCGCTTCTTCATTGAGTTGATGATCGTGTTTTCAGTGGTTTCAGGGGAGGAGCGAGAAATCCAGAAAAATTACTGGAAAGAGCACTCCGTGGGCTTAAGCGTTGAGGCGATGATGCTTGATTCCAAAGCTGCTGATCTCGACAAAGAAGAACGACCTGAGGTTAAATCTCACCTTACCTAAAGTTATCATCTTTGTTGTTTCAGCTGAGTTTAAGTCTCAGTAATACCTTTTGGTATACAAATCAGCAGCAAATTAATTGCCTTAGACCCAAATAGAAAAAAGTTATCCTTTTTGACTTTGATGAAAGAAAATATGGGAATGAGAAGGAAAAGGTTCTAAGGCTTGAATTGTGTGTGTATGTATGTATTAGATTCTTGCGCTTCTTCCACCGATTGAAGGGAAAGCGGTGCTTGAGTTTGGAGCTGGTATTGGTCGTTTCACTTGTGAATTAGCTCAGAAGGCCGGCCAGGTCGTTGCGGTTGATTTCATTGATAGTGTTATCAAAAAGGTTAAGATCATTCACGCCTATGCTTGTTCTTTTCTAGCTACTTGCATCACTCTGTCTTTTTTTTTCCCTCATGAGAGTCTTCTTCTCTGCAGAATGAAAACATTAATGGGCACTACAAGAACGTCGCATTTATGTGCGCTGATGTCACATCACCGGATATGAACTTTTCAAACGAGTCTATGGATCTGATATTCTCGAACTGGCTGCTAATGTATCTCTCCGATAAAGAGGTAACCCAGTTAACACCCATTACTGCGGGAACCACTTTAGAACAGTTCACAATTAGGCTAAGTTGCTAATATTTCTTGGCCTTTCGAATGACAATGCTACACCTTAAGGCCTCTTAGCTTCATTAATATAACCTGTGCATATATAACTTTGCGGTATCAGGAGTGGTTCCAATCATCAAATAGTCGGTCATTCATATCCATTGACAAAGTTAATGTCTTTTCATCAAATTTCAGGTTGAAGATTTGGCGAAAAAGATGTTACAATGGACGAAGGTTGGCGGGTATATTTTCTTCCGGGAGTCTTGCTTTCATCAGTCCGGTGATAACAAGCGGAAGTACAACCCAACACACTACCGCGAACCCAAATTTTACACAAAGGTGTGGTACCTTTTACGGTATAACCCTCCATTCTTCTGTTTCTAGACAATTGTATTTTGAATTCTGGTGCAATGAATACCTTTCAGCTTTTCAAAGAATGCCATATGAATGACGATGATGGGAATTCGTACGAACTCTCTTTGGTTAGCTGTAAATGCATTGGAGCTTATGTGAGAAACAAAAAGAACCAGAACCAGGTAACAGGCGTCTTCATCATGTGTTTGCCACCCTTTGATGTTATCTATCATACGAGCTGATTCATATTTATACTTTTTTTCACAAATTTTCAGATATGCTGGCTTTGGCAGAAAGTCAGTTCGGATAATGATAGGGGCTTCCAACGCTTCTTGGACAATGTCCAGTACAAGTCTAGTGGTATCTTACGCTATGAGCGTGTCTTTGGACAAGGGTTTGTGAGCACAGGGGGACTCGGTATGCTCTTTACTCACCGAGTTTGTATCAACTTTGCAGTATTGATGGTTCTGTATTTGCATTTGAAGATCGAAGTTAATTGATCTACTTTTCCCTCTTGGTTTTTTACTATAAAGCAAGTGAAGCTATCCTTTCTTCTGCTTATGATACTTTGTTCTCTTGTTTTGACCTTCGATACAGAGACAACAAAGGAATTTGTGGATATGCTGGATCTGAAACCGGGCCAGAAAGTTCTAGATGTTGGATGTGGAATCGGAGGAGGGGACTTCTACATGGCTGAGAACTTTGACGTGGATGTTGTGGGCATTGATCTATCTGTAAACATGATCTCTTTTGCACTCGAACACGCGATAGGACTCAAATGCTCTGTAGAATTCGAAGTGGCTGATTGCACCAAGAAGGAGTATCCAGATAACACCTTTGATGTTATCTACAGCAGAGACACCATTCTGCATATCCAAGTATTTTTTCTTCTTCCCTTATGGTTTCATTGTGTACCTTTGTTTGCGAAGATCTTTTTCTCTCATTTTTTTTTCTCCAAGTTGTAATCGCTGGCCTTGCTCCTCAGGACAAACCAGCATTGTTCAGAACATTCTACAAATGGTTGAAGCCCGGAGGCAAAGTTCTCATCACCGATTACTGCAGAAGCCCCAAAACCCCATCTCCAGATTTTGCAAACTACATTAAGCAACGAGGTTATGATCTTCATGATGTACAAGCATACGGTCAGGTATACAGAGATGGAACTCCTATCCACTTCTACTCACTTTAATAAATCACCAAAATTCGCCTAAACCAGCATCTTGTTTCTACAGATGCTGAAAGATGCAGGATTCGAGGAGGTAATTGCAGAGGATAGAACCGATCAGGTTAGAAACGCTTTTCTACATAAACACATGTGCTCTTCTGAAATAAAAAAAAGGAACAATTTGAAAATAGTTTGCTGTTTGATTTTGCAGTTCATGAAAGTCCTGAAACGTGAGCTGGATGCAGTGGAGAAGGAGAAGGACTGTTTCATCAGCGACTTCTCGAAAGAGGATTACGAGGATATCGTAGGCGGGTGGAACTCAAAGCTACTCAGGAGCTCAAGTGGTGAACAGAAGTGGGGTTTGTTCGTCGCCAAGAGAAACTGATTATGGCATTCTTAAAAAAATTAATAAATAAAATTTGGTTATGTAATCATCAGAACCCAGTTCCTTCCTATCATCTCTTCAAGCTATGTTTCTGTCTCCTCTACTGTGATCTTTTTCAAAGAAACTGTATGTTACATCCTGTCCAGTTTGGTATTGTATGTGGAATTTGCAATCGGATTGATCAAGTTTGACATAAACAAAAAAGCTCGACCTATTGGTAATCGGATTGATCAAGTTTGACACAGAAAAGCTCGAACTCTTCATTATTGGACAGAAACAAAAACAGTGAAGCAGAGTGATAGTAGTAATTCACTTGGCCACCGTGGAATTACATAGCAGAGATTAATATGGTTTTTGACTTAATTACTATCTCCGGTTAAAGTTGGAAAAGCAGGAACACAACTTAAGGCTAAACAGAGAAGAAGTCGGTTTTAGAGAAGGACAGGATCTCGACTTCAAATTTGATTGTATCGTTGACGAGGAAACCTTTGGTTGCGTTTTTCATATCTGCAAGAGGTACAAACTTGTCGAAACCCCACCCGTGTTCTGTTGCGTTGGGCCATCCCTCCACTGCAGCAACAAATCAAAAGTTAAAAAAACAATAATGCTCATTAGGTCTAAATAGTATAAATGAGTAGTAAAGGACAAGAAAGGGCATGTAGAGTGAAACACTGACCCTGCTTCTCCAGATGTTTAAACTGGATTTGGTCAAGCACTCGTAACTTGGCTTGCACGTAATCAGTTTGATTTGACGCGCTCAATAGAAAGAGTGACAACGAATTACCAGTCGCAGACCCAACTCCATTTGGATACACTTTCAACACCCTATATACACACCCATCACATACATTATCTTCCTTTTTAAAAATGTAAACGTTAAATTAATCCAACCAAAAAAGGGTTTTTACAATGAATCCATCACATATATTATCACACATGTACTGCAAATCTCTATGTAGAGAGAGAGAGAGAGAGAGAGAGAGAGAGAGAGAGAGTTACCAGTTTCTACCTCCGGAAGAAAAGGAACCAGAAGTGTACCAGTCACGGTCCCGGGTAGATAATTGGGTGAGCTTCCAATCGAAAATAGGATCACGAATGTTGTCTTCGTTAGAGAAAACTTCCCATTTATGGAAGGGTGGAGTAACGAAGACGTCAACCCCAAACACACTTTGTCCACCATTGAAAACGAATCCATTTTGCGGCGCTAGGAAAGTCGGAAGATGATAAAAGTTTGGCATTCCCCATTCTGCGTTAAACATATGAAATCGCTTCGGCACGTTGTCTGCAAACCCATAAAAATTCATCATTTATCTCATGAAACCAAAGACTAATCAATAGAGATATACACACGTTAACGTTATACGTACCCACAAGTGTATAGTATTGGTCTTTAATCTTACTGTACACGAAGAACTTGATCTCTGCATACACATTATTGGTCATGAGGCTTGAGTTATGGATTCTTACGTAAGCCGAAATGTATCCAGCAGGCGCGCTTCCTTGCTTGTTCCCGTTCGGGTAAATTAGAAGCGACCTTACAACATAATAAGCAAAACGGTCAAATTATAAAGTTGAAGACTTGTACACAAAATGAGATTGAGAGCGACGTGCACGCGTACCAATTGTGTCCGCCGACGGAGAAAGGGCGCGACTCGTACTTGCCATCCTTGACCTGTTTCATCATGGTCGCAAAAGACTCGAACTTTACGCAGTAAGATGTTGGAGGAAGTTCTCTGTAGATCGACACCGGTGCAGAGAGCTTCTCGTGATTCCGGGCAGGAACAGAGACAGAGCGAGATCTCGAGGACTGACATGGCGGCTTCACTGAGTTCTTCACATCAAAGAATCCTTCTTCTACCACTGCTGCTGTCTCCATTAGGTTTTGCTTGAGGTTGTCGTAAGGTTTTGCGAACCTCACGAGTCCCACAATAAAAAAAACACAGAAAAGCAGGACACAAAAAATTGTTCCATAATTTGTGTTTTTCTTCTTTTCCTCCTCTCTAAACATTTTTCTTTTCTTTTCTTTAGTGTATCTGTAACGTCTTCTGTTTTCTGTATATGTAGACACTAAATAAATGTCACGGGGCAAACGTTTCAAAAACCAGTACAAATTGTTCGCTATACCTAAAAATCCAAAATTGGACCGACTTGTATTAATTGCAATAAGATTTTCGGGGCCCTTCTACTATACATTATCCCTTCAAAATTCAAATATCTATTTTACCACCAATTGGAGACACTTCTACTAAAATAGATATTCTTTTATAGTATAAAAAAAAAAACTTATTTACCACCAATTATTAATAGATTGTTGAGCTGTAGTGTTAATCTCTCGATGTGGGGTATGTACGGGTCACTCTCCCAAGGGGTTCAAAGGGGGAGTCTCCTAGGTGAACATTTTAAGTAAGGCTTTTCATTATAAGGATTTTGAATCTTTTAGCCATTTATTCGTTTGTCCAAAAGCTATCCATGCATCTTATGCATTCTTGATCGATATTTTTTCAATTTGATGAAGACAAAAGAAAAAAAAAACTGTAAACTCCAGAACTCCAGCTAGGTGAACTCAAAGCTACTCTCATCAAGAGCTCAAGTGGTAAACAGAAGTGGGGTTTGTTAGTAGGGTTGTTAATTTATACGGGCTTTTTTATTCGGCCCGCTACCAGCCCATAATCTCCAAAGCCTGCCAAACTACACAGAGCGGGCCTGCCCGCCGGTTGCCATTTTTTCTTTTTCAAATGCAAATTTGTTTTTAATCGATTTCATTGTTTTTAAAACAAATATGCATGGGCAACCAAAATTACAGAAGCGTTAGAGCATCTCCAGCAGTTATATACTCATTTTGAGTATCTAAAAAATAAAATATTATTATTTAAATAATAGTTAAATGATTAATTAATTTTTATTTTTAAAATTAAATTCAACTAACTCTATATTGACATGTGTAAAAAGAGATGTTAAAGTATCTAAACATTTCTCGAATGAGAGACGTTTCTACTTTCCCTCTCTTCTTTTTTTATTTTATTACTTTTTAAATCTGAGATATTTTCTTAATATACTACCGAGGGAGGTGGTCTAAGTTCAATCATAAGAGAATATAATCGAGTGAATGAACATTGAACATAAGCATAAGCCTGGTATATTTAGAGCTCATCTCATCTGCTTGGGAAAAACCATATTAACTGTTTTTCTCTTCGATCCAAGTGAGTCATTTGATGAACAGAATCATAATGTGCAAGTAAATTTTACTCAATTTCATATGCTCGTAGACAAGAGCAAAACTTCTAAAACAATTTTGGGCCCAATTGAGCCCGCAGGTTTTAAGCCCATATTAGCCCATAAAGTTTGAGAAACTGATTTATGGATTTTTTTGAAAAATATACAAAACATTAATAAATCTGGTTCGGTTGTGACGCTTTCTCCCTCTCTGTTAATAGTTTTCCGTTTTCATACGTGTCCAGTTTGGTATTTAATGTGGAATTTGCAATCGGATTGACCAAGTTTGACATAGAAAAAAAAGCTCGAGTTCTTTTATTATTGGACAGAAGCAAAAACAATAAACCAGAGTGATAGTAATTCACTGTGGCCACTGTGGAATTACATAGCGGAGATTAGTCTGCTTTTTTCACCTACGTAACATCTCCCGGTTAAAATAGGAAAAAACATGGTTTTGGGATAATCCTAAGCCCTAAGCAGATAAGGAGTTAGTTTTAGAGAAGGCTACAATCTCGACTTCAAATCTAATGGTATCGTCTACAAGGAAACCTTTGGATGCGTCTTTGATATCAGATAGTGGTATAAGTTTCTCGACACCCCATCCGTTTTCCTTTGCATCGGGCCATCCCTCCACTATATATATAGGAACAAATCAAAATTTAATATTTTTAACATTCTTCAAATAAGCTTAAAAAGGCTAAACTAGTAGTAGAGGATGAGAAGATGAGACATCAAACCTAGTTTCTCCACATTGTTGGATCGGTTCTTGTTAATAACTCGTAACTTGGCTTTCACGTAACCCTTTTCATTTGACGCACTCAACAGATAGAGTGACAATGAATTACCCGCTGCAGACCCAGCTCCATTTGGATACACTTTCAATACCCTGCCACATCAAACACACAAATTAACACGTATCGTACATATATATATCTTTATGTAAATATACGTGTGGATAGAGAGAGTCACCAGTTTCTTCCGCCGGAAGAAAACGAATCAGAAGTGTAAGAGTTACTACGAGCGATAGTAGAGAACTTGGTGATTCTCCAATCGAGAAGAGGGTCACGAATGTTTTCATCGTAAGAGAAATCTTCCCATGTGTCAGAGGGTTTAGAAACCACGATGTCAACCCCAAACACACTCTGTCCGCCGTTGAAAATGAACCCATGTGCCGGATTTTGGAAATACGCAATCTCAAGAAAGTTTAGCTGCCCATACTCCTGTTTAAACAGATGAAATCGCTGCGCCTCGGTCGCTGCAAATCAGTTCCAAACTAATTAGTCTGAAGAAACCACAAAAGATTAAACAAATTTTGTATGTATATGGATTAATTAGTACCTTGGAGCTCATGGTACGTGTCTATAGTGCTTTTATAGACGAGGAATTTGATCCACGCATACACTTCGTTTTGATTGGTGATGAAGCTTGAGTTATCGATTTTTACGTAAAGCGAAACGTATCCACCTGAGCCAACTGGCTTGTTCACGTTCGGGTAGACTAGGAACGTCCTTTATAACATTTAAAGAAAAAATGTCAAATTATATAGACAGTTGAAACATATAAAAATTAAAAATCTTAATAAGATATAGAGCAATGTGTTGAAATATCCCACATCAAAAATAGAGATGATTCAACACGAATATATAGATATATAGGATCCCAATGTGTGCACGTACCAATTGTATCCACCGGCGGAGAATGGGCGTGACTCGTACTTGTCACCGTTGTCTTTGACCAGTCTGGACAGAGTAGCAAAAGACTCGAACTTCACGCAGAACGAAAGTGGAGGACGTTTTCTGGTCTCCTCCCTTACTGTTGTCGAGAGCTTCTTGTGGTTCCGAGCAGGAACAGAGCTGGATCCTATGAAGGTACAAGGAACTATCCCTGAGTTCTCCACGTCCAAGAATTCTTCTTCTTCTACTACTGCCTCTGTCTCCATTAGGTTTTCAAGGTTGTTGTAATAAGGTTTTGCAAATCTTGCTACCTCCACAACCAAAACAAAACAGAAGAAGCAATAGACGAATATCGATCCATAATTGGTGTTTTTTTTCTTTTCCTCTGTATACATTTTTCTGTTCTTTTCTTTTGAGTGTTTATGGAACAGTTTTTGTGTTGTGTATATGTAGACAAAATTATATATTACTTGACCGAATATATATGCCACGAGGGAACACGTTTCTAGTATTTTTACTACAGATCATTATTATATTTAGTCACCAACTGGCACGTATATAATCAGATAATGACATTTATTGGTACATTTTTTTGTCGGGCTCACTTAAATGCAATTAGTTGTTATCACAAATTCATGAATGAAGTGAGTGAGTGACACATTTGCAGTTTCTTAAATCTAAAAAAATAATAAAATAAAAAAAAAATTAAAAGAAAATGAGATAAAAAAATTTTGGAGAAATTATGAAAGATCTTCGATAGATTTTATTTACACATATCACTTTAAGAATGATCTAATTTTTTTTTTTGCAATACAAATTTTAATTATATAATCAAATTATATTAAAATATTAATTTCCATTATTAAGAGATTCAAAACAAGTCTCTCTGGTTTTAAATTCGATTAATTTAATGTTTCAATAAGTTGCATGAAGAAGAATACGCTGTGTTTTCTTCAATGCTTATCTAAAACGAAAAGACAAAATTACCCACTTCTCTAGTATGATGATGATTCAATACACGCCCAAACATTATATTTTACACACCAATAATTTGAAGTATTATATAAATTTCATGAGTGTGAAAAAAACTGTGTTGGTGATATAATGTTTAGCGATCAGAGGCTTTCGTGAAAGTATATGGACCTCGTATTAAAGGTATCCCATTTTTTATTACAGAATCATGTTAATTTTTGTTTTATATATATATTTATTACATCGTCGATATTATGTATCCCTTCAACGAAAATAGTGATTGTGCTTGTACCGCCAGAGTCATGGACTCACGTGCCCATGATGTGGTAATGGTATCACATCACGTCCTATCTAATCCTGATTATTACCACATCACATCACGTCCTATCTAATCCTGATATTTTAATCCTTTACAGCCTACATTTATCCACCATAACATCTCTACAAATACATTAAACAAATCCGGTTTTGTATAGATTATTAAATCCAGCTCCTTTCATCTCTTCAAGCTATGTTCCAGCTATTTAGTATCTAATATGTGATGTCATATTTGGAATAATCAAGTTTGACAAAGAAAAGCTCCAACTTTTCATTAGTAAACTGAAACAAATACACAATGAATGAACCAGAGTGATAGCAATTCACTTAGCCACCATGGAATTACATAGCGGAGATTAGTCTGCTTTTTACTTATCTACTGACTCCTGGTAAAATAAGAAAATCAACACAACAATGATTTTCGGGATCAGCTTAAACCCTAATTAGAGAGAGTCGGTCATTGATTTCTGAAACGCAGTGATGGTTGTTTGTTCACCGCCAAAGAGTAGGGTTGTTAATTTGTACGGGCTTCTTTATTTAATTCGTTTGGTATTTAATTTGACATAGCCAAAAACTCTTTTATTATTGGACAGAAGCAAAAACAGTAGTAAACCAGAGTGATAGTAATTCACTTGGCCACCGTGGAATTACATACCGGAGATGATTAGTCTGGCATTTTTCACCTGATTACAATCTCCTGTTTTAAAAACAACAAAAGAGTGATTTCGGGAACATCTTAAACCCTAACTAGTAGGAGTCGGTTTTAGAGATGGACAAGATCTCTACTTGAACTTTGAGGGTATCGTCGACAAGGAAACCTTTGGTTGCGTTTCTGATATCTGATAGTGGTATAAGGTTGTCGATACCCCATCCGTTTTCTGTTGCGTTGGGCCATCCCCCCACTGTAGACAAACCATAAGTTGAATTTAACATTCTTCAAATAAGCCTAATTATATAGTCTAAAGTAGATATCAAACCGAGACACTAACCTTGTTTCTCCACATTGTTGGTTTGGTTCTGGTTAAGAACTCGAAACTTGGCTTTCACGTATTCCTTTTCATTTGACGCACTCAACAGAAAGAGTGACAACGAATTACCCGTCGCAGGCCCAGCTCCATTTGGATACACTTTCAATACCCTACACACACCAATCACACAGATTCACACATACTGTATATATATTATTATATGTATAGAGAGAGAGAGAGAGAGAGAGAGAGAGAGAGAGAGAGAGAGAGAGAGAGAGAGAGAGAGAGAGAGAGAGAGAGAGAGAGAGAGAGTCACCAGTCTTTTCCTCCGGAAGAAAACGAATCAGAAGTGTAAGAGTCAAGAATGCGAGTGGAGAATTTGGTGAGTCTCCAGTCGAGAAGAGGGTCACGAATGTTTTCTTGGTTAGAGAAATATTCCCATTGCTCAAAGGGATTATAAACCACGATGTCAACCCCTAACCCACTCTCCCCGTCGCTGGTAACGTATCCGTATTGCTCATTTATGAAATAATCACTTAACAGAAATGATAGCACTCCATACTCCTGGTTAAGCAAATGGAATCGCTGCGCCTCAGTCTCTGCAAAAACCGATCAAAACTAGGTTTAGTCTGATGAAACCACAAAAGATTAAACATATCTCCCTCTCTCTACAATTAATTAGTACCCTGGTACTCGTAGTACGTGTCTTTACTGCTTTCATAGGCGAGGAATTTGATGCCAGCATACACTTCATTTCGATTGGCGATGAAGCTTGAGTTATCGATTCTTACGTAAAGCGAAACGGATACACTCGAGCCCTTAGGAACTTCCTTGTTCGGGTAGATTAGGAACGTCCTTATAACATTTTAAGCAAAAAGGGTCAAACTATATACAGTTACAGCATATAAAAATTAGAATCAAAATGAGATTTAGAGCAATATAATTTAACATTGTTTTTTTTAATTAATTATTAATTCGTTTTGGAATTGGAAGCCATCCAACATGTGCACGTACCAATTGTATCCACCCACAGAGAAGGGACGTGACTCGTACTTGTCCCCGTTGTCTTTGACCATTTTCGCCATAGCGCCATATGACTGGAACTTCACGCAGTACGAAGATGGAGGACGAACTCTCTTGTAATCCCGTACTATTGACGAGAGCTTCTGGTGACTCCGAGCAGGAACAGAGACAGAGCTAGATCTCTTGAAGTTACATGGAAGTATCCCTGACTGCTCCACGCCCAAGAATCCTTCTTCTACCACTGCTTCTGTCTCCATTAGGTTTTCCAGGTTGTAATAAGGTTTTGTAAATCTTGCTACCTCCACAACCAAAACAAAACAGAAGAAGCAGTAGACAAATATTGATCCATAATTGGTGTTTTTCTTCTTTTCCTCTACATTCATTGTTCTTTTCCTTTTTTTTGAGTGTGTTTGTAAAGATTTGTGTGTTGTCTATTTATAGACATAGATTATCTTACTGACCCTGCCTAATATATGTCACGAGTTCACACGTCTGTAGTTTTTTTGTTTTTGCTGAATACGTCTGTAGTATTTTACTATTACAAATCATTAAATACATCAATCTCATATACACGAATTGGCACGTACATTATATATATCAGATAATGACATTTATTGGCACGTATTCATGAATGACATTAATTAACATTAGATTAAATGATTTTGTAAGTAATGATCATTAGTGTTTCAATAAACTGCATCAAAAAAAAATACGCTTGTTTTCTTCAATGCTTATCTAAAAATCTAAACACTTGATAAGGCTTTGATTGGTTTAGTTTGATTTAAGAGTATAAATTTAAAATGTTACCAATAAAGTCTTAAACTAGATTTTTATTTTATTTTAAGCTTGAATTAAAACGAGTTATGGTTGATTTAGAATTTTGAGTTAACTCTTTGTTAAATTGGTAAATCAAAAGTTAATGGAAAATCAAAGAAAAATGATAATTTAAAGATTGAGGTAGGATAAAATTTCTGATGTTTCGTAGTATTATTTTAGGAAGAAATTAATTTATTGCAAATCATTAAGGAAAAATTGGAAAAGGTACATTTAAAGATTGTGTTTGTATGTATGTATCACTATAAACCGCCAGAGTCATGGACTCAAGTTCCCATGATGTGCCTCGTTGTTGCACGTATCTCAGCTGTAATCATGTAGCTGAATTCTGATACTTAAGAAAAGGTCTTCTACATGCAAAAATGCGTGTCGGAAAATAAATTAAATTTTGATTAAGATTTGAGTTTGACTCTTGAATAGGCACAGTTATGAATCCTTCATAAGATGTTCCTAAACCCTTCACTCACTCTATGAAAACTCGCCTACCAAATTTTTCTTTTATGGATTAGCCTCTAGGTGTACGTTCTACGTTCTTTACGTACCCATTCCTTCTATTTGGACAATAAAGTTTGACATAGAAAAGCTCCAACTTTTCATTATTAGACAGAAGCAAAAACAGTGAACCAGATTTACATAGCGGAGATTAGTATGCTTTTTTACCTAATTACTGTCTCCGGGTAAAATAAGAAAAACAATACATGGAATATTATGGGAACATCTTAAACCCTAATTAGAGAGAGTCGGTCTTAGAGAAGGACAAGATCTCGACTTGAACTTTGAGGGTATCGTCAACAACGAAACCTCTGGATGCGTCTTTGATATCTGCAAGTGGTATAAACTTCTCGATACCCCATCCGTTTTCTGTTGCGCTGGGCCATCCCTCCACTACAGAAACAAATCAAAAGTTGATTAAATACATTTCTTCCCGTATTGTGATCTCCTTTTGGAGACTTTTTTCAATAAGATGCGGTACTTTTTTATTTTTTCATAAAGTACGTACTTGTATCTTACCCTGTTTTGGTTCTTAAATCTATTCAAACCAAAAATATGAGCCTAAATTAGTAGTAGAGAATGATGAGAACAGAGATATCAGACCTTGTTTCTCTACATGGGTGGATCGGATCTGGTCAAGAACTCTTAACTTGGCTTTCACGTAACCCTTTTCGTTTGACGTACTCAACAAATAGAGTGACAACGAATTACCCGTTGCAGGCCCAACTCCATTTGGATACACTTTCAATACCCTATACAGTACACACCCATTACATAAATATTATCAAGACATCTTCTATATCGCTATCTATAGTGCGAGAGAGAGGGAGAGAGAGAGAGAGAGAGTCACCACTCACCATTCTCTTCCTCCCGAAGAAAACGAACCAGAAGTGTAAGAGTCAAGATTGCGTGTAGAGAACTTGGTGAGTTTCCAATCGAAAACAGGGTCACGAATGTTTTCTTCGTAAGAGAAAACTTCCCATTGCTCAAAAGGATTAGCAACGAGGATGTCAACGCCAAACACACTTTGTCCGCCGTCGAAAATGAATCCATATGCCGGATTTTGGTAATACCCAATCTCAAGAAAGTTTAGCTGTCCCCACTGTTGTTTGAACAAATGAAACCGCTGCGCATCAGTCTCTGCAAAAACCGATCGAAACTAAATTAGTCTTCAGAAACCACAAAAAAATATTAAGCAAATCAGCTCTCCCTCTCTCTAGATATATTAGTACCCTGAAGGAAATGGTACTTGTCTATCGTGCTTTTATAGGTGAGGAATGTGATCTCTGCGTACACATCTCTTGGATTGGCGATGAGGGTTGAGTTATCGATTCTTACGTACATCGAAACGTATCCACCCGACCCCACTGGCTTGTTCTCGTTCGGGTAGATTAGTAACGTCCTTGTAACATTTTAAGCAACAGAAAAAGTCAAATCCCAATTTTATATATATAGTTAAAAACAGTTAAAAGTTATGTTAAAATAAGTCATCGCTAATTCATAAAAAAATATGGGCTTGTCAGATAATCGCCACTTGGTTCTTTGAGTTGGAAGCTATCCAAAGTGTACGTACCAATTGTATCCACCAACGGAGAAAGGACGTGACTCGAACTTGTCACCGTTGTCTTTGACCAGCTTCGCCATAGTGGCAAAAGACTGGAACTTGACGCAGTACGAAGATGGAGGACGAGCTCTATCCTCTCGCCTTATTGCGCCCGAGAGTTTCTGGTGATTTCGAGCAGGAACAGAGGCAGAGCGAGATCTCATGAAGGGACATGGAAGTACCCCTGATTTCTCCACGTCCACGAATCCTTCTTCTACTAGTAGTTCTGTCTCCATTAGGTTTGGAAGGTTGCTGTAATAAGGTTTTGCGAATCTTGCAACCTCCACGACGAGTACGAAACAGAAGAAGCAGTAGACAAAGATTGATCCATAATTTTTGTTTTTCTTCTTTTCCTCCGTAAACATTTTTCTTTTCTTTTTTCTTTGAGTATATGTTTGTAACATTTTTTGTTTCTATAAGTAGACATGAAATTTGTACTGAACCTTCTTGATATATGTCACGAGAGGCACGTTTCATAAACCGGGGAAAAGGGTTGGTTATACATACCGAACTCGAAAATTGGACTGATCTTAGATTTCCTCTCAGTCGACGCTTTCATATCTTATCTTTTACCATATCCGATCGATCTATTTTATTACCAATCATTAATACTTTAATGGATCAGTCCCATCAGAGGGTGACACGTAGGGGTGAGCACAAAAACCATAACTGAAAAAACCAAATCATATCAAACCAAAAAAAGTGTTATGATTTGGTTATGGTTAAACCTAAAAATTCATTTGGCTATTATTTTTTTATAGTTTTGGTTTATGTTTAATTTGATTAAAAACCGTCAAACCAAAAGGTTTTTTCAGTTTTTAAACTATATTTTAAATAATTTATATTTTTCTAGTTTCTTAATTTAATTTAAGTATATATTTTATTATTTGGCTTAGTTATTTTTATAATTTACTAACTTAACTCATAAATTTAAAATATAATATTTATAAAAAATATCTACATATAAATAATAAAGTAAATCTTAAATTTTCAATAAAGAAAAACGTGATTAACTCTTTTTTCTTCACATTCAAGTCTTCTAGTTCCAAGGTTATATGTATTAAATTTTAATCTAGATTTGTCTATTGTTTTATAATTATTGATTATGAAAGATTTGATAATTTGTTTGTTTCTCTGTTTTGAAATATGTCATTATTGATGAACTTTTTATGATTTAGATTCTATTTTTTTAATTTATTATTTTATTTCACTCATATCTGTTATTATTATTTTCATTAGTTTGAACCAAAAATTTTCGTAATAGTATAATTCCACGAAACCGAAACCAAACCATATCAAACCGAACCGTAAAAAACCAAATCATACCGAACCAAAATATATATGATTTTTATATGATTTGAATTTTTGTAAAACCGATAAACCGTAAAACCGAAAAAACCGAACCGAAACCAAACCAAAAACCGAAGTGCCCATCCCTCACGTACGTATTCACGAGTTGTCGGCACGTGTTCGTGGATGGAATAGTTCAGGGAGATATATCAATTTTTCCGATTAAATTATTTGTAAATTACGGATTGTTGTTTGTTTCATCACAATGAATATATAGATGCTGTTTTTCTTTAGTGATTATCTCAAATCAAAAGACAAATTACCCATATTTTCTCGTATAATGATTCATAAGATAAGAAACAAAATTGATTCAAAAGGGGATTGTACGTCCAAACATGAATTTTTCTCCTACTTGAAGAAAAACTTTTAATTATACTATAAATTTGTAAATGAGTGTTGCTAAACCTCTGTTTTGGTCATAAGGTCAGATGACCCAAAACCAATCCCGAAAAGCAATGGCGATTAGCATCAGAGGCAACATATTTTAATTTAAATATAATATATATACAATGCATGTGGCATTCCATTGGGTCGAATAAAGTAAAGTTTTTGGATAAAAGCAAAGAATTGAACCTTCAATATAGAGGAGAACTAATCCATTTCTTCTACTTATTTTTTTCTTAACTAATAAATATAGCGGGACACACAATTTTAGTACTAGTAATTATTTTGGTTATAATTTCAGTCAAGTATTGAAAGTTAAATAGCTTTTAGTAGTAATCATTTAGGTAAATATCCCAATAGTCAATGGTAAAAAGATCAAAAACATATCCATTGCCTGATTAGAGAAACTAACTTTCTCTTTTGTTACATACTATATACTTTAAGTGTCTTGTTAAATACTATATATATAGAACTTCGTTGAATTCGAGATTTTTTTCCCCAAATCTGAATACAATGATAACATAACCAATTGGATTATGTGCTTTTAAAAAAAAAAACCGTCGTGTATAATAAATATTTACTCTGAGATTAAAAAATGTCTTATTTATAACTCATATTCGTTAATTAACTAAAATTTCTAGCTAAAACAACTTCGGAAATATAAATTTCTCTTTGATTTCCAAAATGCTGCTGGGCATTCTTGTCCATTTGCCTATTCTATGTTGGTTCTGCACAAGAATCATACGGAAATTCAACTGTTTCAGCATCTTTTGCTTATGGAGACTCAATACTTATACGGGCAACAATAATCTACTTTTAACTATTACTAAAGTTGATTTTTTCCCATACGGTGTAGAGAGTTTATAGGCGGAAGAGCCACCGGAAGATTTGGAAATGGGAGAGTTTTTTTTTCCGGATATGATTGGTATATATATATATATATATATATGTTGATAGTTTGTAACAGATCACTTTGTTTTCGATATTAACTTTGGGAAATATTATATGTCACAAAATAATATAATCTAATTAGTAGCATTATTGTCTCTGTGTTCAGCCGAAGGATTGGGTTTGAAGAATCTCTTACCAGCGTAACGTGATCCAACAAACACCAAGCGGCTGATATGTTCAACAAAAAGGTCTATAGTACCGTGCTTAGACGCGTATCGTTACGTGTTTTGGGATATCAAAGTAAAGCTCGCATGATCAATTTCTCAAGCTCTTCCAACTTTTTCTAACTAATACTTAAATATTTGGATATCCTGTTTCACGAATTAATAAAATGATATATTTCAGACTCAATATTTGTTTCAGTAACAAACATTTTGGATCTTAGTGTTGACTTGACCCTCTCTGATCTTCTCTAGTCCAAATTAAATCTATAGTCAATATTTACTATTGACATTAGGGTTTGGATTAATTTCAATTATAGGCCTTTATATATGGGGCCTTTGAGCTTTCTGATAACACTCACTAGCTAGTATCCTCATAATATATTGACTATTATCAAACGTTGGATTTAGTCGATGGAACATCACTATCAACAATTAAAGAAATTACAATCTTGTTTTTTTATCACGTGTAGTAGACCTTTGTTATATATGACAACTTCAAACAGCTCTAAAATATTTCATAATTAGTCACATTTACATTTACATTTACATTTACATTTACATTTACATTTACTAATGCTATTGTCAATTTCTCTTCGGCTCGATCCATATTCCTACTTTATTCAGAGAGCCTTCCAAGTTCCAACACCATATTCGTGGAGCATCTTTTTTAGGTCGATTGTGATGATACTGAAAAGAAGTATTGTTTCTTTATTATACAATTTTTGTTCTTTTGTAAAAACGAAACACTAGATTTAAATCTCACTGCTCCATAGCTGGATTCTTTTGCCGCTCATGTGATTCCAAAACCTCACGTGAATGTTGGTTTAAAAGTACTCCCCATTTCGAGAAATTCAGCGTAGTAGCAGTGATATTTTCATATAATCATATTAATTTGTTTTAGCTTTTAACATACCCACCAAATTATAAAATTATACCATTCAACTAATAAAAAAAATTAGAACTCAATTAGTTAAAAATGGTTTGTTTATGATACCGATAAGAGAACAAGAGAAGAAAATATAGAGATTATCCACAAAGTCATAATTCGTGATTGATATGACTATTAGGAGTCATAGAATACTGTAAAGAACTAGGGTCATTAGTTTTCTGACAGCCTCGAGAGATGAGATAAGTTTTGTCATTATTACATTCCCAAAATAAATATCCTGTCTTCAATGCATATGTATAATTTGTATGTAATGAATCAGTTTGATAATTAAATAAAATTGTTTAGATGGTGATAGTAAATAGTTCAAAAATATAATCCTCTTTGGAAACAATATACATAAGAATTTTAAATGATTTGAACTTAACATCCAACATTTTAAGAAAATATAATAATAACGCATAATCTCTTATTTGTTTCTAAACCGTTTGTTTAAAGTATTCAAACTCCAAAACTCCTACTTTCAGCTACCAAGTATTAATACTCTCGGTAAAAAAAAACGTATTAACACTCCTACTCGTAATTTGTTAATAAACAATTAACTTCGCTCTTGCAAGTTTTAATGTATAAATTAGAACCTAAAGGAAAAAGAAAATGAGAAAAAAAGGACACCGGCTTTTTCTCTCTATAAAGAGTAAATCACCAAAAGCAAACGAAAAATGAGAAGCTGCTTGTACTCGACTTGAAATCAGAAGAACCATCAATGGCTTCTTCAGTATCCCTCTTCTTCCTCCCTCTCTTTCTTCTTCTCTCCCACGCTTCAGGTATTCTTCCTCTTAACTCTATTTTAATTTCAGATATTTACATTTAAATTTATTTATTAAAATTACATCAAATGAAATAAATGACATTCGGGTTAATTTTACTTTATATAAGCTTCAACGGTAATATTCTACAACAAGTGCACGTACACTGTCTGGCCTGGGATCCAGCCTAGCTCCGGTCAGTCGCTACTCGCCGGCGGCGGATTTAAACTCTCGCCGAAAAGGGCTTACACTCTCCAGCTCCCACCGCTTTGGTCCGGTCGGTTCTGGGGCCGCCACGGTTGCTCCTTCGATAGATCCGGCCGTGGTCGATGCGCCACTGGAGACTGCGGTGGTTCTCTCCTCTGTAACGGAGCCGGCGGTGTACCTCCGGCTACTCTTGCCGAGATCACCCTCGGTCATGACCAAGACTTTTATGACGTCAGCCTCGTTGATGGGTACGTAAAATATAAAATTACTAGTATGGTTCATCTCGACTAAACCAAAATATTTCGATTTAGTTTAGTAACATTTCGAATTCAGTTTGGTTTTTAATCTTTGATCCATGTTTGGTTCAGCTATAGAAAAATATCGAAAAATTGGTTTGATAAATAATATAACTTAATATATTGATAATGAATCTTTGAATAAGTAAATACATTTCAGCGGATGTTATTGATTAGGTAACATTATTAGTATTTGGTTAACCTCGATTGTTCGAAACACAAATAGATCCCTTTTTTTGTTAAAATATAAGCATTTTCCTGTTTTGGTTTGCAAAATGCAAAATGCAAAATGCATGTTTAATCTAGATTTCAATCTCTTGTACTAAATTTCTAGTTAATAAATCGTAATGACAGATATAACTTGGCGATGTCGATAATGCCGGTGAAAGGTACAGGGAAGTGCAGCTACGCCGGTTGCGTGAGCGACCTGAACCGGATGTGTCCCGTTGGTCTACAAGTCCGTTCACGTGACGGGAGACAGGTAGTGGCCTGTAAAAGCGCGTGCTCTGCTTTCAACTCACCACAGTACTGTTGTACCGGCTCGTTCGGTAGCCCACAGTCGTGCAGGCCCACGGCTTACTCCAAGATCTTCAAAGTAGCTTGCCCTAAGGCCTACTCCTACGCCTACGATGACCCTACTAGCATTGCCACGTGCACCAATGCTAATTATGTCGTCACTTTTTGCCCCCACCGTGGCCGTTGAGTTAAAATTTCACTTTAAAAATAATTTTTAAGAATAATAATTTACATGATTATTAGTACGATACAAGGTTTTTCTTTTGAGTTATCGAGACTTTTTTTCCGCTTGATAACGGAATTTAGTGCTTTTCAATTATTTTTCTGTCTGTTCTTGTTCGATGATCTAGAGCTAAGCACTTGCCATTTCATCGATTTGTTACAAAGAACTTGCATTACGTGTTTAAAATGTATTAAAACCGAATAAGCCCTTCAACAAACTTAATTTTTAAAATATCAAATGGAACTCGGTTTAAGTAATATGAATCATTGAATTGTTACCATGCAAGTTTGTCTTAAATTCCATTGTGAAGCAAACAATAAAATCTCATAGTAACTGGACGTTACACTTTACACCAGTGATAGTTAAATGAAACCTTTTTTCATCTACAAACCAAGATAAATGAGGAGATAAAACAAAAAGATGGAATCGAAATTTTTGGGGAGTCAATAACCGGAGTTGCTACGTAAGGAAGTGTGCAATTGGTACGGTTTGCTATCACCAAAGATAAGAAATTCGATTTTACGGGGGATGTTGCTGATGCCTTTGACTTGTGCCTGTGGCTTTATTTTTCTCCTCCTCGTCGCCTGTTTTTGCTTTAAACATGCGTTTCTTAGTTTCCACCTTTGACCCACTCAACAACTCCTAATTAATAACCCCCATAAGTATAATTTTTAGTTACAGATGTATAGTAAATAGTAATTAATTAGTTCTCCTATAGAGGGACTTATATTGAAACCTTACGTTAAACAATTGTTTTTATGCATGTATGTAATTTTTTTTCAGGTGCATAACGATTTGTGTGTATACATTATTTCATAAAAATATCATATGACAGGCATAGTTCAATTTTCAATATATATTATCTTGCCGAATTTTTTTTGTCTTCCTTTAAATATTCATAACTAGCTATTCTACTATCGTTTAAGAGTGTAATACTTTTTCTTCCCGCTAATGTTTTTGTATATCACCTATTAGATCTTAATATATCTTACACAGAAAATATCTCTCTCCCACTTGGCCACTTGTACGTAGTTTCAGATTCTTCAAAGAAGAGGCAAAGATGACTTGTCGTTAAAAACATATTCTTTATATTGGATATCCACTATGCAATCAAATTGTAGCATATCCACTACATCAATACAACTATACAAGATAACACTAGAATGGAATCATTAGAAAGAGGAGGGAGAGAAAGAAAAATGTACGTTAACTAATAAAAATAGAAAGAATTATATATTTAGAAGCCTTTGAAGGGTAGCAATAGAAAGGGAATCAAGCATCGTTCAAAAAAAATAAAAAAGAGAGCGTCAAACGAAAGCGATGATCGCCAAAAAAATTCTATAAAAACGTCAAAATCAGAAGCTGAAGATTTAAATACAATACAAACTGCAACGAAAAATGGCGACCGCAAATAATGAATCCGCCAACAACAAATCTACGACGCCGTCGACGGATTTGGAGCTTAAGAAGGTCTTTGACCAGTTCGATGCAAACGGCGACGGGAAGATATCGGTTTCGGAGCTCGGAAACGTTTTCAAGTCGATGGGAACGACGTACACGGAGGAGGAGCTCAACAAGGTATTGGACGAGATCGACATCGATCGCGACGGTTACATAAACATGGAGGAGTTCGCCACCATCTGCCGCTCATCCTCCTCCGCCGCGGAGATCCGTGAAGCCTTCGATCTCTACGATCAGAACAAAAACGGTTTGATCTCGTCCTCAGAGATCCACAAGGTTCTCAACCGCCTCGGTATGACCTGTTCCGAGGAAGACTGCGTGAGAATGATCGGCCATGTGGATTCGGACGGCGACGGAAACGTCAATTTCGAGGAATTCCAGAAGATGATGTCGTCACCTGAACTCCTCAAAAACCAGGGATCCGCCTAGGGTTCCGATTTTCCTTGTTTTGTACGGCATGTTCATATCATATATAATATGTTTGATATTTCATAACAACAAATCGTTCTCTTCCTATATGGTATGATGAACTTTATACTTTGTGTCTTCTCGGAGTCGGCGTTATATTATAACTATGATGAGTTGGATCTTGAATTTTGATGAAATTTATTAGGAACACACAAAGAAATATTCGGTTATATTAATTATATGAAAAGACTGGATTAATCGGAAGCTAGTTTTCTCAAACTCATTTCTAGACCAAGACTCCACTACGACTCTGGAACTGGTCATTAAAGATGCTATTTGTGTGGGAAACCTGTTCAAACAGTTCATGTTGGAATCGGATTCTTTTTTTTTTTTGTGGTCTGAAAGTTACGAGAGCTCAAATCACGCCAAGGACGAGAGGCCCACACGTTTCTCCTTGGAAGATAGAATCCTTTTGATCCACCAAATTCCTCTATTCAGTTTTTATTTTATTCTTGATGTGATTAAAAAACAAAGCTGTCACGAATCTCAGCATGGTTCACTTTAACAATTAGTGGGCTTTTTAAGGGCCTGGACTCGAGTCTAACCCGAGTACTTTAAACAGCGCGAGGATATCTTTTGTCACCTGAAGAATTTGTCTATATACATATAAAGGCTGGACTGTGATTCTGTGAAAATGTCACTTTAATAGATCTTAAAATGGTTCAAGTATCTGATCTGATGTCTCCATCTCACCACTTATTTTGGTTGAGAGACTTCATGTTTCCTTAATTATATAAACTTGCATTCAACCCAATAATGGTTTGTACGTAAACCCTTTTATTCCATCATAATTTGCTCCCATTCTTTCTTTTTTTGCTTTCACGTAATTTGGTTCATATTTGCAAGTATGTGTTGGAAAATTATTGTTGTCAGAATATAAAAATTTTCTTGCCAACCATTTATTATGCAAACAAAAACAAAACTAGTAACACTTGTATGTATTAGAATCAAAATCTAAAACGCAGACTAACTCTTGTATTATGAAGTTATCATGAAAGTTTTTCAGCAACACAAATTAGTACGCATCAAGTAAAGCTTGGAATAAACCTTGGTATGTCTAAGAAATATTTGTTTTAAAACTACTTTGAAAGCGTGAACTTGGTGAAAAAAGCGTGTGAACTTGGTGAAAATGTCAACGGGAATAGAAAATAGGTATGATTGATTATTGAACATCATGATATCTTCTAATCAACACGACAAAATTACACATTGTATTAAGAAGCTAAAAGTTTGAAAAAAAAAAGTGAAGCAAATGCAATAATATTTTGTTACAGAATGTGAATGACGATAGCATGACTTTGTAACTATTTGTTTTTTTTTTTTCGTGATCCCAACAAAAAACAATCATAAAAGGAAGACAACGTTATCATTATGTTGTAATCCATGATTTCACATGCCAACAGCTGCACTTGTAATTATGCTCTCTTGATAATCTTAAAACCTAATCAACAAATACTTAATTAACACATGCAACCCCAATTCCTCAAATCTGTTGATTCAATAACAAACATTATTATTACAAACGCCATCTTTATCTGATCTTCTTATATATTTTTCCAACCCAAATTTTATTCTCCTCTTTTATTCTTCAAAATAAGAGCACTACAAAAAATACACTGTTATACTATTTAAAAAAAAAATCAGATTTGACTAGAAAAACAATATTAAATCCGATTTTCAACCAAAAGCCAAATTCAGCGGAGAAACTGTCTTTTTCATTTCTTCTTTTCCTACTCGTTTTCTGATTTTATGCTTCACCTTTCTCCTTCTTGCTCGTAACACCTAATCATCATAAAACCCTAACCACAAGAGGAACCTAAGATTTTATTTTTCAGACAAATGGCGGAAGATTCGTACGACGAAGAGTGCGACTACCTGTTCAAGGCGGTGCTGATCGGTGACTCAGCCGTCGGGAAATCAAACCTCTTGTCGAGATTTTCCAAAGACGAGTTCCGGTTCGACTCTAAACCAACCATCGGAGTTGAATTCGCTTACCGGAATGTCCACGTCGGAGATAAGATCATCAAGGCTCAGATTTGGGACACCGCCGGTCAAGAAAGGTACTATAAAACTATGATATAGGGGGTTGAATGTTATTTGCGTTTGCGTTATATAAACGCAAACGCATCAAACTACATCTAAACGTATGTAAAATGAAATATTTGTGATGAACCAAACTCACGTCACGGACCTAATTTTTACGACCTCGTGACTACTCTACTCTGTTCCTTATTTTGTATCTTTTCTTTTGATCTTTTATTTCGACATTATATTTTAATATATCAAAAAAAAAACAATGTAATAAACTAATAAAAAAAACCCAAATGAGTGAAATGTTAATCCTTAATTAGTAGATCATTTCTCTGTTTTTTTTGGTAATTTATTTTGTTTTTATGAGTAAAGATTTAGAGCAATTACAAGTTCGTACTACCGTGGAGCATTAGGGGCATTGCTGATTTACGACATCACAAGAAGAACAACTTTCGAAAACATCAAGAAATGGCTTTTTGAGCTCAGAGATTTCGCCAATCCCGACACCGTCGTTGTACTCGTCGGCAACAAATCCGATCTCCGCCAATCCAGAGAAGTCGAAGAAGATGAAGGCAAGGCTCTAGCTGAATCAGAAGGTCTCTGTTTCCTCGAGACCTCGGCTTTCGAGAACGTTAACGTCGAAGAAGCGTTTCTCGTGATGATCGGACGGATACATGAGGTTGTGAGCCAGAGGATCGCCTTGGACAACAAATCCAACGGCGTTGCGACTGCGCACGTTAACGGTAACGGTACTGTTCTTCCCGTCGGGAAGGAGATTGTGAATATCCATGAAGTCACTGCTACTCAAACCTCAAGCCCTTCTTCTTCCATTTGTTGTTTCCAGTAAATAATTAATGTACTTTTAATCTTTTTGGTTACTAATGTTTTGGAATCTATTAATACTCGTTAAAATTTTGACTTGGCTTGGGTACTTCGATTTAAAGACAACCTTATATCTAAATAAACATGAAGATCACATAAATCATAAATACATTTTACCACAAATCAAGCGTCTTACAAGCAACTTTTTACACAACTTAATCAGTGTGTTGTAAAAATAGAAACTCAGAATGTGTTTCTTTTATCACAAATCAGTAATCTTTACGTTGAATCTCTCTTTGCCGTTCTTGGAGTCTCCTCTAACTTTCTTGCACGTAAAAAAAAAGAGAAAGCCAAACTCATCACACACTAGACAAGTTACAAAAAGAGATGAAACTGAAATTAGATAAGAGGCACTTAGTACTTACTAAACAGCCACTTCTTCAGGTAGATTTCGGCTGTAAAATGGAAGCTCAAAGAGAAAGACAGCTTTGCACCATCCTGGTAAGTTCCCATAAATTCCTCTCGGTAACAGAATCAGAGGACTAAAGATAGAAACGAATTAGTTTCTATAAATAATATAACACATCTTCAAGGCGTATTAAAAGGGTATCCATAGCAAGAGTCCACTTACCTTGTTGTCTTCTTATAGAATCTGTAAGCTCCCAAGTTACCATGCTTTTTGTCAGCTGATGCCTATTTATATATTCAAATCAGCCATATGTGATTCTGAAATAGGCCAAGTAGAGTAAGAGAGAGAGAGAGAGAACCTCGAGTAACGGTATGCCACTGACGAACAGAAGTAGCAAAGTAAGAAAGACTGGTCCGAATATGACAAGATACTCTGCACCTTCTAGAGCCGGAGATGCAGCCACAAAGATTCCCCACCACAGTAATATCTGATGACATACTATGAATCAACTTTTACACCAAAAATTCAAGATTTTTTACTATATGATCCAAATACTAACCTCGCCAAAGTAGTTTGGATGCCTTGAGTACTTCCACACACCGACATCACACCATTTGCCTCTGTTTTCTGGAGAGTTTTTAAACGAGAGCTTCTGTTGATCAGCTGCAGCTTCGATCAAGAAACCGAAAACCCACATCGTCCAGCCGATAACATCAGCGGGTTTAAGAGATCCTCCACCGTCACTTGCGTTAACAACAGTTAGAGGTAAGCTCACCGTCCAAACCCACACGGCCTGCCATCGAAAGAAAAAAAAAACAAGAAGTACTTACAAAAAACTTATAGTTTGAGATCACAAGAAGAGAGAGAGCAAAGGTTTCATAGTTGAAAAAACGTTTACCTGGAAAGTCCAGAAAACTATAAGTTTCATCAACTTTTCACGCATTTCATCAAAGCGTCGATCTTCGCCCCATTGCAAGATCCTAAGAACAACAAGAGTGTCGTTGTTAGTATGATCAGAGAGGTAAGGAGAGATTCTTGTGCGGTCATCAAGTGTCCGAAGTACAGACCTCATTAGAAGGAATATCCCCAAGCGAAGACCCCATACAACAACTAGCAAAGTCAATACAATCTGTGAGGACAAAAAGAAACCTCAGTAAACAGAAGAAACTCAAAAACATGTAAGAAAACAGAGACAAAGAAGAGATTCAGAGGAGAAGAAGTGGGAGTTACCTGACGAAAATGCCAAGTGGCTTTAAGAACAAGAGTCAATACAGCGAGTATAACGAAGTTTGTGCTTCCTGAACATACAGAGTAACAGAGTGATATATATTAAAACCAAATCTTGACTCCTACGTAACAAAAACTCAAGGACAAGAAACCTAAAGTAAGGAAACATAAGCAGAAAGAGCAATAGGGAACAAAGGTCGTACCTGCAAAATCAGTGACTTGATCGATTTTGAAAAGAGCGGTGATTACGAAGAATATGAACTGGTAAACCACCTGCAAATCGTGGCAAAAAGAATTCAGACTTAGAACCCATCGGTGAAAACACCAAATCGAATATGAATAAAGAAAACCCATTAAAATGGCAGAGAACTTACAGTAACAATGGCAGTGAGAGCCAGAAAATGCGAATCGAGAACCGTTCCCATTCTATCCAACGATGAACACACACACGCAAAAAAAAAAACAGAGTAATTCCGAGGAAGAATCCCTTTTTAAGCTCGAGACAGAAACCAAAACAACAACTTGGATCGAAGAGAAACACGATTCGTTCACCTTTTCTTATTTATTTTCCCGTGTTGAGGAAAAAAGACTGCGTATACTCAAGAAAAGTCGCCATTTTTAGCATTGGTGTATGGCTGAGACTCCGATGAATTTATGTGGCTGCGAATCAAACACCGTGCCGTTTTTTACTTAGTACACGAGAAATACATGTGCTTTGATTATTTTACAAAAAATATTGTTTCGTCAATTTTTATTACACAAGTTGCTCTATAGTCTTTCTCTCTCAAACCATAGTTTGAAAACAATAGACTGTATCAACCTCGATGGTGTAATCAAGTGTTGCAGACGGAGGAATCTGCGAACCCGATTCGAATTCGACATTTTTATCACCAAATCCTAAGGACGGTGGGATGATCACTCTGCGTTTACCTCCAGCCTTCATTGACCTAAGAACATACTCTATGCCTTGGCATACTCCCTTGCTATATGGTCTTGAGTCCATTACCATCGCAAGTGACTTCTTCTTGTCTTTGCTTCCAAATGTGTCCACAAACACTTGTTCGGTTCCATGTACTTTTCCCATTACATCAAACACTACCAAGTATCCTGAGCTTGGACTAGCACCGCTTCCTACTTGTAGATCATAGTACCTGTAACGGGAGAGCTTGAGTTTGTGATGAATGTTATGTGGATAATATACAAGTTTCAGGCTTAGATATATAGATTCAGGACCATGGGAATTTCAACTGATGGAACATAATCAACATGTAGTTTGGGAATTTACCTTATGCCGTTTGGTAAGACAATCTCTTCTTGCTTTTCTAAATCTCTGCCAAATCCAGAAATTACACAAGACAAAACCAACACGCATTCAAGGACAATAGAGTATGAGCTCAAGCCCTAATTTTTCTTATGTATCTTCGCTTGAATCGCCAATGCGAAATATAAAAATTCATAATTCATCTTCCTAATGGCGTGCATTCACTTAATTTTCCAAAAAACAAAACTCAAACGACTAAGATGTAAAACTCGAACCTTGTGTTGGTGTCTTCGTGAAACACATCAAGTCGTGACTTCATCTGCTCGGAGACAGCACCGAAAGCTAGAAACCCCGCCCAGGCAATTCCGGCGCCGATTCCGGACCGTCGCGTCACAGGAGAAGCCACCCAATCCGTCATCATTTGCTGCTGCTGCAATGCGACTGCCTTCGGTGCCGGATTCTCCGTGAAGGCGACGCTTAGCGGCTGAGAAGGAAGGTTCTGTTTCGGATGTTGGGAAGAAGAGACGAAGCGGTGGTGGGAAGGAGCCGTCGCAGTGAAGAGAGTCGCCATTTTTCGGAGGATTTTCAAACAATTTTTAAGGAAATATATTTTGTGATTTTTTATATTATATCGGAAAAATAAAAAAAGTACAGTACCTTATCTTGTTTGTGTGATGAGAAACTTCAAGAAGACAGAGAGTTCTTATTTCTCAATATTTTTTTTTTATATGTCAACGAGTTTACAATGCTACAAATAATTCTCAATTTTTGTTCTCTCTCATTTTTTTTTTTACATGTTTCAATTTTGTAAAACAAAACAGAGAAAATTACGCATGAACATGAACATCATTGGCAAGCAAACACAACACAACACGCGAGAATGGATCCTTCACCTTCTTCCATCTTCAATCTTCCATGAATTTGCTTTTAATAGCTCTAATCACAACCTGTGTGAAACACTGAAGCTGAACTCAAAACCAGAAAAAAGAAGGATTATAATCTGTAGCTTTTCCCTTCAAATTTCCTCAAAAAATGATTTGCCACTTTGGTCTTCGTCTTCTTCATCTGTTATCAATCCTTTTGTTCTTGTTCAGTTGTTAATGAAGAAGAATTGGGTACTGGTCGTGGGATGTTGGAACCTGTTACAGGTTTTTGTAGCCGCTTTAGAGAAGTCATGATCTCTGCAAAACTTGGCCTTAACTTTGAATCCCTAATAACACCACACCATTAAAATATATCAGCCAAATCTCAAGGTCGTTACAGAACTATAAGCCGTAAGAGAATCAAGACTCCTAGATAGAGACATGATGTTTCAGTGAATTTCCTGCGGTGTAAAACACTAAGTACTCACGTTTGCCAGCATTTACTGATTATATCTGCAATTGCTGGATCGACAGAGTCAGGGATGTCAAGACGTCGATGCTGAAACCCAACTGCACCAACAACTTGCATCGGGTTCATCTTTCCCCACGGTTGCTGTAGCGTAAAGAGTTCCCATAGAATCACACCGTAGCTGTAAACATCGCACCTGTTTCAAGTATTGGATTGTTTTTTTCCTGACATTAGGCATACTTCTTCATAAATAGGGTACAGAGAAGAATTTTTATGAGCAGAGCCAAGAAAGAAGAATGAAAATGAAAACCATACTTCTCGTCAGCAGGCTCGTTTCTAAGCACTTCTGGAGCCATCCATTCAGCCTGAAAGAGACCAACACAGACTCAAACTTAACTTAGATAGTTAAATTAACAAAATGCAAAGAGAGATGACTAAGACGCTAACGTCTTAGCAGCTTACCGTGCCTGCTGTTGACTTTGACGAGAGGTATGTGCTGTTTTTCATTCTAGACAAACCGAAATCACACACCTGATATATATGAAAAACCCCTGTTACATAAGATATAACATTATCCAATTAGAAAAAAAGAACAAATTTTATGGAGAGAGTGTTGAACCTTCACAACCCAGTTTTTGTCAACTAGAAGGTTCGGGGACTTTAGATCACGATGGACTATCATTGGACTACAACTGTGCAAGTAATTCATTCCACGAGCCTGGAAATTATAAGAGACATCTTTCAGGTAACTCTAGTGGAAGAATCGAGAAGTTACAAACAGATGACAGAGATCAAAAGGAGTGAGAACGAATGAGATAAAGAGTAATACAGCATCAAGGGCCATCCTCAGACGCCTCCTCTCGTCTAATTGGTTATTAGGCCGATGGATTAACCTATACAAGCTCCCTCTGCACAAGTTTTGGAAATGACTACTGTAAATATAAACCAAAACAAAGGCAAAAAGCACAACCAGAACAGAAGCTTGTCAAGCCATCCTGTAAGCCACACGTGACTAGTCTCTTACTTACTTCCTCCAAATTTTAGAAATTCAAGGAAATAACGTGACCAACAATCATTGATGTAAAGAAGATTTGATTTTTAGAGGTCACAAAGTTAGTTTATTTCTAAAAGAGAAAAACAGAGGCATGCTTCTGACGAATAAGGAGATGTAATGCATTGTAGAGATGAGAAATCATTTGGTATCAATCCTGCAAAGATCATAGTATATACCTTGGAAGAAACTCTGTGACAATTGAGAGATTTGGTGGACGGGTCACAGCTCCCATGAAGAGAACAATGTTGGGGTGTCTAAGCTTTTTCATGATTTGGACCTTGAATCAGATTAAATGTTACAAGAATATATAACATGGATTTGGTATAGAACTATAAACAAGGAACATGAGCATAAGGAAAAAGGTTAGAGAATAAAGGCTCGCACCTCACTTCTGAATTCCTCCAATGCTTCTCCTGTAATATCTTGATCAAGGAACTTCTTCGCAGCCACTTCCTACCAAGTCCAAGAGTTTCAACAATATGGAAATCAAACTACGGAATTGCTCAAGTCTTTCTTCATTTAGTTCTATTCAGGAAGCTTAGTGGTTATAATACTCCTTGAATTTTTATTCACGGTATGAATTTAAAAGCAAATATAATACTCACAGTCCCGTGCCAATCTCCCCGATACACTTCTCCATAAGAACCTGTATCAAAAGAGGTAAACTTTTTAGTTCTTTGTAGAACTAGTTACACCAAAGCAGATAACAGATGATAAGTTAGGTACCGAGTCCAATGCGTTCTCCCAAAGTAATTTCTTCCCATAAAATCTCACAGTCAGATACATCATCAAGTGCAGCATCAGACTTGGAAATCTCGTTCCCACTAGATCTGTCAGATACTCTGTCCCCTCCTGAATTTGGTCCATGATGAGAGTCCCCACTACCTTGAGGCTCATTTCCACCAGAACCAGCATCCCCATCGCCATTCGAGCCTAATTCAAGTTGCCTGGACACGGCTGCAGCTGTTGCCACAACTGCAGCAGCAGTGGCCGTGGCAGCAGCTGCAGCAGGAAGTTCTACGGTGGAGCAGTCTGGGTTTGCAGACTTGGCAGCAGCAGCAGCAACCATTGAAGATGCTACTACAGCCGCTGCAGCCACAGCAGCAGGTACGGTCCTGGCATATTCTGTAGAAGATGCTTCAGAATGTGGAGAATCAGACTGACTAACAACTTTGCCATGATCATGATGATCCTGTGTATTTGCTTTAGATTGCAGTCTTGGTAATGGAGGCAAAAACTGCACTGGACCAAAATCGTTTTGGTGTCTTACTTGCTGAGCTGCCTCTAAATCTTTTCCTTTCTCTTTCTTGGCTTCAGTCGGAGTTTTGACTTCAACGGTTGCCTCCAATTGCTGGGGATAGACTTCGGAAAATAGATTGGGCGGAGCTACAACTCCGCTTTCAAGTAAAACATCATGAAGCTTCTGAGCTAGCCGTGGATTCTCTTTGGCAGCATCAATCATATACTGTGAAACATCTTTAACTTTCATCCTACGCGCAGCTGGGGAGCTAACACCTTCAGTCCAAGAAGGTGATCTCATATGGGTGAAAGAATGAATAGGCCTGTTAGAAAGATTTTGAACTGGAGCCTTTTCAACATCCGTCACATCTTCCTTGGAAACATTTGGATGAACAATGAGATCACATCCACCTCCGGATTGGGTTCTCTCCTTGGAACTCTTGGCACTAGAACGACGTTCTCCTGTACGAAACTCTGCATTCTCTTGAAATGAGCTCTTAATCCCATTGCTGGAAGAAGCTACATGAAATAGATCATTGACTCCGGGACTAGCGGAATAGAAAGGTTCATCATAGTCTATTTGTAGTCCGGCTGCATCAGCTGGAATAAGCGTTCCGGGGTCTCCCATGAGATCAACAATGTACTCCCTGAAATTCACAGTTGTATTTGCATAACTCAGAGTTTCTTTCATCAAGCCTCACTGCCTTAGTTTTAGCTTCATGAGGTACAGATAACATATCAAAGTCTACATATGCCTATTTAATCGTAGCACATATACTTGATACTTTATCTATACCAGAGTTTATAAACCTATACATGAATGGTTGAAAAATGTCGAGACTATACATAATACCTGAAGTTAGTGTGATGATTACCTGCCGTCATCAGTCTTAATAAAGTTCATTGCTACATCTTCAGAACCGGTATATTGCTGTCCTTTGACTATCCGACAAGGAACACCAACGCTATCACACAAAACCTACAAAATTTCATATAAAAAGAGAGACAGAAGAAATGAAAATGGGTCGCAACAAGGCTGAAAATGTTATGAGATTCAAAAGAGAAAGAGTCTCTCTTGTGCAAAATTTCAGGAAATAAGTAAAGAAGAGAAGCCATCACAGTACATACTTTGAATAACAAGGAACGGTGACGAGCCAGTCCAATAGTTAGAGAACCAAGTGGCAAAACCATGCTTCCGAGAGTTGCTTTCAAACTGTAGCTAAGACTCCGCCAAGCTCTCAGCATGCTATCCGGATCCACGACTGGCCCACCCATGTAATCTCCAACTAAAACAGCCAGTTTCCTTACCAACTCACTGTTCACAAAACCAGAGGAAGAAACTGATCTCGATCTCGCGGCGATATCAAGAGCCCTCTGTTCAAGTCTCAACAGGTTATAATCCCCACTTCTGTTCACAAGAACAGCTTCCCACGTCACACCGTCTGAAACAGGCGTCCCTTGAAGATCCAGCAACGGAGGTATTCTCTCTGATGAGGATGCACTCAACACTCCATACAGGTCATAGAAACCATCCAAGATCTTGTCATCATAGCCAAGACAGTTGTAATTCTGTGAAATGCAACAACAACAACAAAAACGTCCTGAGGTGGATTCATATATCACAACACAACAATCAACCACTTGAAATTCTATAAATAGTAATAATAATCAAAGTAATTAGAGAATTTGTGAGAAAACAAAGAAAAAGTTTTTAAATTTTCTGAATTTTATACTTACCCAGTACCGATACGCAATGAGTTCTGCTGGAGAGTTCTCAGGAGCACAAGAGCCTAAGCTGAATTGCTTCATAGCCTCGATCTGAGCAGCTTCAGGATCCTCCCTGGCGCTTAACTCTAGAGCCAACTGTATCTGATACTCTTCTTCAACCTCTGGATCCTTGGAATTACTCGATTCTGAATCCTGCTGCTTCACAGTAACAACGGGATCACCATGTTCTATGGCCTTATTAGCGCCTCCGTTGTTGGCATTGAGAGAATTCGGTGGACTAGGGATTTTTCTTTGACCAACAGAGCTTAACCAATTCGATAAACCAGAAAAGGGTTTGAGCTCAGGGCTGTTGTTATGGTGAGACCTCGACGAATCTGGAGGTGACGGTACATCGCTCGACTTATTGTACTTACTTGCTGAAACTGACCCCTCGGCTTCATCTGATTGATTCGGCGTGATGTGGAGTTTCTTTAGAAAGTTCTTCATGTTCATCTTCATACTCAGAATGCCAGAGAAGTGATCATCGGGTCTTAAAACTTCTCTACCGCCATGGGTTTCCTTCTTTACTTTCATAAACCCTAAATCTTTCGCCAAACACGACCTCGGAGATCCGGAATCTGAATCCAGATCAACAACGACTCATCAAAAGCTTAACAAAAAGCTTTTTTAATTAACGCCGTTGAAACATTCGCCGGAATTTAAAGTAGACCCATCAAAAAGAAAGCGAAATAATTTAAAAAAGTAACATTTTTTTCTGGAATTCAAAACTGGAAAATCAAACGGCATGAAGTTCTAGAGCTTAAGCTAGTGAAACCACAGAAGCTGAAAGACAAAGGAATTTTCGCATCCACTCTTTTTCGATAAATCACGAAAATAGTTAAAAGCACACAACCCACTCAAATGGAAATTTTAAAGCAGCAAAAAATAAAGAAAAAAAGAGCATTAAAACTGACAAATTCTCCGTACAATGAACCTTTATTTCTATTTTCAACAACAACTTGTATCTCTCTCTCGGCCAAAAAAAAAAAAAAGCTTACGCCACTTTCTTTTCTCTGTCTAAAAAGTCCGACTAAGAGAAGTGGAGAGAGTGGCTCTGCTCTGGCCAAATTAAAATTTTTGTTTTGTTGTTTTGTGTTGAGAATTGAAAGAGAGAGTACTTACTGTGACATGCAAAACAAAACAAAAAAAGAGAGGAGGAAAGGCGTATCTTTTTCACCCAGCTCAGTGCGTGAACCTGAAAAGATGACGAAGAAAAAGATATACGGGATAATTAAATTGCACTGAGACAAGCCTCACGTCACTTGATGCATTTAAAACCGTTGCCTTTTCTTTCTATTAAAAACATATATAGAATCTACACCAAATTTTTTTTTTTTCATTCCTACAAATATCAGCAAAAATTAGATCGAAATTATTTCTAAAAAAGGCTTTTGGTCCAATAAATATTCTTAGAAATAAATAAAATGTTGACGATGTTTTGAAATAATATATCAAAAAGGCTTTTGTTCATATGAATATTATAAAAATGTCTTAGCGTTTATTAAATAACGTTAGGATCTTAGGTATCTCTTTTGGGGCATAAAGGAATAACCATAAATGTCATATAAAAATTAAGTCCAATAACTTTCTATTTTGAGAATGACTAGAAATGGCTTATTGATCAAGTAAGCTGTCAATTCTGAGAGAATTTAACCGAATATTCCCATGAAAAAAGATATATAACTCTATTATGCACATTATGCACGTGATGAAATATATAACTCCGGTGAACCTTAAGTAAACAAGTGAGTTCAATTATTTAACGAGTTAACTATCAGTTATAAATCTATAATCTAATAACAGTTTGTAAAAACATTGAGAAAATCAAACTAATATATATAACATAGTAGTAATATATTTTTATTTTATAATTGATTTGCCTCCATACTCACTTATTTTTCTTGTTGTATAGAATAAAGTTTGATATATGTATATGTCAAAATATTGACGACCACACACACGTATGATTTATGACTATATGTTACATATGCAATCATTGTATACCTTCCGATCCCCTTGAACAGAGTGAGCTGTGTGGCCAATAGTCGGCCAACACATCAACTTCACATTTTATTATTTTCCATTAATATTACATCATATAAGTATTAAGTAATTCCGGATTTTTTTTATTTCACAACATGTATGATATAAACTAGCTCGGGGTCAACTCTATGGTGTCCACACGATTGTGAGGTCATAAATCATACATTTAAGGTAACTTATGGGGTAGTTTGCATTTGTTTGCCACCATTAATTCTTATGTGTTGAAAATTGATTTTGTATGTTAGTTTCCTACAAAAAAAAATATCTTTTTATTGGGATGATAGACACAGCTTTTTTTAAAAATTGTAGTTTGTATTTTATAATATTTTCGTATAAATCTTCCCGGCAAATATATGATTATAATTAATTAATATACATGGAGAATTGTAGTATTTTATAAAAATATAGAATACGATTGGAAAATTTAAATGCTAAGAGTTGTTGGCCAACAATTAAATTTTGGGCGGCTTGAGAGTTAAGATTTGTCCAAAAACTAGTATTTATTTTTTAAAAAAGAATTTGATTGCCAAAAGATTTATTTTGCCCACTCCTAATAAGGCACGTCATCATTCTACCTTCCTGTCCATAAATTTATTATTAGTATTTTATACACAACAGAAACGGCAACCAACTACCAAAATGCAAAAGCTACAATGTGAATATTTGAGTACTTAGCGTACGTAATATATGAAGAAAATATATGAATAAGAAAAATTACTGAAAGGGAAAATAAAAAGTAAGTGGTGATTTACTAACCACTACACGTTATGTTTGGTTTAAGCCAATTAGAAAACATTTACGTAACCTCGCGTGTGGTTGCTAGAAAAGAGTGTTCAATAGAGACAATAAGCCAAAGGAAAGCAGGATTACAAGGTAAAACCGTAAAAGAAATCATTCGTTTTGGAACGGAGATTTTGCGTCTTGACTACTTTGACCGAAGCGCGTGAATGAGTCCAGTAGGTAATTCATGCCACGTCATATTTATCCAATCCCAGAAAAAGCATTCTTTTTACAGTTTTTTTTTTTTTTTTTTTTGCGTAATAAAGAGTTAGTAAGGAAGAAGAAAAAGAGAATTTGGTGGACTCCAATTGGTGCCAGCCACACATTTTTTGGTGCTGGGGACCACTTCCCCACCTATCACTTTCCTCTTCTTTCTCTCTCACTCTCTCTCTCTCCAAACTCTTTCTTCCCTTGTTAAGAAAACGTTAAATCATTCACATTTTATATGTTTTTTTTTTAAATTGGTAGTAATATTCATAAATTAGTTAGACAATTTGAAAATATAAATAAGATTTTACAATTATTGTGTTATTGTTCGAGCCTAACTTGCAGTTTATTTGAGTAAAAATAGATCAACGTTTTGAAACTTTTGATGGATTTAGCAGACTTGTTTTGAAACTTTTGATGGATTTAGCAGATTTGTTGCACCAAATCGAAAAATGAATGGGTAGCCCCTTGTAATTAAATGGGCTAAGGCCCATTAGTCTTTTAAAGTACATGAACGCCCAAAGCTTAATGTTCACAATCAGACCGAGAAAGTAAACCAAAAATCAAACCGATGTGGTCAATTGACTCTGTCGTCTCCAATAATTTGACTTTAGTTCTTCTCTTGCGCGCGTCTCTCTCTCTCGCTCAGATCAACTGGAACAAGTAGGAAAATAAATAAAAGAAATTGATAATATTAAGGAAAAAAAAAACATGTTTCCAATTTCAACTCCTCGGGAGAAAACATTTTGCTCGAGAGAAGCGGCGAATATCGTGGAACGATCGACGAACAACGCTTGGCTGAGAGTAAAATCGGAGACTCCCCCAAGTCTGTGATTATTAGCTTCTAATTTTATATTCATCGATGGGTGGTGGTGGCAATCTCGTCGACGGTGTTCGTCGATGGCTTTTTTTCCAGCGTCGTCCTTCTTCTTCTTCCAATAATCACAATCCCCCTACGTTTTCCGATCCCGACACGTTAGCCGGCGAGGGTAACGACGGCGATTTGAAGGAGGTTACTCCTATGGTAGATTTCGATCCGTCGAGGCTAAAACAAATTAAGGTTTCACAACGAAATCACTTACCTATGGATGCTCACAAGAAGGTAGATTTGCCTCTAATTGATGTGATTTGTGAATTTACTTGGGCAATGTGGAGACGATTTGAATCTGATTTGATGTTATGGTATCTGAATTGGATCTCTGTTCAAATTAAGTAACTATATATGAATCTGGGTTCTCAGGTTATACCTAATGCTGAGTTCTTCACCGAGTATGGAGAGGCAAACAGGTATGAGATTCAAGAAGTAGTTGGCAAAGGAAGCTATGGAGTTGTGGGTTCTGCTATAGACACACACACAGGAGAGAGAGTCGCGATCAAGAAGATAAACGATGTGTTTGACCACATCTCTGACGCAACCAGGATCCTGAGGGAGATCAAGTTGCTGCGGCTGCTTCTTCACCCTGACGTTGTGGAGATCAAACACATCATGCTCCCTCCTTCTCGAAGAGAGTTTCGGGATGTTTACGTCGTGTTCGAGTTGATGGAATCTGATCTTCACCAGGTGATCAAAGCGAACGATGATCTAACTCCTGAGCATCATCAGTTCTTCTTGTACCAGCTTCTCCGTGGTTTGAAGTATGTCCATGCTGGTTAGTTTTCTGCTTTTTTATACTCTCTTCCACTTTTTGTGTTTTTTTAATAAGATTATTGAACGAAACTATGTCTCTGTGTTTTGCAGCGAATGTGTTTCATCGGGATTTGAAACCGAAGAACATTCTTGCTAATGCTGATTGCAAGTTAAAGATCTGCGATTTTGGGTTGGCTCGTGTATCCTTTGATGATGCCCCGTCAGCTATTTTCTGGACTGTGAGTTATATCTATCACAAGGAATGTGGAAGTAGTCTGTTCCTTAGACTTAAGTTTCTGAGAGTACCACTTTCTTCTAGTGCTTGTGTAATCACTCTTACTATCATTTTTTAATAGGACTATGTTGCTACTCGGTGGTATCGTGCTCCTGAACTCTGTGGATCTTTTTTCTCCAAAGTAAGCTCATTACTCTTTCCTTATTATAGCACTCTACTTATTAGTTAACGGATTCCTCATTTCTGCATTTCTATAATATAATGTATGCCATTTGAGTCCAGTTTTGTATAATTGCCTCCTTTAGTTCACTATCTACATACAGGCAGGATAAGTTTTGATTATAGTTCTCATGCTAACTCAACTTTTGCTAAATCCAGTATACCCCTGCGATTGATATTTGGAGCGTAGGTTGCATATTTGCCGAAATGATTTTAGGGAAACCTTTGTTCCCTGGAAAAAATGTTGTTCACCAACTGGATCTTATGACCGACTTTCTTGGCACCCCACCTCCAGAAGCAATATCAAAGGTCAGTTATGCTACTTTTAGTAAATTTGGAACCTTGAACTATACTTCTTTTTCTTCTGTTGAATAGCTATTTGATCAAACATGTTACATTTATGAAAGTAATCTTAATTTGCCTTATAAATGAATATGCTATATTTCCATATCGACAGATCAGAAATGATAAGGCGAGGAGATATCTTGCCAACATGAGGAAAAAACAGGCAGTCCCATTCTCTAAAAAATTCCCTAAAGCTGATCCTTCGGCCCTTCGCCTGTTGCAACGCCTGATTGCCTTTGATCCAAAAGATCGACCATCCGCTGAAGAAGTAAGTGGAAGTAATGTTTGCTTTATTTCACCTTCTTTAGCTTCACTGTTTTAATATCTTTTATTTTTTGGCCTGTATTTACAGGCACTAGCGGATCCGTACTTCAGTGGTCTGTCAAGTTCGGAGCGGGAACCATCGACACAGCCGATTTCAAAGCTTGAATTTGAGTTTGAGAGAAAGAAGTTAACAAAGGATGATATCAGAGAGTTAATATACCGAGAGGTTTTGATCCTTTTACATCTCTTCTTTGCTTTGATTCTTTCTCTCCTCTTCATGATGCTAATGGATTATTTATCTGGGAAAAACATAGATACTGGAATATCATCCTCAGATGCTGGAGGAATACCTTCGTGGTGGCAATGAGCTCAGCTTTATGTACCCCAGGTTAGCCAGTTGATCCTTAATTAGCTGACTAAAAGTATTTATAATTTTGGAGTTGCTGCATTAAATTTTCTAGGGTATATTAGAGCATCGTATGTGATTGATGTTAAACTTTTGCATCTTAGGGTATCAAGTTAAAACGTTGTTTATGAAAATCAAAATTGTCATGTTAAAAAGTTACTGTCGTGGTTTCAAAAAAATAATTGGCCGAGAAATTTTCCTTTGTCGATACAGTGGCGTAGATAGATTTAAGAGGCAGTTTGCTCATCTTGAAGAAAACCCAGGTCAGGGAGGAAGAAGTCACGCACTTCAAAGACAGCATGCTTCTTTGCCAAGGTACATATAAAAAAAGAAAGAAAAAAAAAATCTCAGTTTCCTTCATTTAATTTATAACTATCGTCTCTGCATCAAGTAGTCATTTCGATATTACAAACCAAACCAGCATCATTGATGTTCTTGTATTGCATTTTGCAGAGAGCGAGTTCCTGCATCCAAGAATGAGACAGCCGAAGAAAGCAGCAATGATATTGAGAGCAGAATATCAGCTGTTGTAGCTTCAACATTAGACAGTCCCAAAGCTTCACAACAACCTGAAGGTACCGACAATGGAGGAGGGTACAGTGCACGCAACCTTATGAAAAGCGCTAGCATCAGTGGTTCTAAATGTATAGGTGTCCAATCGAAAACCAACATTGAGGTATAAAACCCCATTTCTTTAGATTTTGTTCAGTGACTGTAGTAATTGTAAATTGTAAACACTGTTCTTTGTGGGATCAACTTAAGTGTTGTTGTGTTATCTTGCAGGACGCCATAGCAGAGGAACAAGATGAGACTGTGGCTGAGAAAGTCGCATCTCAACACAATACTTAGCTATTTTCTTTCTTTAATTTATTTTCGGTTACAGAGTTGTAGAAGCAAAAGTTTGGTTTCTCACTCTTTACACAGTTCTTGGGTTCATGATTGTTGTAGAATGAAAAGTATATTTAATAACTTAGTTACCTTTTCTTTTTCCGGATAAAAAAACTTGGTTATCTTTGTAATATTAACTTCTAAAGGAAGGAAATGAAAAAGAATAAAGGAAAAAAACTGTTGAAAATTAAATTAAACTTGAGTTCTAAGAAGAAGAAATTGGGGTAATTGTTTTAATTAACCAAAACACACTAATGACTCTACACCTCTTCTACTACCCATATGGCCAAATCTCCTCCCAACCAAAAAAAGATATACCAAAGAACTAACCACGTGACACTTATACACATGTGCCACGTGACATCTAACGGCTTATGGCGCGGGTCGGAGGTACAAAGGAAGCCATTTGGTTGGGTCAGGATCTGAGCTCCAGACAGAGAAGGCGCTCGTGCATCGCATCCACTGGTTCGTTAAGCTCGGAAAGTGTCGGTCTATTACATCCTTTAGCGTCTCTGTAGTATTAACCCACTCTAATCCTTCCTTAGTATAAGTCTTCTCGTTGAAATTCGTCGTGAAGAACCGATCTGCTTCTAACCTCCTAATGAGCACCAAGTCAAGTGAGTTTATTCCTTGTTACGCAAGAAAATCCTCTGTTTTAATAAATGTAGAAAAAAAAATGATTAGAAACCTGGAGGCGACGAGGAGGAAGATGAAGAAAGCAGTTTCGCTGATGGCGAATCCTTTGATCTTCTTCTCTGCGTGCAATCCAACGTTCAGATCAAGCTTATCTATATCGTCTCCGTACACTTCTCTTAAAACCTCTATAGCTTCTTCATCATCTGTCAAATCTTCCCATTTGCTGATCGGACTCATCAACAGATTCTTTCTGAACTCGTTGTATCGAGGAACTCCTCTCTCCCGATCTCTATAAACTGAGACAAACCAATCGATTTTTTCAATTAATCGTCAGAGAATTGGTAATATAAAAGAAGAAGAAGAAGAAGAAGCATTGATTTTGACTTACTCTCCAAGGCAGCCATATCTATAGGGTGAGGTCTATCTTCTCCATCGATGTCTTGAGCCACAAGGTTCCTCATCCAATTAGGGTAATTCCACAACGTCAACGCACCACAAGATTGGTGTCCCATTGAAACCAGTAACTGCTCAAACCCGATTCTCGAACCCTTTTTTCCTCCTTCTTTCCCAATCAATTCCGTCATCGGTACCCTGTTAAAAACACCTTTCTAGGTTAACAAAAACTGCACTTGGATCGGCCTAGACGATGTACAAAAACACTCTATTCTATGTGTCTTACTCTCGTTCTATCGCAGGGTTTGCTTTGTCAACATTCTCAGATCTCATATCTATTAGGCTAAGTGTGTCTGGTAGAAGACAATGCATCCTGTAGACACTAACGAACTCTTCGGTAAGCGAGTAAGGAACTCCATGATCTTTCGGTTTCTTGAGGCCAACTAATCCGCTTAATATAGGACCAAATCTTGCCCCAATCGTGTCCTTCACTTTCTTCCCTAAAAATCCATACCAATTGATCCTCATTCCAGCCGTAAGTGTGTCTGTCTTCAAGAGCTCTATTGTCCAATCGATGGTGTGAACCTTAGCGATAACCGCTGCTGTCACCAATCTCGCAGTCCGGTAGAGTTTCTCGTCATCAAAATCTGGATACCGTTCCTAAAAAAAGGTTGAAACTTTAGTGTGACGTAACAACATAAACAGAGAGGTTACTTGCAAAGCAAGAAACATACTATGTATAACCTAATATATGGATGACTTACTTTGAGCATTTCACAAACAGCGTTGTGTTCTTTGACAAAGAGAGCTTGCAACAGGGAGAAACCTGACCAGCTGTTTCTTATGTCACCGGAGATCGGGATACCTCTTTCGTCTCGCTCTAACAAGCCATCACCAGAGATTTTTAGCTTTCCGTCCTTGAAAACTCTAACTCTTCTCATTCCAGCCTCATCATTTCCATATACTACACTCCCATCCCTATTTTCAAAAATTATTCATAAAACCAACCTTTGATATAATAATTAAACAAGCAGTGGTTAAGCAAATATTTCATTACCACCAAGGAGTTCTAGTGTTGACAGCACCAGATTTGTGGTGATCACCAGAGAGAACTTTCTTCGTTTTGAAGAACTTGAATGACTTCAATGGACATCCACTTGCTACTTCTTCTGGAGCTTTAAGCTCGATCTGGTTTAGGTTTACATCTTTTTATTAGTATATACAGTAATCTAAATTTTTTGATAAACAAATTAAAGTTGAGGGGAAAAATCTAAATGTTGAATATTAAAGGGGTTAGTTTCAAGAGAATAAAAACCTGATGGGTGTCTTCTAAATGATCAACCCAATCATGGATCATGAACTGAATCCAAGAACAAGCTATCACGTTGAATTGGTCCCCATTGTCTATGAATATTTTTCTCGCTAACAACTTTGTCGCCACCTCACTTGGATGTGGATCCAAAATCTGTAATTGTCAACAATCCATAAATCATATAAAACAAACTAGTGATGATGATAAAGTAAAAACAAAATTATCAGTCGTTCTGCATTTATACAGGATAATGTAATTCGTAGATGAAATTACTAACCATGCAAAAAAACAAACTCAGTTTCATAACAAACAAAAACTAAATTTGTTTTTTTTGTTTGAAAGATATTTTATAAATTTGATAATATAAAAATAAAAAAGATATTTAAAAGTTAAAAGCAAAAGAAGATCATCCTACATCATGTCAACCACTAGTGAGTAGAGATAAGAAAAGGAAATGCGTCACAAAATCTGTTTCTACGGTTTCATTCCGCTAATTTTCTTCTTTCTTATTTTATTTGCTTAAAAAAACGTCATCTTTCTTCTTCTTTCTATTCCCTATATTATCAATTCGATTAGCATTTACAATTTGATCGATTTTTTTTTATATAATTATTACACAAATCTGCATGTTGTTGAAGAGTAATAGTAAAATATGATTGGGACAAGAAAAAAAAACTTACGCCATACTGAGAAGTACATGGAGGCATATTCCGGCCAATAAAGGTGCCTTGGCTACCGATGGAATCATCGGAGGGATGATTACACTTGCCGTCAGCCGTTCGATAAGAGAACTCATCGGTGTCGTAACCCTGACCGTTGATTCCACCGACGTGTATCAGATTGTAACGTTGATGTAGATGTCTTCGTATCCCCAAGTAAGCTACTCCCAGTAACACTGGAAATCTATGCCATAATCCTAGCTTGTCCACTAAGTGCACAATCTACAGAAATTTACAAGAAAAATCAAGTAACGAAACAAAATCATCAAACATTAATTATGATTATTGATTTGATAATTTTCTTTAGAAGGAAAAAAGAATCATTACAGATTATATAATAAGAGAGAGATAGACAGAGAGATAGACTTACATAGAACAAAAAGGAATCGAAGAGAGACATCTTGGAGACAACATGATGAAGCTCAGGATGAAGAAACCAAGAAGAAGATGGAGAGAAACCCATTTTGATCTGTTTTAAAATCTTTTTTTTTTTGTATCTTCTTTGGATTATGTATTTGCTTTATGCTTTAAATGATAGTCACACAATTGTAATGGTTGTATTCACACGATTGCTCACAATGTATTTATATAGACCCACACGCATACTCACATATTTACACATATGTTTGTATGTAAAATGAATTTTGATTATTGTCATTTTTATTAAAGAAGTCAACGAGTCGTCCTCAAGCATTGTCTTGACCAGGGAGTGACTGGCTAAATATATTATTAAGATTGTTCCTTAAACTAAATTCGACATATTTTTTTGTTAAAGAAACTAAAGTGGACATTATTGGAATCATTTATATTAAAAGAGAATAGTATCTGAAAATATATGATTCATAGTTTCATACTAATATTAACAGTTAATGGTCAAATTACTGATATTTCATTCTCTATCTGATCAACCTTTCTTATCTTGCATTATTAATATATATATAAAGAGAGTAGTATTTAGCTAATAACTGATGGTAAAAGGGTGTATTCGTGCTCATGGCCAGTTCATACATACTATTGTTTGTAAACCACACACAAAAAGGGATGGATTTTTATATATTTCATTCCTTATTTGATCAACCTTCCTTGTTTTATATATTTTTTTAGAAAAAAAACTTATTTTGCATTATTATAGTTATTATATAAAAGGGGAACAGTATTGGCAAATACATTATTATTGTTGAATCATATAGTCAATCCATGCATTATTGGTACTAGATAGCATTGTATCAGGTCAAGTGGGGATTTTAAACATTTAGGAGAATTAATGAAAGGATAAAGGTTTAAAATACTGATTTTAAATCTTAGTTTTTACATATTACCACAAACTTAATATACTTAGATATACAATTTTAAAAACACGTATATATATATATATTATTGAAGCATTTCAATCAAAATTTGTAACATACTCCTTCGATAATAAATTGTCCCATAGCAGTATTAATAATTTCGTTTCTATTTGATGACCTTTCTTTCATTTATGTAAAGCTCACCTAGTTTGACTCATCTAATTCTATACCTCAACTATATTTAAGTTTATTTCTAACTAGATAAAATACTAGGATCAAGCAATCTATAATTTAATGTAATACATATATACATATTTATTACTGATTAATTGGGTATTAAAAATTAGCCAGAACTTATAAGGCGTGTGAAACGATTCAGAGTCAAAAGAGGCTACAAGGATAACAGAGATCGACAATGAAATCAAAGTTTTAGATAGTTATACAGAAATGTGTTACCTGTTTTTTTTTTCGCTTTCTTGATTTATCGGAAAAATGTTTGCATGCAGTGCTGCTCAAAATTCGAGAAGTGAATTTAAGTCGGTCGCGTAACGACCACCTGTATTATTAATAAATACTTATATTTTTGTCATACGTAAACATTTTATAAAG